TATTGAGGATCCGTGCAAACCCGTCTGTGAGTACTATTGGCCGGTATGCGCCTGGTACTGAATAATTTCCCTTCCCAGGTTTCTGTAGCACTGGTGTTTCCGTTGCTTTCCATGCCTCTGGATACACCTTCAGAGTGTCTGTCGTGCGGTAGAGTGGGGCGAGGTATGGTACCAAAGCTTTCCTGTTATGTGTGAAGACTGAGTTCGGTGCAGATCCCTCCTTCGATGCTTTGTATGGTTTCAGTTGGCATATAGCTCGATGCACTTGCTCATCTGTAATGGGTTTGTACTTCCACTTTGGTGCTGGGTACGTTGGTTCGCTTTCTACAACGGCTTCCACTGATCGTTTGGGGAAGAAGGTCTCAAAGAAAAGTTGGCTCTTCTCCTCATTTGTTGTTGCTTTCTGGTTTGCCTGCCGCCCTGATGTTCCATTTTGTGCTTGCAATGTTGGTACCCTTGCTCTTCCTCCATCCCCTCCTGGTCCTTTCATCATCTTGCTCGCTGTCCAGACCTCTTCCCCATCCAGCCCCTCTAACCACTCGTCCCAATGGTCTCCCTTTGTGTCCTTGATCATCTGTGAATATTCATTCTGGGCCTGCCGGTACTGTTCGTGTATTTGGTTTGTTTGTTCATGTTGTGCCCGGTATGATTTCCTTGACAGTTTCTGCACCTCTTGTCTCACTTTTGCTAGGTCCTTTGTCCACCACCGTTTTGTGTATGGTGTTGGCTTGGTCAGCGGCACCACTTTCTCTATTGTCTCAATCACCACCCTCTCCAGCTCTCTTCTCGCCCTCTCAAACGCTTCCTCCTCACCCTTCTTAAACTCCCTTGGCCTCGCAGCAGCTCCTTCAGCTCCTTCTCAAAGTCTTCCCAATCTGTTTGCCTGAAATTCCTCTTTGGCCTTGCATCATTAACTTGGGGTTGAATATTGATTGTCGACATCACGGGAAAGTGGTCTGTGCACACTGGCCTGAGGTCCGGCTCTGTATTGCACTTATCAAAATTTTGTTGCAGGTTTTCGCTGCAGAATACATTGTCAACTCTTGTAGTATTCTTCATTGTTGATGCCTCGAGGGTTGGTATGTCTTTCAGAAGTACCATCATCATTTGATGGTCTGCAAGTAGGTTTATCAATCTTTGAGCCCGCTCTAGTGCTGACGTTGTGAATAGGTGGTTGTTTCTCTCCTCATCCCACAGTGGGTGATGCCTGTTGAAGTCACCAGCCCATACCATCCGCATAGGAGCCACAGGATGCTCCCTGTGTTCCTGTGTGCGGAGGTGGTTGGCTAGCATGTTCAGTGAATCATCATTTTGGCAGTCGTTGTATATGTTGAAGATCCTGACTGTTCCGAAATCACCTTGCAGCTGTATCGCCATGATATCTGAGGATTGTGTGGCGATTGGGGTCCATGAAGTTGTTGATACCTTCTTATTTATGAGGATTACTGATCTTGTCTTTTTCGGGTCTCTTAGGTGCCGGTCTGGGTAGATGACAGCCCAATGTGCATTAGCCCTTGTGTTTCCGAGGTGGTCTATGTGTGGTTCTTGTAGTAGGAGGATGTCAAAGTCATTCGGGTCAGCTGAATGTAGGAGATCTAATTGGGCATGGAGAGATTTGTTGAGGTTCTGCTGCCAGATTCTCATTTGCTGGTGCTGTTGAGGTGTGTCAGACATATTCAAGGGCATCTTCAGAGTTTTCTCCCTGCTGATGTTGCTCTCCTTCATGTGTGTTCAGCTGCATCATCCCTGATGTGAAGGTTGTTGGAAGAACTGTTTGTCAGAAGCCATCGCGGCTCTCTCCTCTCCCTCTCCCTTGCCCATTTCCTCCTCTCATCGCTCTCCCATCCCTTCCTGGTGCCCCAAATCTATATGTCATCTCTGGTCTGTTTCCACCTTTATCTCCCCATGCGTCGCCTCTTCCCCTCCCTTCCTTTACTAATGTCCATCCATCATTATCTCCACTTTCTCCTCCCAGCCATTCTGCTCCCCAGTCATCCCATCTGTTCTCCTCTCCCCTCCTCTCCTGTTGCTGCTGCTCATCTTCTCTCCTTCCTGTCATTGTGTTCATTCTGAAAAAGTATTGGAACACCTCTGGGTTTTTTCGTGCCATGTGTTCGATAGCCATCTGTGCCACCGGGCATAGTCTGTCTCCTGGGCCATGTCCATTCCCGTTGCAGTTTGTGCAGTGGTATTTTTCACTATTGGTTTCCTTGCATTGTGACATTCAATGTTTCCCTCTGCAAATGCCACAGGTGTCGTGTTCTGCTTTACATCCCGTCGCAATGTGGTTGACTCCCAATTTCTGGCACTTGTAGCAGTGTTTCGGCTCCGGCAGCTTCCTCCTTGCCCAGACCTTCTTTCCTTCGATGTAGAGTCCGTGTCGTATCGTCTTGTCTCCATCCTCGAAATTTCGTAGCGACATGAAGATATGGGCCACCTTTTGTCCCGGTCTCCTCCTCTCTTTTGGCTTCGTTTGTACATTTATTTACCTCATCCCACCTCCAAACAAATCCTCTACCCCCCCCCAGCATCCCCAGCACAGTCACACCATAGGCCTGGCTGTAAACTGACAGTCCTGACTGATGAGCATACTTTGCTTAAATACAGTCTTTGCATATATCATCTAGCTTATAGAAGTGTCCCAGTGCCTCTCAGTATGGCTTGTCCTTCATGAAGAGCATGTTGTCATCAGTACGAGGGGCGTTAAGCTCCGAGAGCTCGATCCCGCAGGGGAGAGGTGTCGATCTTGGGTTGCGGTCTGACATACCAAGGCATTCAAGTGTCCATTCAGCAAAGAGGCATTGGGAGAGCGTGATTGCTCCAGTCTTGCTGTCCTGTGTCATAGCCATCCCTAGGATCACCTTTGCTCCCCCACTTTCCTTGATCCTCTTCACTTTGTAACATCCTTCCATCTTGCCTATTGCGCTCTCCTTTTCCACCAGCAATGAAGAGCCACTGAGCATGTTGTTGGTGTATGTACATGTGAGGTATACTCACCATCAATAAGGCAGTGTCAGATGCAGGGGTCAGCCTGAGACTGGTAGTATCCAAGTTCCTTGTATGTTCTTGACAGCTCATCCTCCCAGTCGTATGCTGCCTGCATCATTCCGTAGACCGTTTTGTTGACCCATAGTACCATGTCCTCCTTCCCCTGTACCACAAATGGCCAGGGTTGTTCCATGTATACCTCGAATTTGTTATTGCTATTGAGGTATGCAGCAACGTAGTCAATTTGCCAAGGCTTGAGATGCTTGCATGTGATAATGGCAGCTGTCATCCTCATTGACTCGAGGCGCACAACTGATGCATACATCTGGTCAAAGTCGAGTCCAGGAATCTGTGTGTACCCTTTTGCCACAAGTCGAGCCTTCCATTTGGTTATCTCCTCCTTGGCATCATATTTGTAGCCAAAAGTCCAGAGCGGTTTGACTATGTTCTTGCTGGCAGGGCGGTCAGCAAGAGTAAATACCTCCCAGTGTTGCATCATCCCCCATTGGACCTGCATTGGCTCAAGCCAGAGGTCAGGTTCTTGGAGTGCTTCGATGGCACTTCATGGGAGCCAGTGATCTGAGGATGATGCGAGCATCGCCATGTAGTCATCCAGCTCAGTGTGGAGGGAAGGGAGGTCAGTGGTGAGCATCGTTCATGGTTTGGAGCTGTCTATTGCCCAATCTAAGCCATCGTACTTCACCTGGGTCAGCTACTCCTTGGATTTGTGGGTTTGTAGGATAGCAGTTGTTGGGCATGTAGTGCAGGTTGATCTTTGTGGTATATCAGGCACTGGAGGAGTGGGGGCAGTTTGGTGTGGTCCTGCTGGCATTGCAGGCTGCGCAGGCATAGGTGGGGCATCATGAAGGACGTCAGTTGGGCAAGTACATGGTGCCACAGGCAGCACTTTTCATACCACTCTTCCTGGAGTCAAGCTGTCAGCTTCCGTGTCATCTGTGGGTGTGGGACCAAAGATGTCGTAGATGTCATCAGAGTCTGTTAGGGGCAATGCAGCTGGTATTGTACAGTACCCCACCCCTTCCTCGAAAATGATGTCTCAGCTCTTTATCACCTTCTCTGTTTGCTTGTCAAACAGCTTGTAGGTGTTGTGGTCATAGTAGCCAATAAGCGAGTACTTAACTGAGATAGGGCCAATTTTAGAAGGGTTGACCTCTTTAGAGATCTTGGCATATGCCGTGCATCCAAAGGGGCATAGATGGCTGACGTCTTGACACTTATCAGTCCAGACTTTGGCAGGGACCTTCCCTGGGTGCCAGCTTGATGGAATAAGGTTGCAGGTGTAGATTGAGGTGGCGGCAGCATCAGCCCAAAGGGATAGTGGTAATCCTGAGTCACAGAGCAGGCATCAAACCCCCTTGATGGTTGTCCTGTTTGCCCATTCGTGCACCCTGTTAGCAGCATGGGCATATGGTGCAGGTGATTTAAGGACGATACCAGACTCTCGACAGTAGTCCTCACATCCCTTGTTCAGGAACTCCTTCCCCATGTCAAAGCGCAGCTTCTTGAGCTTCTTCCCTGTCTGGTGCTCGCTCTCTGCATGGTATTCCTTGATTGCCTGGAGGGTGGCATCCCCTGACTTGTCTGATAGGAAGTATGGCTTTCAGAATGAGGAGGCATCGTCTGTGAGGATCATGAGGTACTCTGGTTCATAGTCCTCATTGTATGGTCTGGCTGTTTGCTTCCCATATATGCAGTCTTCACACATTCCAGGTGCTTTCTCTCCCTCTGTGATGTTCAGACCATCAACCAGATTTTTCTATGCCATGTCTATAATGAGGGAGGTACTGGCATGTGGGAACCGTCGGTGCCAGGTGTCGATGCTTGTAGGCTTCTCATGGGACTTTGCCAAGAGAGCAGCTGTGGGGGGGTCTTGGGTAAGGATGTACATTCCACTTGTCTGGCTTGCTGTTATGAAAGTTTGGCCATGGGGGTCAATGAACTGGGCACAGTCATTTGTGAACAGTACCTACCTTGAAGTGGGCAGCATCGAATTTGCTAACAGATATGAGGTTTGCAGTGAAGTCCAGGGTGTGCAGTGCATTGTGGAAGGTAATGCTTGTTTGACATCCTTTGGATATGAATGATTTTCTGATGGTTCCACTTCCCAGGATTTTAAACTTCGCCCCTCATAGGGCAGCCTGTCCCTCACATGTCTCAGGGAACAACTCATAAGCAGAAAAATTGTTCTTATTAGCAAAACAGTAGTTGCTCGCACCAGAATCAATGTATGTGAGTAAGTCTCCCCCACCTGAAGCCACCGCTGCCAGCACTGTTGGTTTGTTGGCCACTGGTATGGTGGAGATGGTGTGCCTGCCCCTGTCCTTGTCATTTCCTCCCCTGATCATCACCATCAGTGTGTATGAGGTCTCGATGACCACAGCATTGGCTGTTGAGGTCAGTGCGGTGTTGAGGGCCATATTGGCTGACCCATTTGCACCTCCATGCTTTCCAAAACCTGGTGGGAACTGTTCTTCCTTTCCCCCACCCAGCCAATAGCAGACCTCAACTGGTGTCCCCTCCTGTGGCAGTTTATGCATTGCTTTTCTGGCTTCCTGGGCTTTGTGTCGGCCTGGAGGGCAGTGGTTGAGTTGTTGGGAGTCATGACCATGCTAGATTGCGAGATTCATTGCCAGTGGAGGGTAGTACAGGAAATGATGTTGGCAGCTGTCTTTGACTCGTAGAGAGTTGAGATAAATGCTTCCCATGCAGGCATTAGAGGAAGCAACTGGAGGATGATGATGCAGAAGTCATGGTCGAGTATGTGGGTGCCAACCGAGTTGGCATAGGCCCACTTGGACTGGAGGTGTACGAAGTGGGTCAGGAGGTCGTCACCATTGCAGAATTTGATTCCTCGTAGTTCAGTGTCTGTGAGGACAGTGGTGAGGTCTGAAGTGGTCTTGTATTGCACCTTGAGTGACGACCACACCTGTACTGCTGTTCCATCCATCTTCACCCCCAGGCCTATTGGGTTCCTGATATTCCAAGCAATTAGGCCCATTGTCCAGGCGTCACGGGTGTCCCACTCCTCAGCGGTGGGTGCAGCATAGGTCCATGGGGTTGGCGCTGCAGCGGTTGGCAGGGTCGTAGTGGTAGTGATGGTAGGGGGTCATCATTGTCAGGGATGGTGGTAGGGGTCATCATTGTTGGGGATGGTGGTATCAGGGCTGCAAGTGGGTGCACAGCTGGGTTTGGTATGCTGCCCTCGAGGTATCTGTGAGCTCCTCAGAGCCTCGCCACAATGAGGATCACTTTGCTCCACTGGAGCCAGTTTGTTCTGTCGAACTTTTCCACCTTGGGGAAAGTTGGAGGGGCTGCATAGTTCGATGACGTGGTTGTGGCTGTAGACATGTTGGCATTGTGTGTGTGTGTGGGTCGATGCTGTAAACATTACGTAGGTCTGAGTTTGATGAGTCACAGCCTGGGGCCCATAACCTGAAGAGTGGCGGTATTTAACTCAGATGTTGCATGTAGTGAACGACTATAATTGAGAGTGTAACTACCTGAAGAGTGGCAGTAGTTAGCTATGGTAAGGTAGTGAGTAAACATGTAGGGATAGGTTGAGTAGGGTATAGAGCTCACCTCAGACATTGCATGTAGTGAATGACTGAGGTGGCAGAGTTGTTGAGTCAGATATAAGTAAGATTAGGTGAACCAAATAGGAGTCGGTTGCAGGCAGATGTAGGCAACCTAGCAGATGGCACGAGGCACAGCAGTGCCAAGCTGTTGGAAGAAAGAAAGGAAAGAGCAGGCCACTGCGCCACATACCTTGGCGCGGTGCATGGGAGCTGCATGTAGTCTCCCTCAACAGTAATAAATACTCAAAATATTTCTGAAGCACTCTCCACTATGGATACAAATGTCCCCAAAGTTTCACAGCGAAATATAAAGTCTCTGATTTGATAGTCATTTGTTTTGTATTAAAAATGCGAAAGGCTTAATGAGTTACATAATCACTTTTCAAACTCAGTATCGCTATCGCTATCTGCCACCCGCATAAGTAACAAGCCTGACTTCTAAACCCTGGCATACATTTATTGTCTGTCTCACACTTTATTATTACTGTACAATCTACACGTCCACTTCCCGGCAGCCGTCTATGCGACGGAAATAGTACACATTTATGCAATTCAGAGCTTGGCGAGAACTTCATCGGCACCTGAAACAGAGACACCAGCAGCAGGTTCGACCTGAAGCACGTCAGATATAGCCGGGAACTGACGTTTAATTTCTACTCACTCCGACGTATTTGACAACGAGGTCATCGAGAATCAGGGCATAGCGAGCGGTACGGATACCAAGGCCAACAGCAGTAAGGTCCTTGTCCAGACCGATCGACTTCGACCACTTGGCCTCTGTGTCGGAGAGGGCAAGGATCTATTTCTGAATAAATTTCACGATATGTCGCAGTAAATATATGCGACGTACCTTGTCCTTGAGATCCTCAACACGACCCCAGCCGCTCATAACGAAGGGATCGTTCGCTGCGACAACTGCGACGACGTCAACGCCCTTGGCCTTGAACTCATCGTACTTCTGGATGTAGGGTGGGAGATGGTTCACATGGCATGTGGGCTGTGGGGCGTCGGCGACGGATGAGATGTTGCGCCGACTGCGGACACACGAATAGCGACTCACGGTGAACGCCCCGGGGACGGAGAAGAGCACCACCTTCTTCCCCTTCCAATCGTTCGTCGACAGCGTCGTGGCTGGTGTCAGTCGTTAAGAAGTGTTTCACGTCGCATCATATCGATAGAAGGCGGACTTACGGATGCCACAAGCCAGCTGGGATACCCAGGATCAGTGGGGTTGATTAGATCAGACAACGATGGATGGGACTCACGCCGCTCTCGAGCTCGGAGGTATAGGGAACGTACTTGAAGGTGCCCTCAGGGATGGTGTCGCCGACCTTGATAGATGCCATTTCGTGTGCTGTAGGAGATCAGAAGAGGATGGGGAAAAGTTTGAAACTGAAGTCTGCCGTCCGCGTTGGCTGTCATGAAATACCAGATAGTCCCGTGATCTTAGTGAGCCTGTTTACAAAGACATCACTCCGGTTCACCTTCGACGTCCGACGGCCGTAAGGCGGAATGACGTGCTCAGGAGAGCAGGCCTCAAAGCGCGGGACTGCACCAGTCCAACGTGGGACGCTCAGAGCACCATCCGAATATCGATCATGACTTTGATACCCCAATGACGAAGATAAAGAGCTCGGGCATATTGCCACGCATCTCCGGGCACCTGTGCTCTGAGAACCTAATGCCCCATGCGTCAATGCACACTTTCAGCAGCTATTTATTTAAGAAGGAAAATACACACCTGGTACCGGAGTTAAGCCGTTCATAAGATGGCGAAGATCATCATCGCAACAGTCAACGAATTTCCGAGGATCCTAATTGAGGTTGGGAAGTCATTGTCCAAAGGTGGAGGTTACCAGCGGAGGTTTTTGAGACCAAGGAGACTGAGCACGGGGCATTTTGATGGGAATTTTGATGGAGGTGGCGTAGATGTGTGGCGTCGACATCAACACTATTTACACTTGCACAGTAGCATGCTCATTTGGCAAGATAGGTATTCGGGCTTCGATCTTCAAGAACCATGAGCTCTATTGGTGGACGCCTTGATAACCTCTTCAGTTCGGCAACTCACCGGAATTTGCGTCCTAACAAGAACCGTCACCAATATGATCTTCGAGGCTTATTGCAAAACAACGAAGTGGATTCGCTCCTGATGACGCACAATTTTTCGGATTAAGTATTGGACATTGACGGCCACCGCTGGATAGCTCAAGTAGAAAGGATTAGCATGGAAAATACTAGAGCGACATTGAGCTGCAACTTACCTTTGCCTGCAGCTGGGCGATATGGTACGAATTTAGTCGTTTCAGCCAGAAGTATTGCGGACGGTCGGCCTCGAAGTAAACAGCTGGAAGCTTAAAACAGATCGGGTTCCAGGCCGGGGAGACCTGTGGTTTTTTTATGGTTCGGACGGCCCAATTGTCGATCGGGCTTTCTCAGGGAGGCTTTTGACAGGGGATCACCGGGAGTAGGCACCTCAAAGGCTGTGCTCTCGATATCTTTATGATAAAAGAGCGTCCGACCGAGCTTATAGTCACCTATGGGCCTATGACAGGTTGAGTTCTGGCCAGTTAGGCAAACGGCCCCATTCCTAGATTCGAGTTCCAACTTCTTCGTCTCCCCAAACTATTGGAGTGCGAAGAAAGATTGATGGTCGTAGCTCGGAGACGCATATAGCCATGATGTAGATAGATGAAAGTGCAATACAGACGACGTCGTGCCATCTCTGAGAGCCTGAGATTTAATGGGGTTGGCGAAGACCAGCAGGGTATCAATGAAGCCGAGCGTGGCTTTGCGATAGACCCATTCGCGAGAGAAACCTCCTTGGTCAATCAACAAGAAGAAAGGGACAGGACTGGATAGACTTCCTATTGGGCGGTTGATCATGCAACCTTGCGAGATTGCAGGGACATGGTGGTTGAGAAGAAAGAAAGCGTGGTAAAAACGCGGCCGAAACTCCGCCCTTTTCTTCCAGTAAAGGGATAAAACGGCTCGTACTTCGTTCTATTCCATGCTATCACACAATGCTACAACAAGGCTTCCCTGCTTCTACAGCTACGTCCATCCTGAGCGTAGTCACGAATGCGGGTTCTGCATACAAAACTTGGCTCCAAATGTCCATTCGACCCGACCTTCAAGGATCTTTGCTAGACTCTGGGGCTATACGGCTCTGGGGCTATACGGACCTGCGCAACTCTCGCCTGCATTTGAAAATTTAACGGGCCCCGCAAAGGTAGATCACTGTCAACTATACTTGCAGCTCAAACGAACGACCTTGAGATTAACAAAGGCCTCGAAGAGCCTCGCTAAATTTCGGTGCAATTTAACGGAGAGGATGTGGCCCTTGCGGGACCTGTCGGGATGATGTCTATAGATCTCCCTCCTTGCACCCGTTTCAGGATCCTCTCATTAAAGTTCACCGAGAACCAGCCATCCAATCAAGCAATCCAAGACCATAAGCACATTTGTGGTGTCCGGACCAAAGTTTGATGGCGAATAATAAAACCGCTCACATCATGAAATTACTCACCGGACTTACAAGGCTGCTTATTTAAAGTGGGTCAGGATGATGTCTGGGATGACTCCCGACCTTCCCTCACACCTTCGGCGAACCTGCGATGTGAGTATCTCGAAGGCGAATACCCTCCATTCTTCCACTCACTTACTTTCACGTTGTCAGGCCTCGACCCCCGCTCCCTGTCATTCGTCTAGTTGTCACCATGGATGGCGAACAGTACAGAGTTGTGGACGTTTCAGGAGCGCCTGACGGGGATTGGATACGTCGTCGAATTTTGAGTAAGGTAAGGGAGCGAAGATCGCCTTCGATATCGGCCGCGCTAACAAACCATTAATAGCTCTGCATCCCAGAGCAGTCCATGAGCCAATGGTCGATTTACCCCTCGGAAGTCGGCGCCTACGCCCTTGGAGGAGCACTCAACGACCGACGACTGTTTGTGCACTGCCGCGAGAGCGGAGACCCCTCGGGGTCGCTCAAGCTCTTCGTGTCCACTTCCCCCGACCGTCCTGCGCCATTACAGGCCGCCGCTTTCACGAAGGAAGCCTTTCCTGTGAGTTCTTTTGTTTTTGCGTCATTCTCTTGCAGATCGCCTCGCTCACACTGGATCAAGCCCATGATTGATAGGTACTCCTGAGAGCTGATTACATTCCTACCTATATCCCACCCTACAAACGACCATCAAAGTTACGAAGGAATTCGTGCCTTCTCGAGGCACGAGGTTACGCCCCTCTCCCCACGACTCCACGACTCCGCGACGACCTACTGCTTTCCTTTTCTCCTCCTCATGGGCCCCCGAAAACCACATCGTGTACAACCCCCAGTATCCCGTTTTCTCACTGTATATTAGTCGCAATCCCGAAGAAATGTACGAATACAAGGCCGCCGAGTGAACTGACACGCCATATGTGTGTTATCAATCTTCCGCGTTTCAGATCCACGTTTTCTGGCTCATGGGGTCAAGCGTTATTTTCGGGATTCCGTATGGATGTCTCTTTGCAGTAAGTGTTTCAAGAAGCTTACTTACCCCTCGACATCAAAGCCTGGGCCACCGTCCCGGTTTACGAGCACTCTCAAGTTCTGATCCCATAATTAAGGCTTTCAATCGTCCTGTCGAGAAGAACTTCGCATGGAGAATCGCTCAGCGACTGCGCACGAAATATTGGTTCGTCCGACTTGCGACGGACAGACAAGAGACTCTCCCCATCAAATGGCGCAGCTCCAAGGGGGTACGCCAATAGGGTCTAACCTCGCCATCGAGGTTTGATTTACTCTGGTCAAATTGGATTTTTACTATAATCTTACCTAACTGGACGTTACCGCGAATGCAGGGATCCGGCAAAGCAAACAGTGATAGACTTAGGATAGGCAGCAAAGTTCGCCTCGAGTGCAGCTTGCGGCTGCAGAGGCTATAGCCTTTGAATTTGGAGTTTTGAGCCTGGGGTCTCGGCCGCACTGAGGACGCTCAGAAGGTGCTAAGCAAAGTTTCATTCGTTTCATCCTTGACATCTACATTCATCCTGGCCGGCCAGTGAAGATTCACCGAATTTCACTCGAGTCCCCTCTTACTCGTTTGCACATGCCAGCGGTCGCTGATAAAGATCGAGGGCGAGATGGTCGACTGGGCACGGTCCGGGATTTGCATTCCTGAAATGGCCGGCGCTTAATCTAGATCAAATCAGCGAGAGCGCTTATGCCTATCGACCGCACTGGACTGGCTACAGGCCGGCTACCTGCATGAAATCGAGGCGTGAAAGAAGAAATGAAGGAGAAGATGCGTTTTAGATGCATGAGAAGCTACGTAACCATTAACCGATTGGAACAGAGACGTTGTAAAGCACTACTTTCTTATCTTATTACCCCCTGGCAAATTTGCACCAGCTACATTTGTAGGACGATCGTTCTTTCCCCTGCCACCCAGCTCACTGTATGTTTCTTCAGTATTTAAAAGCTACACAGAAGAAGCGGTCGGATGCACGGACCTCTCGTCAGGGAAGTCCTCTTCCTCTTCTTCCTCGCTACACATAATTAGATGATGACAAAGGCTGGAGTAACGGACTTACTCCACATTGGGTGCTTCTGGCTCCGGTTCTTTCACTTCTTTCACCGGCACGTTCTCATCTTTCCTAAAATCGCCGACTCAGACAGCGCATTGAGAGGTAGAGAGCGAGGGATACGCTGTCGTTTCTTCAGTTGTTCTCGAGTTCTTGTCGACTGCGATCACTTCCTGTGAGCCCATTTCGGAGAGTCGTGGAAAGCTGCAGCGAGATGGCCTTTTGTTACTATGGAATGAGGGGACGCAGAATGATTCTTACCGAAGATGGATTCTCTGTAGGTCGCACGAGACAATGGTGGAAGTCGGAGTTCAAGTGCTGAGAGTCTTCCTTTGAGGCCACCTATGAGAAGATTAAGTAACGCCTCGCGACTAGCATCGTGATCACGGCATTTGAGTCCTGCCGTTCTGTCTACACTGAATTATCACCCAGTACTTGCGCTACAATGCCGTTAAGGTCTTTCTTGAAGGGTAGATCCGTTGATCTTATCTATCACCAGTAGATTTCTATCAATCTTCCTTTGCTGGCTGGAATCGCCGATCTTTTCCCTTCCGGCCCAAGTGGATATCCTTTACATCCGCTCCTGCTTAAAATATCCTTGCAATGCAGGCAGTAAAATGCTCTCAATCTCTCAGATCATTTCAAAGCAGCATACAAGTAGTGCTGCCAAACTGGTGCGGAGATAGGATCAACTTACCTACACAGTATATTTGAGACCACATAACATAGTCCAAAGTAAGCACATTGAATACAGCGGCAGAAAAATGGGAGAAGTTGAGCACCTTCGGCTCGTGCTGCGTCGGTAGCTTTTCGGAGACACGTGACTAGAGCCCCAAATCGAGAATAAACCAATTTGTTGAACTCGACTTTACTCTTTTCTGACGCCTTCATCTTCATATACAGGCGGTCACTGGCCTAATTGCAGCATTAAGACTTGTAACCGGACTTGGTCTCACCTGAAGCCTGGGCAATCACCCGGATCTCTAACGCACAGTTCGCATGAAGCTGACAGCGGCAAGAAGCTTTGTTCAGCATCGTCTCATTGCTCATGCTGCTCGAAGCCCAAGCTCTTGCTGGTTATCAAGAACGGGTCCATGTTATCTCTTGGGCTCAGCAAGCTGGCGTGAGCACAAGGAAGCAGGTTATTCAACAGAAGCAGGAAGGCCACGTACGGTATCGGTATGTTCATATCCACCGATCCTGAATTCACCTTTAAACTGTGTATCAGACAGTCCAAAAGAAGAAACGACGCGAACTTATTACACTGGATGCCACAAAGATTGTTCCCTCCGGCCAACGCACATATGACATCTCAGGCTACCAAAAACCTTCGTTCAAAGTGACACAGCTGGATCCGCCTCAGCGTATCATCACGTATTACCTGTACAACGTCAGACCCCTCCCCTTTCCGCCTGGGTCGACGGGAGTGTTCTATTACCACCCACCTGCCCCTGGTGCTCCGGTTCTCAGCGGCGAGCTACGTTTCAAGCTATGCAGGGATCCCGCCTTCTTTCCAACCTCTCCCGACCTCCAGCTCCCTGACAAGACGAAGCCGTGGTCGGTGAACCTATATACCTTGGTGACGACACCTTGGTGGCAACCGCTTGGACGGCTGCTCGTTCATGAGGGGCTCGTGTCGCCTGCTGTGGTCGACACGATTGCCGCCCTACCGCGGCTGCACTACACCAACGACTCACGGACCTTGTACTCGCTCGACCAGCCGTTCGAAATTAATCTAACGCACGTAGGCACATCGTTTGCGTTGCTCAGCCTAGGGTTCGCTATGAATGTAGAGATTTGCCGACTGTACGTCACAAGGCAGGGCCACGCCCTGCCTTCACGGGTAAGTCTTCCACCGGATCCAGATCCGTTAATCACGCTGACACTCGTAGGACGTATCAAGGCGCGCTTCGAACTTTCCGCCCTCCCCGAACACGCTGCCCAAGGACCGACACTCGTCCTACGAGTCCTGGAGCTGCTGACCCCAATCGAGTGCCACATTCCCGGGATGGTCTCAGAACCTCGGCCTGGAGAATTACTCTATAAGCGTATCCGGAACAAGCATTACGCATGGTCTCTACCCCTCGAGAAGCACGCCCTTGCGCCCGCATTTAGAGAGTTCATTGGCCTACCCCCCTTGCCCGCGGACAAGCTTCGCGTGAAAGGATACACCTCCGCCCCACGATACGTCCTGACACTTCATCAGGAGAAGATGGTATCAAAGGGTCAAGAAATGCGTGACATATCGGGGGGGTCTACCATCTCTTTCCGAATCAGATTGCAGAACGGCACGGAGGGTGTTTTCAAAGCTGGATGTGAAAATATCTCCTCGAAGCTGGCGCCATTCCCAGCCAGCAGCAAGGGAGCGTTGTATTACCGCCGGCCGTCATCAGGACAGCCCATTCTGAGTGGCCAGCTTCGTTTTCGCCTCTGCGAAGACGCAGCAACCTTCGAAAAAGGTTCTGACCTCCTCGCCCCCAATGGTGTGGAGCCCTGGAATATACCCCTCCCCCGTTTCGCCAAGATCGGTCGGAAGGAACCTCCGTTGAACCCGATCCTGGAAGAAGGTCTCGTCGAAGAGGAGGTTGTAGATAAGATTGCAAAGCTGCACTACGCCAACGTCGGCAGGAGGTCGCGCCTTCTGCATGCCCTTGACTGGCCTTTCGTGATTGATCTATCTGCAACGAGGATTCGTCTCGGACTCATCAACCCCTCTATGTTCGAACTTGTCGATATAGTCGATGTATTTCGGATGCACTACGTACCACCTTACTATGCGGGTGAGTGTTTCTTTGTTCTTCGTGTAATATTAATGCAACGACTCATATGGGGAGCAGGTCTCGCGAATGTGCGCTTTGAGCTCTCGACGCTGCCTGAGCATGCAGGCTCGCAGGTTCTCGTCTTGAGAATCTTGGAGTTGTGCGAGCCTGTTCGACGCCTCATCCTAAATGCTGAGGACAAGATGCCCGTACCTCAGGCAGGGGCTCTGTTGCACAGAACTTACCGTGGCGGTCAGCCCAAGCTGTGGACATACAATCTGGAGAAGCGGGCCGGTGGGGACGCTTTCCAGCGCTTCATAGCGACGTGTGAGAAGTCATAGGGCATTTTCGACCCCAGAAATACCTTGTCCCTTTACTGGGGTTGTGCAGAGGGCAATTTCGTTGCGAGTTCTATGCTCACAATTCATGGAGCTCGCCCTAATCAGGCCCCAGCGAACAAAACTTCCCGTAGGTTTCGAATAAGGGCACCTACCTTTCTCCTTTTCATGTCCGGTGTCGGGTAGATGACGAGTTGTTTGTTGGAGTCAAGGCGAAGACGGCAATGTAAAGTTTGCGCTATCACCTATGTGAATCGTCGAACCTTCCAGCATCGCACGTAACAAGTCGCCTTGAAACCCGTTTCATGATACAAATCACATCCCAAGAATTCTGTTCTCGAAATGAGCTGCCATTGGGGTGTCGCTCACGACGGTGCACGGTGCCGCGTGCAACACGTTCGATCTTCAGATTCTTTGTTACCCGTCAATGCGGCTCACGCAGAGTGTTCTTAGATCAAAGATCGAGTCAACCCATTGTCTCCTTCGGGATCGGCTACACGGGCGCCTAAATACAACAGAAGCCAGGCGCAGCAACTCACGAAGCCTCCTCCAATGCATGGAACACCAGTACGAGAGGAGAACAAATAACTGATATAACTACTGATTCTAAGGTGAATAGAGCCCCACTAGTCCTTCGAAATGACACCTATTTTTTCACGGTGTTGTCTCCCTTGTCTCCCTTGACTCCCTTGACCGTGGTTGTAGGGCGTTGGTTTTTACCTCGTCCGTCCCAGTCGCTGTTCATCGACTCAGCATGTAATATTGGGTTGTAGGAAAACATGGGGCACGCACCTCCCGTCGCCAAAGTCGCCCTGCTCGTCGACATCCGAGTCCCTGCAGCGTGCTTGAATTAGAACGAGCTCGAAACGACCGAGGTGGGTTGAGCCTTACTCAGATTGGGTCTCCTCTATCATTGGAGCTTTCATTTCGCTCTCTGGCTTCTGGGAGCTCCTGAAACCTCGTCAGAGGGTGAAGCGGGATGAAGCGAGAGTTACGTACAGCAGAGTGCCCTGAGAAACCGTCGTGGTCGTTTGCGAGCTCATTTCGATGATTCGTTGGGCTTTGGGCAGCTATAATGGGCCATATTGGTCAGTACGGCCAGAGGGAGTCTTTTCCTCCTACCTGTGATTGGTTCTCGGTACGTTCCATGAAAGGGAGGTGGTTGGGAGTGAAGATGGTAATGTGTCAAGCTGTGGCTCTTAAGTATGTGCTCCTTTGAGCACATCACGGACCGAGTCATTGCGGACTTTTATACCTCCGCTCTGGTTTTTAAAATTATGTGGCTCGACAGTGGTTTAAGACGACACTGCTAGCGCTAGTGAAGCTGCGCCGCGGTCGATCACTCATTAGCACTGCCCCACAAAGGTTTCATTTCTTCTTTGTTCCCTCGGATGCCGGACTCTCCTTATTCTTCTCTAAATTTCTATACTCTTGCTCGGAATTACATCCTTCTGCCAACGTTGTCTCCTCGACGCACTGCAGTTCCCACTGCCTAAGAACATGAGGCGAAGTAGGGACTGCATCAAAAGGCCCCCAGAATGTGTCGTGAAGTTAATGTGACGCATAGCTGCACAGCGCAATTTACCACCAGTGAGCCGGCAATCGCGGTCCGGCCGAAGAGCATATCCTGCCTATCGATGCAAAGTTTTTGTAAATCATTGCGGCGCTTCCATTACGGTCTTTTACAGACACAGTCCAGTTTTAAAAATACTCTCGAGGCTTGCCTGTGCTTCGTAGTCGCGGTGGGGCAGGAATATTTCTCATTAAATAGGTTAGCTTCTTGTCACTGGTAGCACCTGTTTCCTTGGACTCATAGGAAATTTGAGGACGGAAATTCTAATCAAATAGGAGGAAGCACATTATAAGTACGTAATATCATAGATTGTCCTGTAGTGCAGAAAGAAAATATCCTGATAAGACCTCCTAAGTGATAGTCCTGGGGTGAAGAAGATGGTATATATCTGGATGTTGCGAGCTTCGGCGCAAGAGGAGAAGTAAGGACTAGCATTATTCACAACAAGAAATGGAACGCCGCTGAGACCAGAATTCGGATCGCATCTATTTCGAGTTCTTGACAGGCTTGCCGTCCTTGACTTTCGTAGATCCTCCCGCTGAGGCTGTCGCGGTGTGGCCTTGATTCTTTCCTCGCCCCTCCCAGTCGCTGTTCGTGCGCTCAGCATTTAATATTGGGTTGCAGGGGAATCCACGCACCTGCCGTCACCAAAGTGTTCGTCTTCGTCCGCCGAGTCCCTGCACCAAAATGAGTTCGCTACAGCAGTGATCGTTCAAGCCATACTCAGAGCGGGCCTGCGTGTCTTCGATTTCAGTTTGGGACTTCTCTATGTCTGGAACTTCTTTCATTGCGTCCTCTTGCTTCTTTGAGCACCTAAAAGCTAGTCAAGCGACGAACTGGGACAGGAAAGGACCAACGTACTGCGTAGCGCTCTCCGGAACGGCGGCGGCATTAGTAGTGGTTTGCGAACTCATGATGACGAGTGATCAAGCGCTGAGAAGAAAAGAGGGTCAATTCTAGTCAGCACCAACGCAAGGGTGAGAATAATTTGGCCTTTGTTACCTATAACGTGAGCGTCTTTCTCGCACGAGAGGAAGGTCGAGGTTAAAGGTGAAGGTGGGAGGTCAAGCAGCGGAAGGATTAAGGAGCTGTCTGGAGGATACCGTGGTCGATGCGGGCTTTTATGCATACCCTATGATTTAAAAATATGAAGGTGCTGAATGGTGGCTAAGACCGCCGATGTTCAGAGTCAGTGCGCGGCTGCGCTGCGGCTCAACGGCCGGTCCACTGCTTCACCGAGTCTTCATTGTTGCTATTGTCGCTCTCTCCAATTTACGATACAGTCCAATTTTTTCATCTCTGCCTTAGAATAAATACTACTGCTTCACTGACCTTGGACCTCCAATGGACGCCGTAGCCCGCGAACTGAGATGTCTACAATAAGGGTGACACATATCGGCGTGGCGGTGGATCGTCATCGGCTCCTGGGTTTTGTCATATCGTACGGCCTGGATCTATTTCAGAGCTTCATTGGGCCTAGCCCAAGTGGTATATAAAAAGAAAAAAATCAGGTCCACTGGGAAACGTGGCGATTCATTATCTCACTTAACCGGCGTCGGGCGCTTAAATTATTTTCGAGGTACAGCAACTGCGGGAGGTTGCCCTGCACGCAAAAATGACAAAAGAAGAAAAAAATTAAAGATGCAGATTAGCCATTGGTTGTAGAATAAACTAGTTGGACTATCATTAAGAGACCACGCTTCGGATCGGCTTTATTTCTTTACTTTCTTGCCGTCCTTGTTCCCAGCTGCTGCTGTGTGAGGTGAATTTGGACCTCGTCCATCCCAGTCGCTGTTCATGCGCTTAGTATTCAATATTGAGTGAAAGAGAAACGTGGGACACAAGCACCTGCCGTCACCAAAGGCGTCGTTTTCTTCATCCGAGTCCCTGTAATGTGCTTGAATTAGAATGAGTTCAATATGGCATGCGAAGCTAGCGGGCATACTCAGAGCGGGCACCTTGTATTATAGTTTGGGTCTGTTCTGTCATTTGAAGCTTCGCTTCGTCCTCTGGCTTCTCTGGAAGCCTAGACCCTGTCAGATCAAGAAGTGGGATGAAGAGAGGATAGCATACGCGGCATCTCGTGCGTTTTGAGAAGCGCTCGCGGTCGTGTTCGTTTGGGAACTCATTCTCGTGAGCTATCAAGCGTCGCGGAGCTATATTCGCGTCTTTCAGTCAGAAATACATGCTGGAGTGAAGTTATATGCATTCCAACTACCTCAGATGCGCTTGTACTGCAGAGGAGGGGCGCGGGGAGTGGTAAAAGAAGGTGAAGAGATGCGCGTCCACGTGGCAAAGTCTTTTACCAAGCCTTAAGTAGCCTCTTGGATGGTACCACGCTCATTACGGCCTTTGACAAAGGTGTTTCAATTTTAAAATATAGTGACAGATTGAAGTGCAAGACTGCACCACCAACCATCGCCGGGCGAAGCCAGTATACTCTACATAATGCTCTTGTTCTCAATGCCCAAGTTGTTCTCAATACCTATTCTCTTCTCCAGCCTATATATTGCTCAAAACTGCTTTGTGTCAATTATCAGCTGAAATTTCCACCTTAAGTAGTGCTATCTGATTGTCGTAATGAACCTAAGAACATCGGAGTTCAAATGAAACGAATAGGGGCGACTCGAATTGGGCCGACGCGTGTAGAACACGTGGCCGATAGCCGTGCTGACCTGCACACCACTGCTGAAAGGGAAATTCAATTTCGAGCCTGCAGCGCATCAAGGGCCCTCATACAACATTCGTCGTACAAGCATCGAAACGCATCTAAAGCCTGGTGTCCAGGAGAATGGCCAAATTAGAATGGTCCAGTGCGTCACAACAAACTTCTTCAGTGGACAGTGACTTCATGCAAAAACGCTTTCTAGGCCCTGTTCGTAAAGCTGGAGACAAATTACTCCCTCTTATACCAAACGAAATATACCTCGAGATTCTCATCTATTTCCAGCCTGTTGCTTCAGAATCATGGTCGCTCGACACACTGGCCCCGGAATCCTCGCGCCATACCGACTCGCGCAACCTGGCTCTAGTTTGCCGATTCTTCTCCTCCATCATGATACCGTGGTTATACGAGCATCTCGTATTCACGAAGGATACACGCCGCGAGTATTCCTATCTTCCACTGTGTCGTAACATCCTAGACGGCAACGAAACTGCTCTACTCCTCGCTGAACACGTCAAGAAATGTTCCGTCAGGTCATGGAAGTCGCACCAAGGGTCGGACGGAGACGACTGGGCCACAAAGGAGATGGTTTCCATGTATTTCGATGCAATGAAGAACATGAAAAGCCTGCGAGCCTTGACCCTCCTAGATTGCGCCATTACTCCCAGCATGCTGAAGAAGTTGAAGGATATCCCCAACTTGACCGGCCTGACGATTGACACCTGTGAGCTGGTGAACAACGTCCAAGAAAAACACTTACGCAACATTCGGACCCTCAAGCTGAAGAGTTTCTCCTTCCACAAATTGACGCCAAGTGACATTGCAGGTGTCGAGCAAATCTTTCCCTATGTCGACCTCGATTCCCTCCTTGAACTGGAAGCCACGAATACACTCTTCTTCGATGAAATGCAGCTGCCATCTCACCCAATTCCCCTCGAGTCTCTAGACGTTGACATGGTCACCAATCCAACACATGTTGAGACTCTCCTTTGCCACACCCCCTTCCTCAAAAAGCTTCGGCTATGCATCGCTAGCAGATCCACCCGTAATACAAAACTCAAACTACTTCCGGATGCTCTTCCACTCCTAGAAGAAATTTCGGCCCCGTTGGACGCTCTCCAGATCATACCAGGGAGGCCCATATCTTCTATCACGATCAACAACCCTCTCGGGCGCTACTACCCGACCATGGGTGCTGCAGAGGTTGAACTCTTCAAGCAGTCGACGGGTGTCATTTCGTATCTCAAGATATCGCTTCAGTTTTATCTCGCCCTTCCTCTGGCGGATCACTTCCCCAATGTACAGGTTCTCTTCGTACAGATATGGAACTACGACGGGCCTACGAATATTCCGTGGCCCGAAACGCCGGTCGATGATGTCAGTGTTTCAATCTGCCCTGCTGTCCTCCATTTAACGTTTTCTCATCCCAGATATTGCGCTATTTTATAAATTCGCGACCATGTTTCCCCAACCTTCATTCCCTGGAGCTCGAAATAAACAGGGCCACTATGTTTTATGAGTTCTTCGACCTCAAAACTCAGTATGCGTGGATCACTGAAATCCTGTTGCTCAAATTCCCCTTGCTCCGTCGAGTTCAGTTTTCGGCCTACTTCTTCTGGACGTATAGCCCCAACAAAAATAAATGGGTGCCCAGCATACCTGATGCTTCTGTGGTCGTTGTCGCCCTCCACGCCATGCGAACGGGGTCTGAATTCGTTGACTATGACAGGTGCATCGAGGCAGCCGTTCGCAAATGCGAAGGCATTCGTCTTTTCTAGGTTAGTTGTTCTCTCATCTCCGATTCAACTTCAGCCAATTGGTTGTGAAAGCGGATGAAAATGTCGCTATTTCTTTTGATATACCCCTGATATACCCTACTTGATTCTCGCCTTCTCGGCAATTTTTTTGGTGCTGAGGCTCGTCATAGGTGAATGCCCTATGATTTTTCTTGCTCCAATCTATCAGCCCCTCACCATTTGCAAAGAATTGTATGAGATTCAACGCCACCTTTGAGCCAGCCGAAATTTGGCCGAATTGGTAATATGTATTGCTCACCCGCAGCTGCCCGTGAATTGTTGCAGCGATTGGGTGGATGACTCTCCGTATGATATGATATGATATTACTGGATGACTTTCCTTAACGTTTAGAGCCCATTCTAAATGCTAAATCTCGTTTCAAATGGTGAGGCCGATGCATGCCGTTGTCACCTGTCAGGACCCCGGAAAACATTCCGCTCTCCGCTCTCTTCAAAGGCCGTTTCAAACGAAAAATCTAGGAGGAGGGTAAGTACCCCCTTCCCAGTTCTAAAGCCTCATTCTAGGTGTAAAAGCTCTCGTTTAGGTATGTTCCTGACCACGGCAGCCTTCGGCATTCCTCGTTCGTGCCTCATTGCCCTTTCAATATTCCCTACGATTCCAAACCCCAACGTCTATAAACTCTCATCTTCCATTTTAATCCCCGACGCTGGCACCCCGTCATTTGCTTTAGAGCCTCAAATCCGTTAAGGAAAGTCATCCACTGAACGTTGGTTCCTTGAACTGACACCATGCTCCTCTTGAAATCTACGATTTATTGACGCTTATCTACTGTCTATTCAGTCTGGGCAAATCGGCGATCCTACGGCGATCTACGGCGATGTGAAGAGATGGATTAGGTAAGCGTCGACATCATAACCCCGTGCTACGCTCAGTAATCGCGACATCCCATTCTTTCTTCTAAACCACCACCACCACTATGACCACCTCTCTCGACCAGCTCAAGCAAACTGGCACCGTTGTCGTGTCTGACTCGGGCGACTTTGAGTGTGAGTATCCGGAATATCGCCTTTGCTTAGTGGGCCTCATCGTATCGACGCAGCCATCGATGTTTACAAGCCCCAGGTAGGTTGCCTGCTCTGCCTGCTCGCTCTATGCTCATCTGTTCTGCAGGATGCCACCACCAACCCCTCACTTATCCTTGCCGCTGCGGGAAAGGCTGGCTACGGTCGCCTAATTGACTCTGCTGTTAAGTTCGGCAAGTCTAAGGGCGGAAGCGTTGAGGACCAGACGAACGCCGCCCTCGACCGCCTTGTGAGTTTGTAGTTTTATAGGAATATTTTGTAATTTATCATGATGTCGTGTAGCTCGTCGAGTTTGGCAAAGAAATTCTGGCGATCATCCCCGGCCGCGTCTCCACCGAAGTCGATGCTCGCCTTTCTTTCGACAAGGAGGCCACTAAGGCAAAGGCGAGTAACTAGATTATTGGCCTCAACGGAATGCAACTGATTGAGATATAGGCCAAAGAGCTGATTGCCCTCTACGAGTCTGTCGGTATCAAGAAGGATCGCATCCTAATCAAAATCGCATCGACCTGGGAGGGTATCCAAGCCGCCCGCGAGTTGGAGCGCGACGATGGTATCCACTGCAACCTCACTCTGCTCTTCGGATTCGGTCAAGCTGTCGCCTGTGCTGAAGCCGGTGTTACTCTGATCTCACCCTTTGTCGGCCGTGTACGTTGTATCCAGGTTGCATTCTCACCCGGAATTTCACACTCTCTCAGATCCTCGACTGGTACAAGAAATCCACGGGCAAGAACTACGAGGGCGACGAGGATCCCGGTGTCAAGTCTGTCAAGAAGATCTTTAACTACTACAAGCAGCACGGGTACAAGACAATCGTCATGGGTGCTTCTTTCCGCAACGTGCGTATCGCTATTCGCAGGTGTAATTTCGGCCTCTGACCCTCGAATCTAGACGGGCGAGATCAAGGCTCTCGCTGGCGTCGATTTCCTGACCATCTCGCCAGCTCTCCTCGAGGAGCTCAAAAAGTCGACGGACCCAGTCCCCAAGAAACTGGACGCCTCTGCCGGTAAGAGATAAAGAATACCCGGCTCGGAATCTCCCCACTGACCGGCGCTTTTCGGCCGTGCTTATAGCCGCTCAGGCCGAACCTATTGAGAAGGTCAGCTTCATCGACAACGAGCCCGAGTTTCGTTGGACTCTGCTTCAAGACCAAATGGCGTTCGACAAGCTCCACGAGGGTATCAAGAAGTTCGCGGAGGATGGCGAGACCCTCAAGAAGCTTCTCCGAGAAAAGATCTCTGCCTAAATGCGGGACGTAGGCAAAAGTCTGGATGGGCGATCGATATTCAAGGTAGCCATATCATTTTCTTGTCATTACCCCTTCACCCTTCTCGCACCGATATTCTTCTGTAGAACTAGAAAGAAAAGAAGAAGAAAACCAAATGTATCTTGTTTCTTCAGATTTGTATTGCTAGTTCAAAGTCTTGTCGAAATTTCAATCATGTTCGTTTCTAAATGGATGGGCGCAACATTGTCGCTGGAGAGAATGGGAAGGAATGGAAGACAAGGGCGGTATGAAGGTCCAAAACAAAAGGTAAAGCGTGTAGTATAGTGTTCTAGTAGGGCGCCGTTCTGTCTTAAGGTTTCGTTGCTAGATTTAAGGTGTCGATTCGCAGTACATTACGAATTGCAAGACACAAATAAATAAGATTTTCGAGCTTCTACCTGCCGTCACCAGATAGTTTATTTCGCTTCTCCAGAAGCGGCGTCCCGGGCTGCTCTGTTATCGTCTTGGAAATTTGTCGATCTGCTACCATTCCTTATGATACCGAACAACGCATTCGTTTACTTCCTCCGGAGTCGTGAAAATATGTACACCTGTGCGGAGACGCAATCGTTCGGCATGCATGAGTGCCTCCAGATAACGCCTCTCGGCCATCGGTATCATACCGGAATGAGCCTGATTTTCTTCTACATTCCGACATCCTTTTCAATTTTGAAAGAATACTGCTCGTCTTTCTTCAGAATTTAGCCGACGCCATATCGTTTTATTTACGGCGTCTTATCCTTATGCGAAGGTCTGCCGAACTTAGGAAAGAGACATGATGGGCTTGGCGTTCTAAATTTGGAAACCTATTCCCGCTTCGGATGCTCTTGGCGCGCCGCCACAAGGCTCTGCAAAGAACTTGCGAAGAGGTCGTCGGAGTGCAGTGGACGCTCGAGCTTCCAATCCTCCGAGCCAATTTTCTAGGAACATCGGTGGACTGTGTACCTCCGTGCAGAGAATCATATACTACTCAACATCGTCCGAGGACCACAACGATTTACTGCGCATATTCCGGATTTCATATACCCCGGAGTGCACACCAGCGGCACCCCCGGATTTCAGTGGCGCCGAGGGACTCAGTGGCGTGCCTGCGCCGCAGAAGTCCCTCGCACTCTTTTTATAGACAAGGAAATTCTCTAGTGCCGCTCGTCAGGGAGTGCGAGCGAGCACGACGTGCCCGCGCACACCGCCATAGACTCAGAACACGCAATTAATCAGGCACAGTGCTTTAAATCAAGAAAAACCTACACTGAGCACGGAACGCTGGGCGCTTGGCTGCGCAAGCGCCCGGGTGATTTACGCACACCATAGCCGGTGTCGGCTAGGTTGGTGTGCTTAGCAAAGAGACGGCGTATATTAAGCTTTCCTTCCCCTTTCCGTCCCCCGAGCGGAAGTGGTGCACGATGCCACGGGCAGCTAAAAATAGCCGATGATGTGATTTTGTCGACGACGCAGATGGGCCCCCGTGAAGATCAAGGTGATGACAGACCGGGGCTTATTATTCAGAAGAGGCGCTGTAGTAATCTGTTGAGGAAGAAGTCTGGCGTTGTTCGAAGTTCGAACGCAAAGGCGCCAGAGGCTGAGACGGTTCGTTTGACGTACTTGCGTACATATGTTGCACTGCTGCAGCCTAGTTTATAGAACAAGCTTAGAGATTAGGACACGGCCATGAAAGCAGGCAGAAGGACGGAGACAAAATATTTTTTTGGACTCCGAACTAAGTGGATCCCGTGATTGATACATAGCTTGGAGAAGAGAAGGCGGGAGGTCTGGAAGGGCGGTTGCTATTGTGTGAGGAATTTTGGCGTTACTCGAGGAGTGTCGCAGTTGCATTCCTGGGCGCTTGGGGATTGCTCCCGTGCTTCTTAGAATATCGAGCTCGAAGATAGAAAGGTAAGACGGTATTCATAGGACTTCATTCCATTAAGAAGCCCTTCTTCTGTAGTCTTTCGCCGTTTTGGGCCGACGATAGGTTTGAAATAACCACAGCGCTAGGACTCGGAACTGAGAGATGTTTGTTTGGAAGGGGTTGACAGTCGACATATCTCTAGTGATCTGACGGGCGCTATGCCCAATTGCGACTAGATTTTTCATTCTTAGAAGATACCCAGTGTTCTGCGTATGCGACCGGTAGTGCACGACTTTGAATTAGAACCATCTCAACGCTGTCATGAGGTGGCAGTTGTCACTATATCTACCAGGCTCCAGTGCAATAGATAAACGTACGGCCGCGTTGGAATGCTGCTGGATGGATGATATACCGCTACCATGATCCGACACGGGGAGATACGTATGAGATGAGCGATCCGTTGAATAAACGATGACGATCGAGGGGCATGGACATCTACGGCGACCCTGACTCGTGATTCGCATAATAGACAGAGTGGTCATTGAAATGAAGGATTTCCAGGAAGCTGTCTGTCGGCGCTGTTGTCCTTTGGGTCTCGTTGAAAGTCGAGTCAGCTGGAGAAGGTGTCATGGAAGTACAGACCCATTGAACACTGACTCCAAATAACGTACGTCAGGTGCAATAGGGTGCAAGAGGCGTGGCGGAATGAGCCTTTCCCCCGGGTTGCCCAGCGTGAAACCACTCTATGTTCTCATTTCCGCGATTCTGAAGATCTGAAGATGAGATTTGACTGACAGTAAAGCGACCGCTCGAATGGCCGTCACACGCCCTTTTTCTTGAATGTCTCATGTTCATCGTGAGCGGTCTTGAGGATCATTGATTTGTGGTGATGGTAGAGCACTTCGGGGCTTGGTAAATGGTTCGAGCCATGTTGCCAATACTCCTGTAGGCAATGGATCGGGCGACCGAGGTGGCGACCTAGCTGGCTTCGCGAGGACAACGATTCCTCATTGTATGGAGCGGCGAAAGTGAGTTTCCGTCGTCTGCGCACATTGACATATCCGTGGCTCGTGACCGCACGGGACCAGAGAAAAATACAGTCGAAACGAAGTTTGACGATAAAAATTCAGCATTCCCGGCAGGGGGGCGACGAGTCAGTTAGAACCGAGAAAAAGGTTTTTGTCTACTTCACTCTCTCTCAGCAGGGATCCGTAGCCGAGGGTGAGCGTCAGTAGTGGGAAACCGAATATAGATACCTTATTGGGATTTTCAGGTGACAATGACGCCCGATCTCCAGAGTCCGACGGGATCAGGACCTATACTCGTATTTGGGCTTTGTTCTGAAATCGGTCAACCCGCCTCGGTGTTTCATGGTGTCGCCACCGTTGAAACATGAAGATCTTCTTTCTTTCAATTTACGCCCACGCGAACGAAGACGTGTCCAAGAGTGGGCAAAAATCGTGGATGGCCCAAAGATAAGATAGCAAATGGGCGCTAGGAGGTGGCTGTGCACAGATGTGCTTTGGCATTCTACCTCTAGCTATGTCGCTTTCTGTGACTATAGACTACATAACATTAAGTGTATTCTACTGTAGCTGACTTCACCACCACGTAAGACGTACTAGATTCCCAGAGATTGCAATGGACGTGCAAAGTCCATGAGTGTGACATACATGTGTCACTGTAACGTGTGAACTTGTGACTCCGTTTGTTGTCCGCTAAAGTCGACACGGCGGTTTGCTTTTACACTGCCTTTTGCATCGTGGTCTCTCGAATCTCTACTTTGGTAAGACATATCTACAGAGCTTTTGGTAGACATTCACTGACAAGAGATGCTACCTCAGGTCGAATTCCGTAGGGAATCAGCTCTAGTCAGCAGCTGCAGACATATCTGGCTTGTTGGAGCCATGTCTCCGAGACGCAAACGCCGTGCTTGGATGATTGATATTCTGTTTTACATCCAAAAAGTCCGTTTTTGACTGTAAGTCCAGGGCCCACCGTCCACCCTGATAGTCTATCGGTAGATGATCTGACCGCCCTCCGGCAGCTACAGATCTCTCCTGTTTCTGGCCAACGCTCATCATCATTACACCACCACACGACGCAATGTGCTTTCGTTTGCCAGCGTTTGGATCTGGGTATACCGTTTCGCGTCTGACTGGGGATGACTGTCGACGAATCAGATCGGCCTGCCCGACGACCTGGGAAGCTGTAATCGGGATCCTTGACTTAATTGCATCACAGGCTTTAAGAAGTCCTCAAAATGCGAGATCGTATTCCATTCTATTGAAACTCATATTCCCCGCTCTTCATTCTCTCTGTCGACATGTCGCGGAGTCAAAGCTCTCGCAGCGCGAACCCGCCGCCCATTCTCTTCTACGACGTGCCGCACAACTCCCCACAACCGTGGGCACCCCACACCTGGCGCGTCCGATTCATCCTCAACTACAAGCGACTGCCCTACCGAACGGTATGGGTGAATTTTCAGGACGTCGAAGCCACCCTCCGCCACATTGGAGTTCCACCGAGCACTCGCAGTGACGGTCGGGCAGTCTACACCCTGCCCGTTATGGTCGACCAACGAACAAATCCCCCGGTCATCCTGTCGAATGCGAACACCATCGCAGAATATCTGGAGAAGGAATACCCCGCGCGTCCCGTCTTCCCTGAGGGATCGCGTGCTTTGCAAACCCTCTTCGTCCACTTCGTCCAGGAGGTACTTTCCAAACCCCTCCTACCCATCATGGTCCCTCTCAGTCACCAGCAGCTCCCTGAGAGCACTCAAGCCCACTTCCGTGGTGGGCTCCCGCCGGCGGGTCCGCTCGTCGGCCCCGCACGCGAGCAAGCATGGCGCGCAGTTCAGGATCAGTTCGACTTCCTCGCCTTGATCCTCGACAAGAACTTCGGCGATGGTGCGGGCGACAGGGTTGTCGCCATGGGACACGACGTCTCCTATGCCGATTTTGCGCTGTGCTCCGTGTTGATCTGGATACAGCGCATGGCGGCGCATGATGGCTGGGCCAGGGTGCGATTGTGGAACGACGGGAGGTGGAATCGGCTTTGGGAGAGATGCAGGCCGTACATGGACGAGCTCTGACCTGTCCACCCGATGGGTCTGAGGCAGTTAGCCATGGTGGGCAGTGTGTTCAGCATCACCTTCGCTTCGTTCAAGTTTTTTTCTTCGAAGATTGCGTTTCGCCTTTTCGGTTCCCGTTTCGCGTTTCCTCTGTTCCGCTCTTCCTGGTCAATCAACCCAACAACTGCTACAGACTATAATTACCTGCGCGTTCGTAGACATAATTCCGCTTCTTTCACTCGGACTATTTGTGGACCTCCATCATCTATTTTGACAGCCTAGTATACCAGATTGTATTTCTAACACATCCCTCTTTCCGCCTTCGAGTTGTAGCGTTGTTCGTTCGTTTTCTAAATAGTATTTCCTTTGACTGCGGAGCGTAGCATACATGCAGTGTCGATAATTCGTTGTATAACATAGACAGACAGACATACGTGTACACAACAGAGACAGGAATTCTCTCGCAACCAACTCTTCTTTGAACGGACCTAAGTCTGAGGACTGAGATACATGTGTCATTCCGACTCTTGTTGGCCTGTGCAGCGCAGCGGAATGCATACGGAAAGCACTTCCTCAACATTCTGATAAGTTGCTCAGTCTTTTCTCGACATTGACGTTGGATACGACAGGCCGCGGCTCCAAGATGGGATGGGAACTCCAGGTATGCGCAGGCCATGTGTGACTCATGGACCAACAAATTCAATCTATCAAGAGGCGGAGCCCAACAACAGCGATTAGGCAAGCACGAGTCTGTACAACTGATAGGTGATAACAACACCGTCATGACTCTGCTGCGGTCCCATCGTCACCATCTCCGACGTCGCGCCCTGCGTGGGCGCGTCAGGTGTGCCCTCGTAATGGTGTGCCAACGAAGCTCGGCTAGGTCTGGACCGCGGCGCAGGAGTGCACCTACCCTCGAAGAACAAAGCAAAAAGAAAGAAAAACAAATTGCCCTGCCCGAGACGCCCATACTTGGGCAATGGACCGAAGAGGAATACGAGTACGCGGGTTGTTGGACGGCACATGAGTCACGGCGACTCAGGACCCGCCATAAACAACCAAAAAGAGGCTTGGGTCGTAGGCAGTGAGATAGATCCGACTAGGTGGAACGAGAGCTCCGAGGGAGGGGGAAGTAAGTGACAGATTCTGTCGCCGTCGGCATTGTGTGGGCACCCCACCCCCGTGATAGTCGCCCGTGCCCAGGGGAAAGATGTCGTGTTCGTTGTGCCTGTACCAGTTCCCGAGCAAACCTACCAAATTGTTGTATGATGGGTCGCTCCTTGAAGGAACGAAAACGGCGATGCCCCTCGTAAAAAAATTCTAGTGCGGCTGTTTCGCAAGAGGTACCATATGGCCATGTCGCACGCGGATGTTGAGAGGCAGTTAGAGGCGGTTCATTGGCGTAGGCTTGACTTGACCATCACTGTTGTTCGATCAGGGCTGCTGATGAAGAGACCAGAGTAGACACGGGGCGTACTTAAGCAAGACCAGCATCGACGTGTTGGGCTGAACCATAGCAGCCAACGTCCGTTGAGGATGGAACTTCAAGAAAATTCCCAAGAAACCTCCAATGGTGACGGGGAATCGGTCATCAGCATTAAATCTTCTTATTTATTTGCCAGTTGGCGCTGACTTGGAAGGCGAGAGCGCTGCAATGCTGCTCTGATGATTAGCGATCAAAACGCCCGAAACAGAAAGGCCCAAAGTAGGCGCCTGGCGTCTCCAACTGTCTCCAACCACATTCCTATACGGTTTACTTTGAGTCTTTAGGACTCAGCTGCAGTAATTCTAGAAAAGCAAGAGGAAGAAAAAATGTTTTGCCTGTAATACTATAGCGGCTGCGTAAGTGTGTTTATGAATATGCAATAACGCTGCTCACCTCGAACAGAGCTCCACGGAGAACTCTGGGGAATACTATCCGGTTTCTTTGCGGAAGGCTAGAGATAACTTGAGGAAAATAACGAGGATGTCCTCTCAACCCGTAGATCTGTCCACTGAAAACGGGATGGATGACCCAAAAAGAGAAACCGGGTCTGGAGGCGATGGCCGGCTGCGTATGGTTCCCGGGCAGGTTGTATGATATTGGTAACAACGTAGGTCGACATTCCAATGCCTCTGGCGATGTCCAGATGAATGCGAATCCTAGTAGCTGATAGAGAAACATGTAGAATTCCGTGTTGATTCCTGAGAGACCAAATTCCGTCCATCGCAATGGTAAGAATACTTGCATCTGCGATGCTGTCATCGGAGATGCCTGTCGAGGAAGAAGTATTCCTGTTCGTGAAATCTTTGGTCGAGCTACCAGTCAGCAGGTGCACTTATCACAGATGAGGGATTATAACTAACCGAGATACATAAACAAAGATCGCTGGTTCCGTTTTCCAAGTTCCCGAGCAAAGCATCTTGTTGATTGCACTGCTGAGGGAATCAAAACGGGCATGGCAAGGCCGATGTTGCGGGACTTAGAGGCATGCTTCAGTCGACGTTGATCATGTATGTCTGTATCACTTGTCCTGTCGCGTCACCGTCTCATCAACGGCTGATAACGAGGCATCTAGGATGGGCATGAATAGCAGCAATTTGCAAGTTGACCAACTTTCGGAACCTGGCGCTTTGAGCTTCCTTGACGGCCTTGTTACCCCTGAGTGAGAGTCGGATAAGAAAAATGGTGTCCTTTCGCATTTCCGGAGAAGAAAAGGGCGTACTCTGCAGTCTCTGGCCTTCGTCGGTGGTGATGGATGTCGGAGAAGAGTGCTTTGTGAGAAAAAGTTGAACGTCGCATGCATTTGATTGCTCGCCTAAGTTGCACGTTGGACCCTGACCTATGTGACGGACGCAGATGGCACTCTAATTTCGACGATACTCCTGCAGAAACACCGACATTCTCCATGGCCTCTTCCTCGTCGTCAAGCTCGTCTGGGCCACCGTCGTCGTCGGCGGTCACAATACCTGTGCCGGGAAAGTCGATCCTCAAGAAGCCACCACCGCAACAACAGTCGCTGTTCTCTCGCATCACCCGATTTCTGCCAACGCAGAACCAAACCCCTGCGGCCAGCGGCGAGGATGCGAAACCTCTGAAGAGAGCCCACTTCATCCTACCACAGATTGCCATTGTATACCCCATCTCTTCTGTCAACCCGCCATCAACACCGACACTCAAGGAGGAAAAGAGGGCGATTGAGGACAGGGAGGCTGAGAGGCGCAAAAAGGCTGTTCGAGGCACCCCGACGAGTCCTGGAGGTCAGGAAGTGGAAAAATGGTGGTCGATGGACCGTGTGGAAGCATTCTATCGAGAGTGTTGCGCAGGCTGTGAAGAGGAGCCGGACCCAGCGATTACCGTTGCCCTGAAGGTTCGTTACTATCATCTCAGTGTGCTTACCGTCTCATCTTTCCTTGTAGCATGCAACCGCCACCAACCCTAGAACAGTGGACTTCTCTGGCGTCCAGCTAAATTTCACCTCTGCGTCAATTCTATCAGATGTGTTCACCATCGAATGGGGCCTTCGAAAGCTCGTATTTCGAGAATGCGACTTGGATGATCAAGTATAGTTTTTTGCGTTGCTACTCTAGCACGAGTTCATTGATATGCACAGATTTTGAAACCAATGCTTCATTCTCTCCTGATTCCAGGGACCCTGTCATTCCTGTCGGTCGCGTCGAACCGACGCTTGAAGCCTCCGGCCTTTCGTCTGATCGGAGCTTATGTGGGCAAGGTATTCCTTTCTGCCTTCATATAATTTGTAGAAGGCCGTTCTAATTTGGACCACAAGGCGAAAAGCTTGCAATTTTTAGATCTTTCACAGAACATGTTGGATAAGAAGTCGATGGAATACATCGTGGCAGCGTTGGAAACGGCTCCTGAGCCTGGTTTGGTATCGTTGCGGCTCGACGATTGTTCACTACGACCGGCAGCTCTAGAGACTCTGTGTGCGTCCTCTTTACTCTGGCCAGTGGTTCGTCTTTCTAACTATGGCATGTAGGTCGAGCTGTCCGGACTTCATCCCTCAAGAATATCTCTCTACGGCATAACCGTATCTCTGCCAGCGGAGGGGTCGCCCTTGCCCTCATGATAAGAGACTACCCCGATGTCGTTCCTACCCCTTTATCCCCTGTCCCATCCAGCTCATCAGCCACCCCATCCTCATCCGCAGCATCCTCTCCAACCACCTCCGTATCCAACCTCTCTATAGCGTCACCCCCTGCGACACCAACGATATCCTCACCCAGCCCTCTCAGCGCAAGAGTGCCCGGGCATAACGGAAGTAACAGCAGCATCTCCGGTGTTGTTAGCCTACCACCGCCTCCACGACACCCGCCTCTAGGCGTCCAGACAACTTATACCCCGTATGTTCCTCGGGCAAGACGCGGTCGAGCACCGCCAACGACAGCAACAAACCCGCTCTCGCCGACAGGGCAACACATACCCCTTATCACTTCGTCATCACAAGGGGGCGTCACGATGCGTCATCCGGTGCCGAACGGAGGCGTTCCAGGTGCGAACGGGGTTCCACACCATGACGCAGGCCCGAGTGCAGCGCTGTTGGATAAGGTCAGAGCGCTGGACAACCTGCCTAGGCTGGGTGCACTCAGAACGCTGGATTTGAAGGGTAATGATCTGAGGGTGAGTGGAGTCGGTGCCTTGATATGTGTGCTATGCGTTTGGTTCTGACACCCTTCCTTTGATCTTTTGCGTCTGGGATTAGACGGGCATCACCTACATCGCGCAGGTGCTCAAGCGGAACAGGACGCTAAAAGTGCTTAATCTGAGCGAGAACAAGCTCGATGTGCAGTGTCTGGTAACAATCGCAGAGGCGCTGGTATGTAGATCATGCAAATCTCTATCAGGCCTCCTGATCGTTAAAATTTACCGCTTGTTCTATGTGCAGAAATACAACTCGTCTCTTGAGACACTGGATCTGAACAAGAACCCCTGCTCAGGGCCAGGTTTGGAGGGGGTAGGTATCAATCACCTTTTCTCTCTCCTTTTGAAACGCCGCGATTTTTGCTCCTCTCGTAAACGCGACGCCCAACACCATCGGAAATTTACTGACTTGATCCGTTCATTCATAGATCCAATCACTCCGGACAGCCTTTACGCTGAACACGGCACTCAAGCGCTTATTTCTGTCGTCGACGTCGATGACCTCCGCTGGAGCGATCGCGCTGGCCGAGTTCTTGCCCGAGTCGACGTCGCTCCTCCACTTGGATCTGACGAACAACAACATCGACATCGCGGGCGTGATGGCCCTCAGCTCCGGTCTGAAGGCGAATCATACGATGAGATGCTTGGACCTGAATATTCCTCCTGGTGATGAGGAGTTTGCTAGGTTGGTTGCCTTTTCCCTTCTGACTAGGATGGAAAAGTAAATGTTTTTATTTTCTAGGATGTGCAGGGAGATCTTGTCGTCGTGTGTTCGTAATACGGAGGAAGCCGAGCGTGCCTCGAAGGCTGCGGAAGGCGCTGTGCGAGGAAAGAGTTTATGGGGTATGATCGAGGACAGCGAGCTTGCGAAGTCGATTCGATTGGACGAGGAGAAGAAAGTGCGTATATGCTTATATATTTTCATTTTGTGTTTTAAGTTGCGTCGTACCAGATCGAAACCGACGTCGTTATCCGTGCACGGTCATATTTGACACAGCTCAACGAGATTATTGACGCTAACCCACCTTCCAAACCCTCGAAATCTACCAACGATGTTGTCGCGAAAGTCAAAGCTGTCGTCTCCGAGCTGGCTATCGTCATCCAAGAGACGGAAGACCCGACACGTCTCGAAGAGCTTCTAGGCATCAACGATCAGCTTCTCTCCTTGCTGAAGAAGGTGCCAGTCAGCACTAGGCCCAGCCTCACCCTACACGGCCTTGGATTGTCCCTCGACAACTCATCTCAGAGCTCTGATGACGGAGATGGACGGCTGGATGGTTTCCCTGGCATCAACAAGCGACCGAACGGTGGTGCACATCTGGCTGTCAACGGTTCGGACTCGAGTAGTACGGAGGGCATGGAGGACGAAGATGACTTGTTGACGCCGACCACGCCTAGGGTTGATAAAGGCAAAGGCAGGGCAGAACCCGAGCCAGAACCGGACGTTGTGCTCAGTCCGAAGACATTCATGCCGTTGTCGCCTGAAGCTTGTATAGACGAGGAGGCGAGGTATGAGGAAGGCATCGCCTCTCCGAATGATATGTTCGTTGACTACCTTGCTTTCTGCTTTATTCAGCTGACTTTATGTGTTCCAGGTCTCGAAGTATGGTGATGGAGGAAGGAGAGGTGTTCAGGAAAGGGACGGTGTTGCTGGGCCCCGAGGAGATGGAAGGCGAATATGCTGGCGAGGAGCTTCGCAAAGAGGTGTGTTACCTCTCTTCTTGGGTTTAGATTTTTGGCTCTAACGTTTGCTCAGCTTCTCGAGGCTATGGTTGAACGTCCGCCCCCGCGTCCTATGGACGAGTACGGGATAGACGGGATCGCTGGCCTGCCCGACCCCAACCGCGACATCCACGCTGACCGATCGCCGAATCGATCTCCGAGCATACCACCTGCGTCTCCTTCGGTGGAGAGTCCCAAGCCGAGACCGTACATCTCCCGCACGAGGTCGTCATCAAACTCAATTTTGAGCATAATCTCGCCCGTACCCTCTCCTTCTATGGAACAAGCGGACACGGCGATGTCAAGAGCCACACTGAGCCCTGTATCTCCGTCTTCGGCACGGCCTCCTCTTGCGAGGAGCCAGTCAACCCCGACGGCCTCGTAACCTCGCACTCGACAAGACCTGTCATCGCACCAGGACAACTGTCCGACGACTCAGCTCTGCCGACGCTGGTGGTCGGCATAGACGAATGTCATTTCAAAGGACATCTATGGAGGACTAAAGCCTTCTATCCATTCTTCCTCTCCACGGATTCCTCTTCACACTACTAGGCAATGTCTCCTCAAGGCAGAGGGTCATTGTTAATTCAAGGATAAGTATTCATACCGTACGACATAATTGCATATCTATTTCTCCTCCAAACCAGGTGTCCACTTTGTCGGCTCTGAGTCCTGACATTATTGTCTACACTTTTTACGTCTCTTCCTCGAATGACTAGGGACACAGCACCTCGGTTTCAGGGATAATTCTCCTCGTCTCCTGCTCGTCTTCCACTACCTCTCCTCCGTTCAACCTCCCCTAGTTTCCCATTTCTTTATTATATTGCGCGAATTGGCAGAGAATGGCGACTATGCGGGTCCGAAATTCTTTGCGTGCCTGCCAGGCAAATGAGGACTGGGTCAGTGCGTCGGGCGTGGCGCGTGGGACTGACTTCGCCAGAATTGCTGAGCTTTCTCTTACCCTGCAACCACCACCAGCGCCCCAATGCCTCCTCGTAAAGCATCTGACCCCGACGCCCCAGCGATTGAACCGCGTCGCTCAGGAAGAATAGCTTCTCTACCTTCTGCAGCTGCGACTGAAACCAAACCAACAGCTCCCAAGGCGAAGAAACGGACTGTGGAGGAAACAGCTGAGGCGAAGGAGGGCGAAGGTTCATCTACCAAAAAGGTATCTTTTTCATATACCTCTGATTTTTTAGGTGCTGAATCGCGTTTCTGCGTTGTGAAGAAGGCAAAGGCTAGCGCTGAGGGTGAGGCGGAGAGCAGCACGCCCGCATTACCAACTATCAATGTTGGCGACAGCCTGCCCAGCTTGGTCCTGAAGAGCGAGAAGGGCGAGGACATCCAGATTGCTGATCTCGCTGCTGAGAAAGGGGTCATCCTTTTCCTCGTTCCGAAGGCTGATACTCGTGCGTAACCTGGCCATGCTACGAGTAGCGTTGCTAATGCTCGTCTGGGATCTTGGCTTTATGGCCTTACGACTCTGTAGCTGGATGCACGAACCAGGCTTGCGGGTTCCGTGACAGCTATCCGGACTTTACGTCCTTGAACTACACCGTTTACTGCTTGAGTGCGGACTCGCCCACCGCACAGAGCAAATGGCAAACGAAGGCGAGTGTTTGCGTCGATTGGTGCCTTCCTCGTCGAGGCTTATCGTGTTCCTGTTCCTGTCGTCTCTAGAAGGAACTCCCTTACCCGCTCATTTCTGACCCGAAGAGGATCCTTATTACCGCGCTGGGTGCAGGCGAAGGAGGGAAGACGAAGAGGAGCCATTTCATCTTCGAGAAAGGAGGCAAGCTTGTTGAGAAGAAGCTCCCAGTCACCCCTGCCGACAGGTACATATCCTTTTCTTCCTCCCTTCATCGAGCAGGTAGTCTAACGAGCTCGACCCAGCCCGAAGCTTGCTCTCGAGTTTGTCAAGAGCCATCAATGATCATGAAATGACAACCCAGGTCCAAACCGCATGTAATACTATTTTATCGGGTATCTGTAAAGTTGAATCAGTTCTTTGCATAATGATACAATTGCTAAATGTTGTACAAGAGGTGTAGAAGATCGCGAGAGATGATCGGCGACCATGGCCCACTGGTACGCCGGGATGCTGTGAGGGTCAGCTTTTCGTCCTCATTCGTCCACGATGCAAAGACCTTACCTTCAAATCTCAAACTCAAGCTCGGAGGACATGGTGCTGATATCTGATTCTAATCCTGATCAGATAGCACACGCCCTGCATGCTATTAGTCCTCGCGTCCCTATTCAGACCGTAATATATCCAACGCACCTTCGGCAGCCTCTTCCAACCGAATCGCCCCACTCTTCCGCCGAGACTTGCTTAATCTCCTAGCCCGACCATCCTTCCGCCAATGGAATGTAACAGGCAAAACTCCGAGTCGGAACCGTGCCCTGCCCTCCGCCACCCTTTCCCCTCCCACACCCAACCCATTTTCTTCGTCACCAAGTTGGCACCAGTACCCGCGTTGTATCGAGACGCAGATGAACGCGCCGAGTGTCAGGCAAAGGGAAAAAACGAAGAGGACGGAGAGGCCGGCCGACTCCAGTCCTGCTGCCACTTTCGCGAAATGCGCACGTATGGTGGCGAAGACGATCGCGAGGGAGATGAGGCCCTTGACGAGGAAGTCCTTGAGGCCTGTGATGTACGAGGTGGCCACCATCGCCATTGTCTCTGGGTAAGTACGGAGTGTACGACTGTGCGATGTGAGGTATCGTGTGGAAAGGGAAGAAAAAAGGAAACATCATTCGGGGGGTTGTTTATATACTCTCACCGCGTGCATGCACACATCTCGGAACGGCCCTGTCCCCGAAGAGTAACGATGGGATCCTATATGAGAAATTATGGTCCAAGACTAGTCTAATAGCGCCCGCAGGACATAATGGCAGAGGATGATGGACAACCATGGTAGCATCACATGCCCGGTAGGCACACCTGTTCGGTCTTCAATTATAATACATAATTTGAACGTCGTCTCCGCAACGCGCTACTATCTCGTAGTGCACGGCATGTAGATGCCGTCTCGTTCCTTCGGAACAAAAGAACTTGAGCTTGAATTAAAAATGGATGACTTTCCTTAACGTTTGGAGATCGTTCTAAATGCAAAATCTCGTTTCAAAGGGTGAGGCCGATGGATGCCGGTGTCGCCTGTCAGGACCCCGGAAAATATTTCGTTCTCCGTTCTCTTCAACGTTCGTTTCAAACGAGAAGTCTAGGAGGAGGGTAAGTCCCCCCTTTCTAGCTCCAAAGTCTCATTCCAGGCTTTAACTGTCCCTTTTATGAATGTTCCCGACAACGGCAGCCTTCGGCATGCTTCATTCATGCCTCATTGCCCTTTTCACCAGGCGCGAAATTCCAGGCCCCAATGTCTGGAAACTCCCCTTCTCTCTTTCAATCCCCGACGCTGGCACCCCGTCGTTTACTTTAGAGCCTCAAATTCGTTAAGGAAAGTCGTCCAATAAACAAATTGTTCATGGCTGAGTTGGGCGAATAAATGGCATCGGCAGAAGACAATGGATATTCTGAAAACTACAATGCGCCGGTGGGCAAGTAATATCCGTAGTGTAAGAGAGTGGATAAGTACGACCAAGACGGGGTATGGCGGGAAAGAAAATAAAAAAGTTTATTGCTCAGTCAGCGAGTCGGAAATTTGGAAGTCTGGACGCTGGATTATTAAACCTAGACCTCACCTTCTAAGTCCCCGAGGACTCAGCGAGGCAAGGTGTACTGGGAAAGGCATGTCGCTTCAATCCATGATCATCTCTGCAATTCCAAGACTATATAAATTGGTCGCTTGACGGTTGGCATCGATGGTGATTGGTCTCCGTGACGGCCGGGAGACCCAACACGAGCGCACCTGAGTATATCCGGAATCGTAAGACTTTGCGGACATGTCTGGGATAATTGAGTGGGTAGGAAGAGGCGTCACTGTCCTGGAGGATATGTTGTATGGCAAGGGAGGGAAAGGGCCAGTTTTGAATTGCAGCGACGGCGCTTAGGACGTCGAAGATGATAGCATCGATGATGGGTGTGCCGGAATGGCCCACAGTAAGTATATTACACGCGTCCAGCAGCTAGCCACGATTTAAGCGACTATATCAAGGTGAAGAGACACCATTAAGCGGTCCGTATTTCGAGGGATGCCGCGCTTGACAAGGGGCTGAAATACCTTCAGACGACCGTAGTTTTCTACTACATTCGCTCTGATGGGCAGCAGACGACGCATAAATCGAGGCATCCCAGTTTCCGAAGCAAATGCATAGCCAACTTCAAAGGAGGAGATTCGCACCTCGAAGCAGCGCCCGAAAGATCCGGAGACGCCACAGAGTGCGAGCTGCACAACGGCCTTCACGATCCACATCTGAGCAGCAAAGAGCCTATCAATGAGGAGTTCTAGTACCTTGATTCCGCTGATGAAGTCTCGAGGAACTATCAAAGCCTTGGTCCGTCGATTTTCCGATTAATAGACGCGTAGTGGCCGTGATAGGAGTATGTACCGATGAGACAGTTGGAGGACGTCTTTGTGCACGGATCCGCGTCCTTCTCTTGATGAATATATATACAACCCCTAGCCTGCTCGAAGAAGGGAGAGTTAGTCACAGAAGGCGACGGCGTATAGCGATTTATCCACAGCAAGATATCGATGGTCTTTCGGCAAGTCCAGGAAAATAATTCGAAGAATTCCACTTCTCCACAATCATTTTAGTGAAGAGCTAAGCTCTTGTTTGTTTTCCTGGGAGAAGAGAGGGCTGAAACTAGATCCAACTAGTATAGTGGATCTTCTGCAATAGGACTTCCTGTTGGATGTCAGATGCCAGCAAAGTTCTAGCTGTGATGGGAGGAAGTAGGCCTTTTAGCCGCTCAAATTTACTCCAAATATAGCAATGTATTATGTAATATTTGCCTAGAACTCGAAGATTCTCCATCAACACCGCTTTTCCACCGTCAACGATGTTCACCGCAATTCCAAAGGCAATTCGAGGGATTTTAACAGACTCTCCGCCGTCGACGCCAGGAGCCATCGACGCCGATGCCAATGTCCGCGAATTTATCCACGTGTATCGGGATGAATCTTGCTCATATCGGCGCGCATGATTCAAGTTGCCGCACGTGGTCGGACGGAATCGCCCAAGCCTGTGCAGGCTGTCTGCGGTACTAAAAGACGGGTCTAGTGGAACTATAAGTACGAGGTTCCTGTGGCAGTGGGGCATCGTGGCTTCCAGTCCTTACCACCCACGACAACGACCAAAGTTCTTTTGGATTTCTCGAACGCGAACACGAAGAGGAGCACGATGGCGGCCTTCCTTCTGAACCTCTGCTTCTTCGTCGTCTTCCTGATCGACCTATGTGCTGGTCAAGAGCCACTGTTACACCTGCCCCATAATTTCACGCTCGCAGCTGTCAATGTCACCCTGCCTAATGCCAACAGGACGGGGGCGCCTCTAGTACTTGGACAAAATGGTACGCTGACCCCGACGTCTGATCATCCATCGGAAACCTGACGGATGGTCCCGATATCCAGGTGCATCGTCTGGGATATCGTTCTATGTAACCTCGGTATGTGATATGGCCGATCTCGTCCTCCTTCGTGGCATGCTAAGAAAAGTGTCGGCTCTAGACTTACGCATCATTCCCGTACAACGACTATCCTACTCTCGCCATGCGAGACGGCGGCCTGCGGGCCTACACATCGTCGGGTCGATGGATCACGAACGCGACGGAGGTCAGGAGCGGCGGTACCCTGGGCTGGGTGACGACGACCATCTATGCTGCTCCAGCGCCCAAGGTCTATTCCGCTGTCAGGGTGCCTGCATACAAGCATCATCTCCTCGCAGCACATGGGTTCCACAACCTATGGTCACTGTGCCCATTCCATGGCACCTATCCGCAGACGAACGTCGTCTTCAACGTGTCTGAGGCCATCGAGAACCCCCCGCCCACCTTTGATCCGACAAAGTGCTATCCAGTGCGAATTAATATCATCCCGGTCAACGTAAGTAGAACTCTACCTACCCGCGTAGCAGGTCATCCTAACGATTCTTCTTCGCAGGAGGCGTGAAGCTTCTACATTTACTCTACTCTGGAATGGAGGTTATGAACACTTTTGGAATTACCTTTGAAAAACGCCGCGAAAGGCGGCACGGACTCACGTTTCCACGGTCACTCTTACTCAAGCACTGGCACGGACTAATAGTAATAACGCCTCAGCTCACGTACGCATTTACGTCTCTACATCGCACATGTGTCTAATAGGACTCTAACACTAATTCCGAGCGACGACACGACTTTTCGGGGGATCTCGAAAGCAGTTGAAGGTCTAAGCGTTGATGTTCACGGGGCTGCATCCAACAGCAATAACGCCGTCTAAGAAGAAAGAAATGAGCAATCAAGTGCGCGCTGTGGGCGATAAAGGAAAGAAACACTTACTGAACGTGTTGTTGGTGCAGCACACCGGCTGCTGGGTGCTGCTCGATAGCAAACGCGAAACCGTCAGAATTTCTCTATCTGATACCGCCAAGCCGGCTATGGAAAGACTCACCAAGAATTACCGCTGAGAACAACACCTGTGATTGGGCTGCAGGTCTGCCCGACAGAGCCAGTGACGCTGGCGAGAATGATCCCGTACTTCTCGAGCAGCGCACGTCCCTTCGACGAGTTGTGGTCGTAGACGGCGTTGCAGCACTGCAGGTCTCCGGTGTTGGCTTTGCAGCTTGGCTTGTTGGTGGTGGCAAGCCCGCTGATGAGGGCCGGGGTGGCGGCCAAGACGGCGAGGGTGATGGTGGCGAGCTTGGTGAACATTTTGGGGAATGTTGGGGTTTAGTGGGAGATGGCGAAGTGCTACGGTGGACTGTCTACGCTGGCGGGTGTGTTCAACTGCGTTGGGAATGAGGAGAGCCTGTTGGATTCGAACGAGCTTATATACCTCTTCAGCAGGTGGGAATCCTACCGACAAGCTTCAGAATATTCGACGGGCCTCTTCTGCGGCGTGGAGCGCGCGATGGGCGGAAGGGCGGGAGAGTATGGGTAACAACGGGCGTTTAATTCTAGACTTCTTTTTTGAGCTTAACGGCGCCAATTGATTGGGCCCGGCGCTGTAAGCTTCATAAGGAGGCGAACGCTGGCAACGCGGAATTGCATCAAGAACAGAGGAAGGTGGATAGAGTTTTTTATGAATGGAGCGTGTTTATTCTCTATGTTTTAAACTCGGACGACTCTGGCGTACTCCTCGGAGGATGGTGGCGTTCTGGAACGGTGAGCGCGTAATTGGCAAGATGTTCCCCTTTTGTGGGTGTGGCGCATTACACCCGTCGTGATGGGGTTTACCTTCAGTCCCGATATTTCAATCATAGGGACTGTCTCCCATGTTCACGCGTTAATTATTTGATAGGGAAGAACACCTATGAATTTCGTGGCTTTTTATCCACCTTTGTTTTTCAGGCACATGCGTGTTCAAACGTTCACGCTGGATGCGTTCATAGATATGAGTCCGAGAAGGTTCTTCGGTTAGGCAAGTACCCTGAGATATATTGGGACTCCTTGGAGTTGACGTCGTACGACTCTTTTACTCGACTTTATTTTCTTGCTCAAGATCTGTACGAAACCCAATTGCAAGCCTGCGTCTCGCGTCTGGTGTGGGCTTACCCCTGCCTTGCGGCCCGTCGGCCCGGCCTCCGACTTTCGGTTTCCCATCCGAAGCTTTTCCACTTAAGTACCATCATAAGTGAATACCGAGAATCTCTGAACCAAACCCCCATGAGCACTTTCGCGAAAGCATCATTCAACGCCGCTACATACTCTGCATGGCGCCCTACTTACCCTCCGCAACTTTTCGAATACATATTTGCCTATCATCGGAGAGGAACTGGCTCACCGACTCATGAGGCACGATGGGAACGCGCTGTCGATCTTGGGTGTGGAACAGGTACGCAGGAGACACCTGGACTGATTCTCCAGAGAATGAGCTAATTTATGCAATAACAGGCCAAGCAACGCTCCAACTCCGACCATTTCGCGAGGTTATTGGAATTGATCCTTCTGGTGGGATGCTGGAGACAGCCAGGGCGTCGCTTGCAAAGTCGAGCCTGGCTGCTGCTGCAACCAGAGATACGAGCTTCACTTTCCTGGAGGGCTCGGCCGAAGATCTGAGCAAGACGATCCCGGAGAACGAGAACGTCGACCTTCTCATCGCGGGTGCCGTCTACTCTATTTCTCTCGCTTATAATATACTGATAATTATAAATAGCCCAGGCTGCTCACTGGTTCGATTGGAGCAAGGTCTGGCCAGAAACGCACCGTGTCCTTCGTCGTGGTGGCACCACAGCCTTTTGGGTTCGTCTCCTCTTCTACACAGTTCGTGGCCAGCGATTCTAATTAATATCGTCTCCTAGGTCTACGCTGAATTTCGACTTCCCCAGTTTCCTTCATTAACTTCGATAATCACCGCTTATGCTCAAGGAAATGATCCGCGCACGAGTCTAGGGCCTCATTTCCAGCGTCCTGGGAGGACGATCCTGGAACGTTATCTCGTAGACGTTCCGGAACCTGAGGCATTCGTGCCTTCTGGAGAGTTTACCCCACTGAAGCGCGTCTACTTCTTCGGTCAGTCACTTTTATACGCACTCGTTGAGGTACCTTTTTGACGGTGTACTAGGAGACGAAATACCATCCTTCATTCCTGAGGATCGCACATTCCAGCCCACGTTCCTGCGTAAAGAAATGCGATGGCGCGATCTCTTGGGATATCTGCGGACGTGGAGTGCACTGCACAATTATCACGAGAAATATCCGGACGACCTCAAGGCCGATGAAGACACCAGATTCCTTAAAGAAGATCTTGCCACTGGCGCAGAACCTTTCGGTCAGGACTCTATCTTCCCGAGTCAGTCGGTCTCATGGATTAATCTTGTTGTACACTAGACGACATACGAGGTGGCGACATCTCAATTCGGTTCTGGAAGGACCTAAGAGAAGGCGTCAATAACTCAGAGCCGACCGAGTTGGTGGGAATAGAGGATCAGGTTGTCGTCGAATGGCCTGTGGCCTTGTTATTGACGACGAAAATGTAGCACTCAAATCGCACAATAATGGCGCAGAGGCATGTCGGACTTGGTTTGCAAAGCAGTATATTCATTTCTTCGACGAAGTCTTCACTCTTCAGAGAGATTTGTGGCTCGTAGGATAACTATTTAAATTTCCATGTGAGTCTATCCTGTGAAACAATACTCCTGCGAGGATCACTCGTGCACGACCATGTCCCACGGATCTGCATTGGAATTGTGCATTCGCAAGACCTCGTCCTTCCTTGCAACCCGGATTTCTCTAATCTAAGAAGAGATCCGACCTCTCCCACTGCTTTGCCCTTCCTGTAGTATCTCGAGGCAGGATGCGCGGAAAGATCATGTCGAAACCATGTGCAAAGTTGGCGGGCTGCTCGATCGAGGACGCTAGCCGGTCGAATGCCTCGAGGCTATGGGACTTCACGGGAATTTCACTGTGTAGTGGAATCGTCTCCGCATGTACGGACAGGCCGAGCGAGTGCAAGTTTCGGAACCAAAGTCAGCCAGAAAAACATAAACGTCATCGCCCTCGCCCGTTGAGTGGGTCAATGTCGAAATAAGCTGCAATAAATTGCTTAGGGCATCGATGTGCAACCGCAATTTATCTAGTAAGGCAGGTTCCTGGAACAAACGACAGGTTAACGCTGCATGTAGGAGGGTGATTGATTCTTCCACTGATTGCGACCTGTCAGGAAAGCATTCTGAGCTCTCAGGCGAAAGGTGAAAGAGGATTTCATGAAGGATATCTCGATGCTGTAGAACGGTGTGTATGGTAGTGATGGTGGAACGAAGCAGAAAGAGATCTTACGGGAGAAGAAACCTGGTCACAAATGTTATCTTATCTAATCGTAGCATCCCATGGGGTTATTATTTGCACGGCACGGTATCCGGCTATTGTGGGCGCTTATTTAATATTTGGGACCGCACAGAGAAGTGTCCATTTATTTCGAGTGATTTTTTGTAGTTATGGAGATACGCGAAGGTGAACATACATACCAGAAGCCTTCTGGCGTGCGCCGTGCACCATTTCGCCAGGGCTTCAGGAAATAATTTATAGTCGTACTATGATATGCTCCGAGGCGGGTTTTACATTCACCACAAGGCACATCTCTCCCTTGACAAACTCCATTGATCCAAGATCTCCTCCTTCCACGGGGTTTCAAGCACATTATTCTGACCCAATGGCTTGATCCTGAAGGAGTAAGTGAAATAGTCTCAGATGTTGAATGATGTGAACGACTATTAGAGGTCTAGCTACCTGAAGGAGTAAGTGAAATAGTCTGTAGTAAGGTAGTTAGTATGAATGCAAGTGTAAGCATAGCAGGGCATATGACTTACCTCAGACATTGAACAATGTGAATGACTGAGGTAGTGGGCTGCCCCACCAGGTATATATATGTAAGAATAGAATATCAAATAGGGTATGGTCTGCAGGCGGATGTAGGCAAGGCAGGAGATGGCATAAGGTACAGCCGTACCGAGGCATCACCTGACATGAAGAAAAGGAAACTCGCTGTACCAAGGAGTGCAGTGCTGTGCCTTGGGAGCTATCCCTCATCTCTCTCAACACTCCCCCAGACGAGGTAGGTCCCATCATCCTATGCATCGCAAAGGCCCAATGCATGGGTGAACTTTTCATGAGTTGCCTGTGGTAGAGGCTTTGTCAGTATGTCAGCGATGTTGTCATCCGTTGGTATTTGGACAATCTCCATGTCGCTGTCCTTGACGCATTCGCGGATATAGTGGTGCTTTACGTGGATATGTTTCGCTTTTGTGATGCCCTTGATGTTCTTTGCCAGGTCAACCGAGCCTTTGTTGTCACCATGTATCAGGGCAGGCGACATTTGCTCAAGTCTGGCCTCACTAATCCATCCCTGCATCCACACTGCCTGCTGGCAGGCACGGTTCAGTGCCATGTACTCCGCCTCCATTGTGGATGATGCTGTCATGGCCTGTTGTTTAGAGCTCCAGGTGACAGGCCCGCCAGCCATGGTGTAAATGTACCCTCCAGTGGACCGCATGGTATTGGCATCCCCAGCATAGTCTGAGTTGGAGTATCCTGCTACCTTGAGGCCATCAGCAGAATTTGGGTCATAGGTGATTTTGTAGTGTAAGGTGCCCTTAATGTATGTGAGGACGTGTTGCGATGCCCTCCAGTGTGCAGGTCCAAGATTTGCCTGATATCAGGAGAGTAGGTTGACGGCGAAAGAGAGGTCCAGTCGTGTTCCAACCTGCAGCCACATAACGCATCCCAAAGCTTCTCGGTAGGGCTTGTCCTTCATGAAGAGGGTCTCTTCTTCCATGCGTGGTGAGTTGAGCTCAGACAGTTTGATCCCGCATGGAAGTGGCATGGACTTTGCGTTGCAGTCTGACATGCTGAACCGCTCAAGTGTACGTTTGGCAAACACTTGTTGGGAGAGGGTAATTGTGCCAGTCTTCTCATCCTGTGTCATATCCTCTTCACCTCGTAGCACCCTTCCATCTTGCCTATTGCCTTCTCCTTCTCTGCCAATGATGAGGAGCCGCCAAGTACGTTGTCTGTGTATGTGCATGTGAGGGTGTACTTGCCATCAATAAGGCGGTGTCTGATGCAGGGGTCAGCACAAGATTGGTAGTATCCGAGTCTCTTGTATGTCCTTGACAGCTCATCCTCCCAGTCGTATGCCCCCTGCATCATCCCATAGACCGTTTTGTTGACCTGCAATACCATGTGCTCCTTTCCCTGAACCACGAATGGCCAGGGTTGCTCCATGTACACCTCAAACTTGTTGATGCTGTTGAGATATGCAGCAACATAGTCGATCTGCCATGATGTGAGGCGCTTGCAAGCAATAACAGTGGCAGTCATCCTCATCAACTCAAGGCAAGCAACTGATGCATATGTTTGGTTGAAGTTGAGTCCTGGGATCTGTGTGTAACCTTTAGCCACGAGTCAAGCCTTTTGTTTGGTTATCTCCCCCTCAGCATTGTACTTGTAGCCAAAGGTCTAGAGTGGTTTGATGATGTTCTTGCCAGGGGGGTGGTCAGTGAGGGTGAATACCTCCCAGTGCTGCATAGTTCCTCATTCAATCTGCATCAGCTCAAGCCATAGGTTGGGTTCCCAGAGTGCTTCAACAGTGCTTTGTGGGAGGTGGTGGTCAGAAGATGAGGCAAGCATTGCCATGTAGTCATCTAGCTCAGTGTGGAGTGAGGGAAGGTCAGTGGCGAGCATTGTCCATGGTTTGGAGCTATCAGTTGCCCAGTCAATGCCATCTGACTTCACCTGGGTCAGTCGCCCCTCAGACTCGCACAACTCCAGGATTGCGGTTGTCAGGCGTGTGGTGTGTGTGGACCTCTGGGGCTCTGCATTGGGTGGTGGTGCAGCTGGAGCAGCTGGGCATGGCTCTGCTGGTGTTGTGGGTTCCATGGGGGCATCATGGAGGATGTCAGTAGGGCAGGTACACGGTGCCACAGGTAACACCTCTTGGACCACCCTTCCTGGAGTCCCATTGCCTGCTTCCACATCATCTGTGGGTGTGGAACCAAAGATGTCATATATATCTTCTGAATCCATTGGAGGTTGTGTGGCCAGCAGCATATGATGTCCTGTTCCTTCCTCAAAAATGACATCCCAACTCTTAATCACCTTTCCTGTGTGTTGATCAAAGAGCTTGTATGCATCGTGGTCATAGTAGCCAATGAGCAAGTACTTTATGGATATTGGGCCAATTTTGGAAGGGTTCACTTCCTTTGGTATCTTCGCATATGCAGTGCACCCAAATGGGTGCAGGTGGCTGACGTCCTGATGCTTCCCTGTCCAGACTTCAGTTGGTACCTTCCTGGGATGGCGGCTAGAGGGAATTAGATTGTGTGTGTATACCAATGTGGCAGCAGCGTCTGCCCAGAGGGATGGGGGTAGCCTGGAGTCACACAGAAGGCATCGTACCCCCTCGACAATGGTCCGGTTGGTCCTCTCTGGTACTCCATTTGATGCATGAGCGTATGGCACTGTCAATTTGAGTAGAGTCCCAGCCTCCTGGCAGTAGTCTTCGCATGCCCTGTTCATGAACTCCTTTCCCATGTTGAGGTGCAGCTTCTTGAGCTGCTTCCCAGTCTGCTGTTCACTCTCTGCCCAGTACTCTCTGATGGCCTGTAGTGTTGCATCCCCTGACTTCTTAGACAGGAAGAAAGCCTTGCGGTATGATGACACATCATCAGTGAAGACCATGAGGTACCTTGCTCCCCCAGTTGAACACACTCATGCAGGCCCCCACAGGTCAATGTGGACGAGAGCAAGGAGCTCTGTCTCGGGTGTGTAGTGCTCGTCATATGGTCTCGAGGTCTGTTTTCCATATATGCAGTCTTCACACATCCCGGGTGCTCTGTCCAAGTCTCCACCTGTGATCTGGAGTCTGTCAACGAGGTTCTTTTGGGCCATGTCTTCTATTAATGTTACACCTGCATGGGAGAACTGCCAGTGCCAGATGTCGATGCTGGTGGGTTTCTCATGGGACCTCACAGATAGGGCAGCTGTGTCTGGTCCTTGGGATAGAAGGTACATCCTGTTCGAGCAGTTGGCCGTCACGAAAGCTTCACTGTTGGAATCGATGAATCGGGCACGTCCTTCCCCGAAGATAACCTTGAAGTTGGCAGTGTCAAACTTGCTCACAGAGATAAGGTTTGCAGCAAACTCAGGTGTATGGAGGGCATTGTAGAATGTAATTGTGGTCTTTTGCCCCTCTGAGATGAAAACCTTCACAACTGTCCCCTTTCTGAGGATTTTGAATCTTGCCCCTCTGCAGGCAGCCTGGCCTTCGCATGACTCAATGAATGGTTCATAAGCAGAGAAATCATTCTTATTAGCAAAGCAATGGTCGCTTGCACTGGAGTCAACATAAGTGAGTAGCTCTCCTCCTCCTGAAGCCATTGCTGCCAGCGCTGTTGGTTTGTCTCTTGTCGGTATGAATGAGACTACATGCTCTCCCGTACCTCCATCTTTGTCCCATCCCCCCATCACTGCCATCAAAGCATAGGCTGTCTCAACCATGGCCACATTCGCGGTCGTTGCAGGAGTGGTTGTTGAGGGTGTTGAGGAATTTGTGGATCCATTTGCACCTCCACGCTTCCCAAAGCCAGGTGGAAACTGACCATCCTTTCCCCCTCCTGACCAGTAGCACACATCAGCAGTATGGCCTCTCCTGTGGCAGTTGGTGCAGTATTTGTCTGGTTTCTTCTGCTTGGTGTCAGCCTGGAGTGCCGTGGTGGTTGTGTTCAGGGTGGCGATGGTCCTGGTTTCAGAGACGTGTTGCCAGTGAAGGCCAATCCTAGTGATGACCTCAGCAGCTGTCTTGGCCTCATACAGTGTTGAGATAAATGCTTGCCAGACAGGCATCATGGGCAGGGATTGGAGCTGGATTATTTGGAAGTCCCTGTCGAGAACCTCTGCACTGACCGAGTTTGCGTAGGCCCATTTGGATCGGAGGTTGGCGATGTGGGTGTGGAGGTCGTCGCTGTCACAGAGTTTGATTTGGCATAGTTTGGTGTCTGCGAGGACAGCCGTGAGGTCTGAGGTGGTCTCGTATTGCAACTTGAGAGAGGTCCAGGCCTGAGCAGCCATTCTGTTGGTCTTGACTCCTAGGCCAACCGTGTTTTTGACGTTCCAAGTGATTAGGCCCATTGCCCAGGCGTCACAGGTGTCCCACTCCTCCGTGGAGGGCGAGGTTGAGGTCCAGGGTGTCAGGGGCACAGCCGCTGTCAGGGTAATGGTGGTAGTGATGATAGGGGCATCAGTTGTTGATGGAGAAGGGGGAAGTGGAGCTGCCAGTGGGTGCGCAGCCGGGTTCACTATCAGCTCCTCGAGGTAGCCGCGAGCTCCTTGGAGTCTTGCTGAGATGAGGATTGCTTTGTTCCATTGGAGCCAGTTCATCCCGTCGAACTTGTCCGCCTTGGGGAAAGTCGGAGGGGCTGTGTAATTCAATGCTGTGGTTGTAGTCGTAGACATGGTGCTCTGTGTGTGTGTGTGTGTGTGTGTGTGTGTGTGTGTGTGTGTGAGTCATCGATGCTGTAATTGTTACGTAGTGTCTGGGTTCAATGATTCACAACCTGGGGCCCATCACCTATATCAATTAGAAAAATATAGAAATACAAGGCAGTTTCCTAACTATGAATCTAAGCCCTGGAGGGCAATATGCTACCTTCCACTTTGGGAAGGTTCTCCTAATAAGAGGGAGGGGTTGCCGGGTGCCCAGCATCTGCAAGGGTGATGAGGAGGGGGTAAATAAATTAGTAAGCATCCATTTCCGGGGTGGATGGGTGGAGGGAGGTGCAGGAGGGGGTGGAATGGGGGCAGGATAGGCCAAGCAGGACCCCGGGGCACTGCAGAGAACTGGTCATGTGTTTGCTCTGCAGCCTCTACCGGGGCTGTTTTTTGTGAAAAAAGTGCCCAGGGCCAATGTGATAGTATGTTACTGTATGTCATAAAAAAATCAGGAGAATCTGGGATGTGGAATGTTGCGAAACAGCACGTATGAGGTGTCACCTTAACTTGGTGCGTGTTTATTTCTAGCACAAGCTGCTAAATTGGGATCTGGCATCAAAATAGCCATTGCTGGTGCATTTTGGGCTCGTTTGGCTTCCCCCTGGGTGGAAATTGATGGGAACGATGACGCGATAATTTTGAGGGAATTCATAGCTACCTGTAGACACCCAGAACATGTGAATACGACCATTTTTGGCGATGTTATGGCCTAAACTGTGCTTCTATGCACAAAAATGCGAAAATGCGCACCTAATGCTCTGCCTCTCATGCATCCCTGCCTCATAAAAACTAGCCGATAATTTAGTATGCTACTAGAGCTTCAGAACGAGCCAATAATAATGGCCTTGCATGCATTATTAGTTATGCAATGGGCCTTTCGATGTTTATGTGCTAAAAACCCGAAAAATCGCACTCAAATCTCTATGCCACACATGTATCTATCCTTCCAAAACATTATCCGTTAAGATAGAGATTGATAGAGGCTACAAAACGCACTATTCAGCATCTCCACACGTTCATTTGTTCCAAAGATATACCTACAACACTCCTCATCCCTCAATATCACAAAAAGCGAACTTCTGTATCTCCCCCAATTATTATCCAAGACCTGTAGAACTTTTCAGTCAGTCTCACCCAGTGCCCTACTCACCATTTACAATCACATAGCATGGTATAGACTCCCTTTTAATATAATATAAGCACCCCTTCCTCCTCCCCCTGAAAAGCCAGAAATGCGCCCTCCATTTCCCATTCCCCAGGCTACTTATGTGAGCTGTAACATATATACATGTTAATTGTAGCCATATAGGTACCTCCATGCAAGAATACAGGAGTTAATAATGCCAAATGCACTTGCAGTGGCCAATTTCGGGTTTTCTACCTGTAATCACCTTGTTTGCCCCATGGGATGCCCAATTCTTCACCAATCTTCAAGAGGAAACATGTCCCAGAATCGGAACAATCTCCTCTTCAAATTCCAACACCTCTGAGATGACCAATGTGACACCTTAGATAACATAAAAATTGAACTGATTGCCACTTTTAAGGAGATCAAGGATATATATAATTAATCAGACAATGCAGAGACATTCTACTGACTACTTCTAAGTGTCCTCAAAAAGTTCTATTGTGATTGGGTCATTGTGGAAGGCAGAAGGTCTGAAATGAACCTCAAACAGACTGGTGAGGAGTGGTGATCACCATATTGCCTAGTTTGTCAAATGTGTTCACCCCGGAAACTGGAGGTAGTATCATTGCTCACAGGTCTGAGAGGGGTTTACAAACACCTGATAGTTACTATAATCTATAATATATATTTTAAACACATTTTTACAAAATTTTAGAGCAAGGACTATACCTCCAATCCGAGGTAGAATCTTGGAGAGGGCAATTGAGAAGGCAGAAGGACAGTTACATGAATAAAATATTCAGTTCTTATTCAACTTGCATTGGACTTTTTCTATATCACTCTAACAGTAGTATAGTAAGCATTCCGAGCTATCCAATGAGATTTGGGGCACTAGAGGATATGCCAGAAGGATGCCATGTCCACCATCAACATTGTGGGAATCCCCCAGGCAAGAAGGAGGAAGTGTCTTTGGTCATGGAATTGGGGTGTTTCTACACAGTCTGGAGGGCAGAAAAAGAAGGGAGGGTGCTAGGATAGTGTTCAGATTATGTTGGAGTGACAGGAATACCCCCAGCTTTGCTTGAAGGGATATAAGAGTGCACATTTTCGATTTTTCTGGTATCTTGTGAAGTGTTGTAGGTATATCTTTGGAACAAATGAACGTGTGGAGATGCTGAATAGTGCGTTTTGTAGCCTCTATCAATCTATATCTTAACGGATAATGTTTTGGAAGGATAGATACATGTGTGGCATAGAGATTTGAGTGCGATTTTTCGGGTTTTTAGCACATAAACATCGAAAGGCCCATTGCATAACTAATAATGCATGCAAGGCCATTATTATTGGCTCGTTCTGAAGCTCTAGTAGCATACTAAATTATCGGCTAGTTTTTATGAGGCAGGGATGCATGAGAGGCAGAGCATTAGGTGCGCATTTTCGCATTTTTGTGCATAGAAGCACAGTTTAGGCCATAACATCGCCAAAAATGGTCGTATTCACATGTTCTGGGTGTCTACAGGTAGCTATGAATTCCCTCAAAATTATCGCGTCATCGTTCCCATCAATTTCCACCCAGGGGGAAGCCAAACGAGCCCAAAATGCACCAGCAATGGCTATTTTGATGCCAGATCCCAATTTAGCAGCTTGTGCTAGAAATAAACACGCACCAAGTTAAGGTGACACCTCATACGTGCTGTTTCGCAACATTCCACATCCCAGATTCTCCTGATTTTTTTATGACATACAGTAACATACTATCACATTGGCCCTGGGCACTTTTTTCACAAAAAACAGCCCCGGTAGAGGCTGCAGAGCAAACACATGACCAGTTCTCTGCAGTGCCCCGGGGTCCTGCTTGGCCTATCCTGCCCCCATTCCACCCCCTCCTGCACCTCCCTCCACCCATCCACCCTGGAAATGGATGCTTACTAATTTATTTACCCCCTCCTCATCACCCTTGCAGATGCTGGGCACCCGGCAACCCCTCCCTCTTATTAGGAGAACCTTCCCAAAGTGGAAGGTAGCATATTGCCCTCCAGGGCTTAGATTCATAGTTAGGAAACTGCCTTGTATTTCTATATTTTTCTAGCTTACATGGCTGGGCCCATAACCTGAAGGAGTAAGTGAAATAGTCTCAGACGTTGAACGATGTGAATGACTATTAGAGGTCTAGCTACCTGGGAATTAGGACTCACGCCACCCAAGGACATGATCCAACACATTGCATAGAGTTGATGCAGACGCTTGAATGTAGATTACTTATTATCACTAGTATCCCCACCCCCGCACCCTGCACTATGAACCAATTCAAGACCCAGTTTTCTATTTCTGAACTCCAAGATGTCCCCACCCTCTGATGTCAAGCTGAACGGACTGAACCTCCTGAACCTCCAGCTTTTCTCAGACTATCAGATCATTCTCGGACAGCAATGGTGGAACATTTAGTACATGTCAGCCTTGACTATCATCGTTTCAATTACTCTGTAAAGGAACAATGTAAGCGAGGTCCCTGCCAAGCTTTTTGATTAAATTAGACTTTCAATCCCCCATGTAGGTGATGCTCTTGCGCTGTTCGCACAGCTGCACCTCTATCTTCCCAAGCACAGGGACCGGGATGTGCAAGAAAAATATTCAGTTCAAAAGAGCTCCTCAAAAAAGCTATCTAGAAAGGGAGGAAAGGAACACCCTTGGCAGCACGTAACAAGAACATATCAATGCCAGTGTGGAGTCGATCACACTGTTGGGCGGCTAGCTTTGAAAGATCGCCAGATACCATGGAAAAATGTGGGCTGCCTGAGCTATATTAACCTTATTACAACCCACACCAACGATTCTGGTATCTTTCCCTTGATTTCATCATGTTTTCCACAAATAAACGCGCATATATTTAGATGCCCGAATGATGGCCATTGATGAAATCTCGGGAATCATGGACCATTCTGAGGCTTGCACTCTACAGACCGAGATGGAGAGAAATCCTTGGCTACTACTCCATCCTGAGCTTCGGGACTATGCGCTGGCACTTCTCCACAAGAATTATCCTCTCAGCTTGCTTCGCTCTCATTGCTCGGATTGGGCTGAGAAGAGGTGGCCTGGTGAGGTTGGAACAAATTCAGCCCGCTATCGTTTAACCACACACAATGCCTCATCTCTCTATTGGTCTATTTCAAAAGAACATGGAATTCCGCAATGCTCTGCTGCTGAGGAAAACCTAGATCTGTGGTTCTGAAAGGAGAAGCCTCACCTGCCATCATCCCTGCTGCCCAACTCATGCCTTCACTACCAAGCCCACAAAAAGCCCGAGACTGACTGCTTTGAGATCGTTCTGGTGACCCCGGATATGCACAAGGCTGCCTGGAAGTATGGACACAAGAAACAGGTTCTTATGGATCTCACCTTCGGATTCTGCTCAGCACGGGTGCTCTTGGCAATCTTGATGGCCATTGACAGTTCTGGATCTGGAGTACCCATTGTGCTCATAATATTCACAGCACATGAAAGTGCTCAGGCCATACATGCAGACTATGATACCGCTGTTCTGGACTGACTTCTTGCACACTACAAAAAGGGAATGGGCACAAACGAGCATGGAGAAGAATTTGATATTCAGGTTGCTGACACTGATAATGACCTGCGCGAATGAGGAGCACTTTCCAAAAATTGGGCAACTGTCTTTCTCATTCTCTGCATGTTCCATGTTTGGCAGGCTTGGCGTAATGGGCTCAATCGCTACCTCCACTCGATTCCAAAAGGAGACGCCCAGCAATCTGTTCAAAAGCAACTTGGCAAGCTCTTGATGCAGCTTCTCAAAGACATCTCAGTCTATGAAACAGCTGTTTCCATGTGCGATGCAGAACTCACTCACTGGCGGTCAATTCAGTGCAAACGTGATCACCTTTCCAAGTCACAGGGAAAAGCTGCAGTTGCATTCCTTGGCTATCTCAAGAGTTACCTTGAAAGCAAGCTGTACTGGATGTCTTGGTTGCCAGCGGGAGCAATAGAGGCTTTGCGCTGACTCAGAATACCTGTTTTGGAGGTAGCACGCACAACAAATCATTTGGAATCCTTCAATGGCTGCATTAAGGGAAAATATTACAAACCTTATCAACACTCCAGGCGCTTACCACGGATTGATGTTTGGATACTTCTGGCAATCACCACCGTCATGCCGGACTTCTTTAAGGAATGCAAGGACAAAGCCAACATTCAAGCACATTATGCCAATCTCTGCATTCTTGGTCCTTCCGCCCCCTCCAGCACATCTCAGATCAGTTCAAGAAATGCCTCGGCTGATGAAGAATTAATTTTGCAGTGGCTCTCCAAGTTGGAAGAGGAGCCTGACAATGCTGACACTGATGATGAGGACAGCTCTGACACTGACTCGGATTTAGAATCATCTCCATTTAATTCGTCATTGTCACGACCCATCCCTGGCTCCCAGCACAATTATCCAGCTCCCGAGGCTGTATCCAGCTTCCGAGGCTTGTGGTAATGAGCTGTGCTCTTCCGGGACACTTCCGAGACATCTGGGAACGAGCCGTGCGCTTCCGAGGCACTTCCGAGGCGAGCCATGTTTCCAGCTCACTCCATTGTGTCTCCCAGCCATTGTCCCATTGTCCTTCATTGTTCTTCTTGTCCCGGCTAAGTTATCTATTACATAATCATGGTCCATTATTCTACATAGCATAAATACCCATGTACAGTAGTAGATTCCTCAGTTGGAATATCGAACTTGACATACCCCCTTTGCTCTAGTTCACTGCTGGAATCCGGCTCCTCCCTGTTCATCTGAAATTGGGGACACCCAGACGTTGCGTGGTGGCGCAGCTGCCCTTTCCATCAAGCTGAAGCCAAGTCCCCACCCCATCTGGCACGGTCGTTACAGTATATTCCGGCTACCAACTGCGTTAACGTCAAACCGAGTCCAGCCGGATTGATTTCTGGCACCCATCTGGTTCGATTCACTTCGGATGCAACCCGAGTCCCACCTGGATTGATTTCCGGCACCACAGCAAGTCTCCGGCTACGCTGTTGTATCACCCTTCACGACCCCATCCACTCCTTTTTTCGACCCACACTCTCTTTCATGGCTCCTGTATCTGACCTGGACCACTTCCGACGTACTTGAGCCAATGATACAAACCCCTTACGACCACTTCCACCCTCTCGCAGCATCCGCTGCACCTGGATTTTCTAGTGCTTTTGTTCAAGGATGAAGTCGGCGAAGCGCCACCCTACACTCCGTCGAGTGCCAGCACGACCCTCAACCTCATTTTCCGAAGACATCTGCAGCCGAGGTATCCAACACCCCACATCCAGGCCACTCGCAACATCTGCCAGCCGCCCACTTGTCCAGTATTCTGTCTCCACCCACCCCAACTCCCTCCATTTGAAATCTGTCGTTTGCTGTGCATCCGGCCAATTTTTGTACCACTTCTGTGCTCCATCTGAGCAATCCGACTCACACCCGAGTCATCCGACCCCTCTCATCTGATCTGGCTCCCTTCTGGCAGCATTTTATTATTTTTTCGGCTGCCTTCTCACATCCGCCTTTTCAACTTCAACATCCGCCTTTTCAACTTCAACATCCACCTTTTCAACTTCAACATCCGCCTTTTCAACTTCAACATCCATCATCTTCCTGACCATCCAATGATTTTACCATTCACATCTGACCTCTTCCGGACTCATCCGAACCCCTTCCTTTGCATACGACCCATTTCACTCTCTCCGGCTCATTTTTTCGGCTGTGTTTTTGTGTTTTTTGGTTATTCTCATATTTCGTATTTTTGAGTTCTCTGAGGTCCACTCCCTTTTTTTTCCGGCTTCCAGGACGGCTGTCTTCTCATCCGAGACTCACCCGAGGCTCATCCATGCTTCAGCCAACCCTTCCACTCATTTTTCCTTACCTACATTTACTTACCTTTGCACTTCTTCGTTTCCGAGTTACGTCTTTTGCATTTTCGACTTCCGGGGCGGCTGCCTTTGCTTCCACACCACTTCCGAGTTGCAGCTGGCCCCTTACCCTCGTTTTTTTGCCTCTGCCAGCCCACCCTCATTTTTAACTCGTACTTCAGACCTAATTTAGGCCTCGAGGGCTCGGCCATAAGGGGGAGGTACTGTCACGACCCGTCCCTGGCTCCCGGCACAATTATCCAGCTCCCGAGGCTGTATCCAGCTTCTGAGGCTTGTGGTAATAAGCCATGCTCTTCTGGGACACTTCCGAGACATCTGGGAATGAGCCATGCGCTTCCGAGGCACTTCTGAGGCGAGCCATGTTTCCGGCTCACTCCATTGTGCCTCCCAGCCATTGTCCCATTGTTCTCCATTGTCCTTCTTGTCCTGGCTAAGTTATCTATTACATAATCATGGTCCATTATCCTACATAGCATAAATACCTATGTACAGTAGTAGATTCCTCAGTTGGAATATCGAACTTGACATACCCCCTTTGCTCTAGTTCACTGCTGGAATCCGGCTCCTCCCTGTTCATCTGAAATTGGGGACACCCAGACGTTGCATGGTGGCGCAGCTGCCCCTTTCCGTCAAGCTGAAGCCAAGTCCCCACCCCATCCAGCACGGTCGTTACAGTCATCTTCCTCTTTGGTCGCAGATTGAGCTTTTTGCCATGAAGAAATGACTGTCTCGTCAAGCATAGGCATTGAGGAGCACAGCCTCCCAGGGTTTTCTCATCAGGTAAGCAGCTCACTATCCATAAAGAAAGTGCTGACTATACTCCCAGCCCTCCGTCACTAAACACAACTGCGACTCAGAAGAAATTGTCCCAGACTCTTGTGCCAAGTCTGAAGAATCTATTAGCCAAGATGATGACATCAGCATTTGCCCAATTTTGGGTGAGATCGCAAATCTCTCTACTACCCGTGCCCGAGAAAAATCTGATTCATTCACACACTGGAGATTGCTCACCCTCCCACCTCGGCCGCCAAGCACCAAGTGCTGATCTGAACAAGAAATCAATACCATCGGGACATCAATAATTGAGCTTCAGCAGGCTGAAGACATTATGCTGAAGGCAATCCAAAGAGTACTCGACCTCTCACCAGAGTCAGAACCTCAACTTGTTAAGTATATCAGTCCTAACATTCAAGAACGGCTCAATCGTGGTGAAGGACATTCAATTCAGACTTCTTTTGATGCAGAAGAAGTGGGAAGTCAACCTTGTGCTGATGGCCTTGTTCCTTTTATACCTGGGAAGAAAGAAGCTCGAAAACCATCATATAAGATTTGCTAATGTATTTCTGAGCTAGCATAACTGTAGTAATAATATGGGAAGACCCCAGAATTGGGAATGATTGTGCCACAGGCTGTGAGGGGGCTGGGGGGATGCAAAGGCTAGCGCAGCGGAAAGGCAAGCGCAGCGTAAGGGCCAGTGCAGTGGCCAGGCGAGGGGGTATGGGGTATCCCCAACCACTGCGGCCGGCACCGCAAAGAAGCATTTTCTCTTTTTAACACTATCTACTATACATTTTGTCTACCTACTCTAGTATCCCACAGCCGACTCAGGCACTCGTTCAACCACAGGCATCTAGTGGTGTTTAAATTCAAACTCCGACTTGGGCAGCGTGGGTTCAACCTCCAGCTACCTGAAGGAGTAAGTGAAATAGTCTGTAGTAAGGTAGTTAGTATGAACATGAGTATAAGCATAGTGGGGCATATGACTCACCTCAGATGTTGAACGATGTGAACGACTGAGGTAGTGGGCTTCCCCACCAGGTATATATATGTAAGAATAGAATATCAAATAGGGTATAGTCTGCGGGCGGATGTAGGCAAGGCAGGAGATGGTGTAAGGTACAGCTGTACTGAGGCATCACCTGACATGAAGAAAAGGAAACCCGCTGTACCAAGGAGTGCGGCACTGTGCCTCGGGAGCTATCCCTCGTCTCTCTCAACAGATCCATACGACCGGGGAGTGCTTGCCATTGTTGACATCAAAATCCTTGTCACTGGGATCGTACACCATCTCTCCCTTGTCATGTTTCACAAGCCAGTGAATGACATCCCCATCAATGTTATATGCATCAATATCGTCAAACTTCACAAAGTGATCCAGGAGGCAAGCAGTACTTTCATCATAGCCATTATATAACATCTTCAGCAAGACCAAGAGCACAAGCAAGTTGCACACATCCTTGAGGACCAAGTTGGGTCCTCTGAGGTGCTTCTGTATCTCAGAGAGTGTGTCTGTCTTGTAGTCCATTGGATAGTAGCTGTGCGACAGTCCAAATCCAAGGAAACCCCCTTTCAGAAGGAATTGCCCTGGAGGAGTTCGGTCAAGCCTTTCTGCATCTGTTCCTCCAAGGAATGGTCAGTGATGACACTGTGACTAGTGTTCAACCCCACCTGATTGGTGAAATAAAGATGGTAAGTGACAGCGACAAGATATCCCAAAGTGACTGAGGCAATCTTGCAGTCGACATTGTCAAAAAAGACAATAAATGCTGCATGTGCTATCTTCTCAGAAGGAACAGCTTTGGCAGTATTGAAGGACCATTCTTGATTGTGGTGATGGAGAGTGGCCACCAATGCCTCTCCTGCATTGTCCCACCTCAACAGCTTCCCTATCTGGGAGATTGATTGGGACAATGAGGAACAGAGGCTGGATGCGTGCGATCAGCTGTGGAGGTGAAGACATCAGTTTCGTGAAAGGTAGAAAGGTAATGGGACATACGACTCTGTAAGCCTCCTGGTCATCATGCCGAGCCTGGTTCAGGGTACGGACCTCAGCCTCCAGGCCAAGAATCTTAGCTGCCTGAGATTCAACCTTCGTTTCGAGAGCCTCGATTTTGAAGTCGCGAGCAGCAATTTCATCCTTGAGATACTTGGTGTCCTTGTCGTATTTCTTCTCCAGCGCAGCTACCGTTGTCTCCAGCGCAGCTACCGTTGTCTCCAGCACAGCTACTCCAGCGAAGCGTTTCTCCATCGCAAGGAACCGTGCCTCTTGCTCCTTCTGCTGTTTCTCCCTCTCCTCCGCCTCCTTCTTCTGCTGTTTCTCCGCCGCCTCCTTCTCCTTCTTCTGCTGTTTCTCTCTCTCCAGCTTATCGTTCCTCAAGCCTTCGAGGCACTCGTTGATAAGTCTGTCTTCAAGGATTAAGTCCAAATGCTCCCTAGAAACGCAAAAGGAGAACATACTCGACTCCCAGAGACTATCGAACGCTGCGCCGATCTTCGAGGGTTGGGTCTCAGCGTACACGACTGACAGGGAAGTAACGTCCTCGAGTTTAGCATTTTCCATGTCAACTAAAAGCACAGGAGTCAGCGATGCAAGGATTTGCAAAGAGCCACGTACTTCCACGGGGGGTTGTCTTCACTACCGGGGTCAAAGTCTCAAGGTTGACTGGGTTGGCGTCGGTGAGGACCTGAGGTGGCACCTGCTGTTGATTTGGGATTGCAGCCGCTTTCGATTCGCGCTGATAGTTTCTCCCACGCCTAGCTTTTCCCCATTTTTCCGAGTTATGAAGGCACCGCCCTTCAATTGGATGAGAGGGTCAATATAGAGCATTTCAAATGGACGAGCGTCAACTTTGGCACGATCCATGATGGTATGAGAAGGGTGTTGGAGTTCGAAGGATGGAGCGCGGTAGGATTGAAAGAACAACTAAGGAATACATGACGGCGTACGGGCCCACATGTATATATGTACAAACAGACGCGCCACGACACGCATCGAGACGTCACATGTCAACAAAGGGACGAATGAGAGGTGATATTCGATGGGATCTCTGCTTTTAGTGACCCCTATTCTTCAAGATGGCTTCCCAAAAGCTCGACGCGCTCAAAACCACTGTTTCTAACCTCCACGAAGTCCCGTATTGCACTGGCGCTGTTCCTCTGGTCGGAGTGACCTCTACTCTCTTCTACCAGTCGGAAGATCAGAAAGCGCGGTACGCCTAGTTTGGGTAAATCCACTTGTCTTATCTGACCACTGCGAATGGCAGGGTCATTGACTTCGCGAGCGTTACTGACGACCAGCTCGAGGCGCTCACCAATGCGTGTGACCAGCTACGTTCGGCCGCGACAAGGAGGACGTTTTGGACCAGTCGTATCGGAAGGCGGGAAAGATGGATGTTGGAAAATTTGCGACGCATATCGAGCCTTTCGGGATGGGAATTATCGACACAATTCGCGACTCCTTGCTTCATGGACGCAGTGAGGAGGGGGCTGTTCGTGTCGAGCTCTATAAGCTCAATGTGTATGGTACGAGCCTCTGTCTTCGTCATATCCACCCACCAGCGTTCAATGAATGCTTTTCATCTCATAAGGTCCTGGCGCATTCTTCAAGGCTCATGTCGACACCCCACGCAGTGAGGATATGTTTGGATCCCTTGTGATAATTCTTCCTACAAAGCATGAGGGTGGCTCCCTTGCTTTTCGCCACCGCGGTCAAGAATGGATTTGACTCCGCAAAGGCCGTACACAGCGAGCCAGGCGCTGCGCACGCAGCCTTCGTCGCCTTCTTCAGCAACGTCGAACACGAAGTCTTCCCCATTACTTCCGGCTACCGTGTCACCATCACCTACAACCTCTACTTCACCGACGAGGCCAACACGAACGCCCCTCGCGCCCCGGCAGCGGTACTCGCAGACGGCTCGCCCGAGGAGAAGGTCCGCAAGACATTTGCAACGCTCTTGAACGATCCAGAGTTCCTCCCAGAAGGCGGACTGCTGGGGTTCGGGCTTTCACACAAGTATCCATTCAAGGTGAATGAGACCGACCTTTCTGAAGTCCAAGCGCGCCTGAAAGGTATCGACGCGGCGTTCAAGAGCGTATGTGATGTGCTCCGGCTCAAGGCGTCCATCGTGGCTGTCTACCAGGACAAGTTTTACAAGGAATTTGCTTGCTTGCTCGACCGATTCGCGTGTGTAGGGCGTGTCGAGGACGATATTTTGATCGAGAACCTTGCAGGGTGGAGGGGCAGTATGGTCGTGTATGATCTCGAAGGTGAGGAGGATGCTGACGAGCGCGACAAGTTCAACGCTAGACCAATTGCGTGGGTGAAGCCTCTCGGAAAGAAGAATTCTTTCAATTCGCCTTATTACATCTACGGAAACTGCGCTGAGGTAAGGCATGCATACGGAGAGGTCTGTCATATTGCCAAAGTACCACCAGCTGATAAGCGGAAGAGACGTTAGCTCGAATGTAAGCTTTATGTGGACGTTATTTTACGCTATAAATGAGCTAGATACTGCAGAATATTCAACTCTGAGGTTTTGGCATGTGCTTGAAGATGTCGAGGAAAGGTGCCCGAAAAAAGATGACTGAAGATAAAAGGGATACACTAGGAGTAATTGACCCTATCAGATATTCCAAAAAAAAGTTTTCCCTGCCGCCTTTCTGCGCCGATACTTTTGGTAGAGGAATTCCCCGACTTGGAGCGAAGGAATGATCGTCAAAGTGATGGCCAGAGTTTGTCCGAATGTCCAGTCACCTTCTCTTGGATCCTGGACGCTGTTCTTCAGCAAATGGCGATTATCTCTGATAGTGAGCTCTGTGAACGCGATGATTAGAGCCTGAAATATGCAAGTCGTGGTGACGGCGGCGAAGAAAAACGCTCGTCCATTAAGCCCGAAGACACGTCGAATCTGCGGTGCAGGGGTAGGATCAGCGTTCGGAGGTGTGTCGTGGGAGACCGTCGAGGAGGAGTGATTGGGAGGATGAAAGGGAAGTGTCCCGAGTTCAATATCATCTTTGTCGTGGCCGGGGTTCGGGTGAGCTACGACGGATTCCTTGTTGCGCATCCATTTCTTCGTCGCACTGCTAGCCTTCGCGAGATACTTCCAGAAAACACCCATCAAATACGAGATGATGACGAAGACAATAATCCATACGAGGATGTTGAGGGCGGGCAAGGAGCTGAATTTATAAATGGAAATGGTCCTCGAGCGAAGGGTGCTTGATGTGACCGGAATTGATTTGAAGAAAAAGATGAACCGGGTGCTGGGGATGCAATCTCGGTCGATCCCAAAGTCAGGAAAGGCATTCCAGAGCCACCACCCGAAGCCGGAAAGCAGGGTTAGATGCCCCGAGGCCAGGGTTGCCATGATCCAAACGGATTTTGGAATAGGCGCCGACTGAGAGAGCCAGCGTCTAACTCGGCTGGAGTAGGACCGATCCCAGGAGGATATCAACTCTGACAACATCTCTTCCCGATTCCACATCGATAGGAGTTCGTTTTGGTGCTTCTTCATGTTCTTTTGAACATTCCCAAGGATGTACACGCGCTCTTCGTTGTGGCCTGCGTTTTGAGGTGTTCCCATGATGGCGATCTGGGTCTCGACGCGCCATAAGCTTGCTTCCATAATCTCGAGCTTCAATCGTCTCTGGTGATACGTCCACCTACACTCCGTGACTTCTTGATTTAGCTTCTCGAGTATCGTCTCCACCTTGGCCAGAGTGTTCAGCTGCATCACCAGGGTTTTCTCCGAGTCTAATTGCCATTCCCGATACCACCATGCCAGCACCTCGCCTCTCCACTCTTTCCTCTTCGACCACCATTCCTCTTCCTGCTTCCTGGAAATTATCCCGCCTCCGAGGAGAAAGGTAAAAAAAGTGAGTGCGCTCGCGTTGTTAATCCAACTCAGGTTGAGGACGATGATCCCATGGTAAACCGATAACCCAAAGGTCTTGGCTTGGATAATGGAGGAAAGGAGAAGGGCGCAACCTGGAAGAAGGATGCCTAGATAAACGGCGAACAGACTCTTCAATTCGTAATCCTTGATCTGTCCGTCAAAACCGGCCGCGAGGGGGTGGATTAGGCTGAGGGCTGCTTGAGTGTAGACTGCGGTTCTAACCCCAATGCCGGAGATGTCGGGGTTGGCAGTAATGCCTTGTGAGGAATTCACTGCTGGGAGACACAAGTCCATGAGATAAGAGAAAGGATAGAATTCGAGGGGTACCTGGCTGTTTCTTACTCATTAAGAGGAGTTTCTAACTCGGCACCACATAAAACTTGATCTGGGACTTCTGTTGACGTGACGTTGACGGCGAGGGGAGATTAAATAGACGCCGGCCCGATAGCGAACTGCAGCGGAGGAGTGGACGTGTTTCTTGAGGAAGTACACTTTAGCGCCCGTGTGTTCTCGAACTTGTCAACCAGTGACCGCGACAGCAGCAATCCCAGTATCTGGTCTTCGGCTTTACATGGTACCAAGTTGTACTCGAATCGTCAACACGGAGGTGGCGCTTGACATGTCGACCGCCGTGATTTAATAACCCCTATTTCGGAATCTCTCTGTTCAGCTTACTGCACTAGCGCCCACGGGCGTTTCAAATGTTTACATCTAAATTGCCACCTGACAGATAGATGTTGACAATCCAACCACTCTCCAAGACATGAACCAGCTTACCGCTTCTGATCCTCGATGTTGACAGGTCTTCCATGCCACAAATCACGACTTCAAACTTATTCAACGAAGCTTTTGTTCCAGCCGTTATGGTACAGCGTATGTATATTACAAGTCCAATGCAAGGATGCTGAGGTATAGAGTAGGTTGTGGGCACTGTCAGTGTCACGGCATAATTGTATGAATCCGACGTGTTGTGGCGAGGAAATAAATCAAGCTGATGTAGATAGAGTCTGGAGTGGGCATAACGTTAGATGTTATCGCCCGCTGCGTTGCACAGCAATCTTTCAAGAAACCCTAAGTCGACCGCAAGTGTCCAGAATGTGTTCCGACGGATGGTTACAGCCCAAGGAGCCATAGTCCGCCGACGACAGCGAACGCGTTAACGACAACCACAGAAACAAAAGATCCTGCCGTTAGGCGCCCGAATGCCCCACCCGCGCCATTGAAGGCGGCTGTGGCTTGTGGGATACCATTTGAGTCTGTCAGTCCTGGGGTGGCTGTTCCGGACGGTGCAACTTGCGATATCGCTGCATAAATGATTATGAACGTCCACGATAAGTGACAGAATGGTAATTAAGGGGGGTACAACGCACCAGGGAAATTATCGTCCGCCCTCGCAGCAGACGCCACAGCAGCTCGGAGCAGGTCGTTCGCATTGCTTGGGACAGTCGAGAGAAAGCCTATCCTTGGTTGGTCTTGTGAAGGGTACGTGAGGTTGCCAAAATAATACGACGAAAGCACGCTAATGTCCAGAAGATGATTAATCCTCCACAGCTTCTCGGAACCAAACGCAAAACTCACCCCTTCAAAAACGGTGTACCCAGGCTCCAGCTAAACTGGTACCCGCCCACCCTTGGCGGGTCCGTCGAGACGAGGTTCGCGTAGCACGCGTCTACGTTGTTCGTGAATGCCTGCGTGACGAAATCGCGCGGGTCGACGGGGAATCGCTTGCCGCCGATCTCGAACTCGAGTAAGTGAGGTTCGTCGCATGCGAATAGGCCAGCGTTTCCAAGTCTGGATTGGACGTAGGCGACAACGTCGGCTGGACCACGAAGCAGGGAGTTACCCTGCCATTTTGGAAACATGCTGATTCAGGATTGCTATCGTGCTTGAAAGAACGCGTACGCACCGTGTCGATAAGGGCGGAGAGCCCGATCGTGGATGATGACAGCGTGGATCGGGGCAGCTTCTCGCCGTCCAAATATACGTCGTCGAGCATTACTTCCCAAGTAATTGGATAGATCTATAAGGCAGGCATCACGCCAATAAATGTGATCGTCCATTATATAAGAGCGTTAGGCGCACCTCGTTCGGCGCATCAGGCGGCCCTGGTATCCCTCCATCATCATAATCGTACGCCCTCAGTGGGACCCACGTCAGCTCGCTCGCATTCACGCCTGACGGTAGCTCGCCGATGCTCAGCATCCCTACGTTCCCACCTATGTCCACCGTGTTCCGCTGCAGAGTGACACTGACCATCGGGCTGGTCAGAGCATTTGTATTCACTAATCTTGGGAGGAAAGGGCCTAGGGAGTTCCACGACTCGAAAGCGTTGAGGAGGACCGAGTTGACCTGGCGCGGGGCGTGCCGCTCGCCGTGCGGGCTGCCTAAACGATGGCCGATAGTAGGGAACTTGAAGCGGCTGAACGGTCTCTTGGGAAAAGGCGAGCCGAACTTGACGTTCGGATGCGGCAAGGGCGACTCTACGCGTTCGAAGAGCCCGCTCGACTCGTCAAGGTCGAATTGGTCCACGAACAGGTTATTCCATATCACGCTGCGAGCTGGCTTAGCGTCTCCCAAGATTACACAAGGAGCAAACCCACGCACCTGTTTATCGGAAACCCAAGCCCAAAGATCCCCGCCGCGCCGATGCTCGAGATGGTCGTGTTCGTCTGGTTGATGGCGGCAAAATATTGATTCTGCACCGTCAGCCCAGCGAGGTCCACCGTGTCCCGCCCGATGAGCCCCGCCGCGAAAGTCCCTGTCCGCGAGTCTCCGTAGAACATGGCCGCGTCGATTCCGGCGGACTGGAAGCTTGCTTGTGGGTAGACTGGGACGGTCCCATCCCCGCAACCGTCAGTGCATCCGTCGGACATGACCCACATGTCTGAAGAGCCAGTGTCTGGAGGAGTGTGAGAGGAGCGACAAAATGTAGGAAGTGGACGGCGCACCTAGGATCAGCGGGGTCGTCGTCCCGCCGATGGTGATCAAGACAGTGTACGCGCTACACCGTCGTCAGCGTCGGTAACAGGGAATTGCTAGGCACTCACATATCCACAAAGTTCCCCAACCCGATCCCCGACACCGCTCTTCTCTCTAGTGCAGCGGGCGACTCGCGCCGGACGATGGGCAAGTGAATCCCGCCCGCTGTGCGCTTCGTGTACCGTCGTGCGATCTCTTCCAGAGACGGCTCATGGGCCGCCACCAACGCCAGCACCTGCACCGCGACGGCGGGCAGCCCCATCCATAGTGACCATGGTCGCATCTTCTTCGTTCGGGTTCGGGCTCACGTCGGGCCAGCTAAGCATAGAAATCTTCGGGTGATCCGCTCGCGGTTCGCGTTTCACACTCGAGTCTGCTCGGCGCCGTCCTGTCGCTTGTCTGCTGGGGGGCAGCCAGCGCTTTCGGGGAGGAAAAGGAGGAAATGAGGGTGGGTTGTGAGCTTGCCAGCTGGTGGTTCGGAAGAAAGGAGTGGTGGCGACGCCCACGCTAAGCCCAGCTCCTGCTGCTGCGGTTCTGCCTAAGTCGGCGTGGCGGCTCGTGGCGGTCTTGCTCAAGCCTTGTGAAGAGCGCCAAGCCAGAGAATTCGTGGCTGGAAAATGTTCGATTTTTTGCGAATGATCGCACCATGACAGCATTTCCGATCTTGTCACAGGATGACATAAAACGGCTTTGAGGCCTGCAGAGGACTGAGGAGGACTGAGGACTGTGAGCATTCAATTCAGCGCGAACATCGCCGAGGCCGAGCCCTAGAGGGGATCAGGAAGATTTATCCAAGCCATTGGCGTCGGAATGGGTGGCGCCAAGGATTCCTATTTTAAGAAACGCACGCAAAGGACGGTCCGACGAACGCTCTTCCGAACGGCGCCAATGGGGACGCAAGCTCAAGGCTTGATGAATGCTGATATGAGCCGCCGAGAAATTTGAGAAACTCACCCAGGTGCTCATCAGACCAGAGTCGGAGAGTAATCGAAACTAAGCCTCGGGAACGACAGGCGGCAGCACGATTTTTTTGCCTAACATCTCGTCGGTTTAAGAGAGAATGAAACGCCCTAGATGTCGTATCTGTCTCTCTTTTGACCGAGAAAGAAGGTCGAGGCGATTTCATCCACTGGAGGGCTGTTCCAACATCATTTCGACTCCGGCGGCGATGCCCTCGGGTCTGCGTGTCGTCGGGATTGTACGACTTCTCGGCGGCCATGCATTCGTAATAGACATCGGGATTCTTCGTTCAACGGTTCAAGTAATCATATCGGCCTGTGGCCAAGAACTACGGTCGTTTGTCTTTTCTCACGTCTGCTTGTTTCAAGCTTGCCTCCGGTAGGAAATTGACGCGTCCCAGTCGCCGCATAGGAAGCCGATGGTAGCCTTGAGATGACGAAGTTTGGATAGAATCGCTCATCTTTTGGGACAACTTTTCGTATTTAAAGTTCTCTCTGATACTAGATAGTGAGATATGAGAGCCTCATGCGCGGACAGACTGAGTTCACTCTAGAACTGAAAAAGAAAGGAGTCATTAACTTACCTCTACAAGCTTAAGGGTGAACCGTAACGATTACGAAGGTGAGAGTGAGAGAGCGGTGCTTCGTTTTTCTATGCACTAAGGGTATCCAACGGAGATCCTGTGCATCAAGCGGTCCTCACAATCATTGATATACACAGGCGTAAGCTTATTTCTTATAAGAGTGGTCTGAAATTCGTGCTGCTCACTACATCGCCACGGATAAGTACTGTCAGGCGGGACAATGGCATGATGAAGGGGTGGAGTCATTGACCAGTACGGTCCATTTTTTATCACTCGGTCAATGTGTAAGACTTCATTTAGGCTTTGTTGGCGCAGTGGAAGAGAGAACTTAATATTTAGGCCTCCTACAGAGGTCCTTATATACTGTACACACTTTGTATCTAGTAGGTTCTACAACTATCTACTAAATACTATACCTATACGAAGCTGTGCTATGATGACTAATCTGCATTCCAGCATGTACGGGCGCCTACTCAAAGATCCGGGACAATGCCGGATTGCCCGATTCCAACACTCCCCCTCAATCCGGCATTCCGGCTGAGGCAAAATTAACGATCCGAATGTGATCCATTGACCAAATGAGGAAGGCGAACTTGCAGCTCCGAAACCTTTGTCGTCGCTCACCGCTCCGAGGGAGTTCCTCTACCTCGAGCTGAGCCTAATAAATCCAATTCGTGGATGTGGAGGGAGTTCCTCTACCTCCAAGTCCGATGTCCTAATTTCTTGGCAAGAAGGGAGATCCTCCACCTTCTTCCAAATCCAATATTTAGCAGGGAGATCCTCTACCTGCATCCAATGGTGGCACGAAGCCTCTGGCGGCACAAAGCCTATTCTGGCACTAAGCCGGTCTTGCACGCACTAAGCGTTGCGTTGCGCACGAAGCGCATTGATGCCGTTGGCATTCTTGCCTCGGCAACCTATTCCATCAAGCTCGAAGCTTGTCTTTGTTCCGTATGTGGCAGGATCATCCTGATCTCTCCACAGAGCACCTAGCTCAGGAACCTAAATTATTCCTATGGGAAAGTGGCAGCTCTAGCGTGGCTGCGTCCCATTTCCTAGTCCCGTATGCCGCGGGGCGCGCAGCTTTTCCGCGATGCATGAGCAAACTTGCTCGGACTAACCCAAAATGTCCGATTCCCTTTCTAGTAGGCGATCCGGACCTCGGCACTATTGCCGCGCTCGTAAGCGAAAGTTGATTGTTCTCGAACGGACGTGATCTCTTTGTCCGACGGAAGTTCTTGAGGTTTGGGAGGATTTTTGCAATCCTTGACTAAATGCCCGTGCTGCCTGCCCGTGCTGCCTGCAATGGTAACAAATGCGGTGGTGTCTCGTCTGTCGTGCTCGAAGGCGATTGCGTGTGATCGTCGTTTCGGGGGCTAATCCATGTGTAGTGATTCGGCCCGGCATGTGATAAGATAACACGTAAGAGAAGGACGAGAGCGAGATAAGATCAAAGCAGTAAACGGTGGTGAGACTCGCTTTACTGAGGCTCGGGGCCCATAACCTGTTGGCGCAGTGGAAGAGAGAACTTGATATTTAGGCCTCCTACAGAGGTCCTTATATACTGTACACACTTTGTATCTAGTAGGTTCTACAACTATCTACTAAATACTATACCTATACGAAGCTGTGCTATGATGACTAATCTGCATTCCAGCATGTACGGGCGCCTACTCAAAGATCCGGGACAATGCCGGATTGCCCGATTCCAACAGGCTTCGTACGAGATCTCGTGCTCGCACCATTAGGTCATTGCAAGGTTGTCCAACGGTACAAAAAATAAGTCCGATAATAAGTCCAAAAGGCCATGAGATCACCGATAAGGGACGGCTTGAGTTTAAACCTTGCTTCATGCACGACAAATGAGGTGGCACGTAGAGCACGTTTTCACAGACCTGGATAATATAATTTATTGGATGTCTCGAGAAAAGAGCTACTCTCCAGTCCCGAGATCGAATGCGCCCTCCACTAACAGGAATTGACCAAATTCTGTTCTGGACCGTGGCAAGTCGACGCATGCCATGCTATGGCGCACACAGCCCACCTTCTATTAAATCTTGTACGCGGTCTGCATAATTGATGGATGGATATGGTATAGCCCCCCTCCTATCCCGTCAACTTCTCGCACAGCACTCCATATATAGATATGAACACGACCGTGTATACCGGGCGGATGAACCCTATAAAAGGCCCAGAGCTGGATCTACAACAAGGAGCACCCTCACCTCTATCATCGCAATGGTGTATACCCCAGGTACTTCTTTCCTGGCTGTCCTTGTCCATACACCATACTACTGATTAATCTAGTCCCAATGCCTCGCAAAGGAATGGCGCCCACGATGGCGCCTCCGTGGCGGCCTTCCCTGCGCCAAATGGAATTCTCGACATTCTTTGAGGCCTGTCTCTTAGGCCATCCTGTAATCAACCGCGCCCTGGATGAAGGCGCTGCGTGTACCGCGAATACCAGTCAATTGGAAGGATATCATGAACAAATAAATACATCGTGCACCCAACGCAGCAGCTTATAGACGCCCTTTGCGTCAATCCTGGGTATGTGTCGAATAAAATTGGACAGCACAAGAAGAGGGAGGTTAAAGCAAATCGGACAAGCTAGGACTTCGTATTTGCATTTCTTGCTCTGCATAGCGGCTGGACTTTTGTTTGAGAATTTACATGTCGGACTTTATATTAGAGTAAGGACAAGTAATTGCACCATGCTAATCACTTTTTTCTCGCTTCAAGTTTTAGGATTAATTTTAGCCCAATTAATACTGAAACACCACGAAACATCTATAGATGCGAATATACGTCCGAGAGGAGGGATCGGAAGCATTACTAGAGTGGCACATGGACCATTTTCGGTAAAACCTCCTTTATTAGGAACAAAACGACTCAGGATATGTAAAGCGCCACTGCACTCTTTCACCTTCACTTGCGGCTGTTCCGGAGCCTGTCGTGGTCAGAGGTGGTGTTGTTAAGCGCCCGCCCCCGCGAAGCCAATCCAAAATATCCCATAAAACCAAAAGTTCGGTCTTGTAATGAATAAACAAGTCATAAAGTGACGAATGTACCGTGAATCACAAATTACGGCATCATCCCTCTCCCTCCCGCGCTCATGTACGGCGCGTCTAACCGGGCTCTATGACGCACGCGAGACCCGTGTTCCTTCGCGCGGTCTCGGTCGAGCGGCGGGACGACACTCTCTGCCAACTTCCTCTCCTCCTGTCTTCGTCCGCGCCGCGTTACCTAGCTCTGAATTCGTGCTCCATCGCGCACCTGGCGGCTTTTCCAGCACCATCTCGCCACCTTCGTTCTCACCGCCTTTAAATTCTTCCCGAGTCCGCGAAGCCAGCGACATGACCACTCCAGTGCGCCACAGCAGTATGCAAGTCACGATGCTGTGGTGTGGCAATCCACGCGCAGAACTTTATCACCACTTCCAGTCACCCAATTAAGCAACTCGGTTATGGGCACGCTGAAAACATGCGTATGTCCATATAACTCGCCTCGTAGTAGTTAAATTATAAGGACAATGCTTCCTCCCAAATGTCGACAGAAAACCGCCACTTTCATCGCTGTATCCCTCACTGCGTCTTCAGTCCTCTCGGGGGCAACAGTGGCTGGCCCACTGTGGTCCGTTTCCTGAAATGCATGAGGGACGCCCTCCATGGTAAGTACGCAACTCTGTGTACGCACTCCCCGGCGCCTATGTGTTCTGACGACTTTTTCAAGTGCACAGGGAACTCAACGGCAGGAATATCTCACACAAGGACATCACCCCCGGCAGTATCTTCTTGGTGAAGAATCCACAAGCAGAAAATGACAGATACGGGTGTCTCGTCGACCACGATCGAAATGACCGATAGCGGCCATCTAATACCTTCATGGCACCGGACCTCGTGTCTGCCTTGATGAAAAGTTCACCAGCCAAGCATGTCCTCCGGCACGATCTTGAATCCTTCGTATGGGTTTCTGTATGCACCATCTTTCTCCAACTCTTCAAGGACTTCACTCTTAACGAGACCCTTACGGGATCCCCCTCCTGGGACACATCGACGCTGAGATTATTTTACCCGCACCCACTCGATACCTCAGGAAGATCCTCAGGAAGGCGTTTCCGACGCACGATCTGGACCGACTGCACGATGCGAAAGCGGACATGGAGTTGCTTGAAGAACTGGATCAGCTTCTTCTGGACCCCGAATCCGACCCCCTCGCCGTACTCAGTTCCGAATTGGAAGAATTCCTTTCCGTATGTCAGCGCGAGCGCAGATGGTGTCATTTAAACAATGCGGTGAAAAAGATCGACGGTGACTGGTACGCAGAGCTGGAAATGGCCTTCGAGAGGGCCATTCAAGCTGCTCATCAGCCACGAGAAGGGGACTCTGGCCCATCTGAGCTCCGAGTCGTCCGTCAGTTGTAGCCCGGATTTCTGGACGCTTCGTTGTGTGAGCTGCATCAGCTTCTTTGGTTGGTTAGTTCTCATTTCGATGACTTGCGGATCGCCATTTTGACTTATGTGCAATAACTGATACGCGTCCAAGATGCGTTCTTAGAGCGTCGCATCACTTGTGGAGTGTAAAGCTTCAATACTATATATGGACCAGATTTGGGCGTAATTTCATTTTATCTCCTATAGTATCACAAGGAACTTCGGAATCCGAAATAGCGGTTAGAAGCTTCAATCTCGGTGCGCCACAATAGACAAAGTCAGTAATCATTTCCGTTCGGTGTCTGCTTCAATCCATTTCCGACCGAACAGAGTTATCCTATGTAAATTAAACACTGATATTGAGCAGTTCAATTTCGCGAGAATACAGGCCATCTCCTTCTGCAGGATCGAATACCACCACTAATTCGAAGAGTCAGGTGCTGTCATTTATCCTGGTGAGCTATACACGGATAGGCCTTGTATAGCGCCCACTCCCTCCACTCTCCTACCTCCACTTGCGACTGTTCCGATGCTTTCCCATGGTCAGATATGGCTTGCCTAACCGCCCGCATGCTCGCCTCTTCGGGGCATTCTGCAGATACGATCACGAAGAGTCGGTCAACCAGAGAATGCCTGGATGGTGCTGCCAACGTACCATGAATTACAAAATATGGCAGTATCCCTTTCCCTTCTGGGTGTGTGTGCGGCCCCCCGAGGCGCGTCTCCCCGCTCTCGAGCACGTGTACGAGCCGGGTAGATGCCCACCCGGGTACGGTATTCAGCTGCGCAACTACACCTTCGGCCCACTTTCTCGCCTCTTCATCCCCAGCCTTCAGACCATGTGTGATGACCCACCCAGAAGGCTTTCCAGGTTTCATCCCGGTTGTTTTTATCCCTCCCTCACCGCCCTCCTCCTGAGTCCAAGCACCCACCTCCTCCCCCGTCCTTCGCACCAGCACCGCCAAACGCTTCATCACATCCGCCTCGCGCGCGCTCCGCTGCTCCCTCAACGAGGTGTACGCCGGCTTGGAGAACGTCGCCGTGTCGTCGATCTCGTACATCGCGAGCCATTCGGGGTGGGTTGGGCCGTACGGTGTGGCGTCGGAGGGAGAGACAGAGGTGTCGACGGCGCGGTATCGTGCGCCGGAGAGGAACTCGTGTAGACGGTCGAGACGGAGGGGTATGTGTTCGCCTTCGTACCAGTCGTGGAATTCGGATTCGGGGAGGAGCGAGGATGGGCGAGAGGTTACTGCGAGGAATCCGCGAGGCATTTTTAGTGTTAATCGTGGTCTAGTTCGCTAGCGGTCGTTGGGTGACTTCAGTTCAAGGACACCCAGGGACAGAACCAGGTACGAGTCGTTATAGGAGAAGCAAACGTTCCGTCGACAGTGGCGTCTTATGGGAGGGCAGGTAGCATCGTCGGCCTTCGATTCCCAGCAGTGAGAGTAGAAAACAACAGTAGAGCGGAGCGAAAGCGTCGGGCACGGACACGATTGGACATCAGATAAGATTAGATCTTTGGATCGAAGATAGGGGCTTACCCAGCTGCTGGCAGACGACCCCGACAATCCTCAGCATACTACCCGCTTTCCACGTTTTCTTCGATTCCCTGACCCTCGAGCTCTGAGGCTCATAGCATAAGTAGGGTTATTAGGAAGAAGTCCTTCGTCAACGCTCGCCGGAGATATAATGGTCAAACAACGAATTCCTTGAAAGCATCATAGCACCGGATGAAAGGACACGGTCAATTACCCAGGGGTCTCATGCCTTCGCTGAACCTGCGATGGAGGGAGCGGGATGTCAAGGACGTGTCCAGTGACCATGACCCTGCGGTGACCACTATCCAAACACCGCAAGTGAGGCGCATCTTCATTTTACACATGATGGTTCTTTCCAACTGCTTTTGAAAGGGGGCATAGCTCAGTTGGGAGAGCAGTAGACTGAAGCGATTTGTAAGGATTCTAAAGGTCCCGCGTTCGATCCGCGGTGCCCCCATCTATTTTGCTGTTCAAGCCATCAAAGGCGATCTACAACGTTCATGGGCGCATTGCACTTCACCGCACCTAGTTGGCTGCATGGACTAACTCTTCGACCGCGTTTTTCATGTCTTCCAAATATTTCTTGTCTCTTTACAAGCGTCTTGTCGTTGTTCATCATAAGATCTGGCTGTAGGGGGTTCCTAATCTCCTTTCTTACCGCGCGCGCTGGGCGCTTGACACATTACTTGTAAGCCAATCTACGGGTGGGTGATTTTCTTTAAAACTTCCTCCTCTTCTCACAAAATGGCTTCTTCACGACGGCTGGTTTCGACGGCAGCTTTGCTACATTGTTTTAGACAAGATGTTTGCCCGTGCTCCGCATGCTGTCCACGGATACTTTAAGGCTTCATCGAAAGCCGTTTCAATGATTTCATGATACCATTCGAACACTATCTCTGATGCTTGACCCTGACCTATCGACTTTTCCTCGACTTTCGACGAAGGTTTTTTTTGCAATTTCTCACTGAGAATGGAAAGGGGAGACTAGGGGAGATGATTCAAAGAGCACTTCGTCCAGCCTTTCGCATGGGCTCATGAACATTTTTGAATAGTAGAGATCACCAAGATCGACTGGGAACGAATAGCGCAGTATCTTCTGCCATCCCTAGGTGGAAGAGTCTCCTGCCTGCCGCCTGGGCAAAGATATCTTGTAAGGTTCTCGTCTTCGGAAACGTCTTTTAGGAGCCACACAAGGATCGAATACGCAAAAATACAGGTGAAAGCCGTCGAGACAATATGGCACTACATAGGTCTGACAGATGGTTTTTTTGTGTTCCTTGTGGTAATGGCCTGGATGAGGCTTGCTGGGGGGAAGGCACCCAATGGAGACCCCCGGGCCCTGAATCGATGGATGAGTTGAATTGCGAACAGTGACACGCAATTCAGGGCGCACGGCGGGAAGTTTCGATCGTGGTCGACGATACACGCATAATATCTGCCACCATCTGCCACTTCGGGATTCTCGACGACGAAGAAAGTCCCGTAGCCGACGTCCCGATGAAAGGCTTTGCTATCGGGAAACCCTTGTAAACTTATACGAGTGGCGAGAATATGGTAAACACCACAACTCTGATGAAGTCTCCTGACACACGTACCACGGGAGGCACCCGCAATGCATTTGATGAAATCGTTTACAGTGGGCCATGTGCCGCTCTCGAGAGGTGTTCTGGGTGAATGAAGCATTAAATGGTAGACATGACGCTCCTCTGATGGCATTGTGGAGGGACAAGTTGGTTGTGCACAGTTGCGAGCGCTCACCAAAATGTCGCATCACGAGATGATGACTAAAGCGTGTCTTGTTAGGCGATGCCCCTGTCTTGAAATTGCATCTTCAACTTCCAAAGAGAAAGCAGGTAGAACATAAATTCATGTGCAGGATTTTTAAAACTGTATCTGGTGCGCCACAATAAACAGAGCCGGAAATCGTAGTGTCGAAGACGCAGTTCCACTTCCTACAACACAACGCCCACCAAATCACATTTCGTAGTTCCAGTTCGTGAGTATGAAAAATACACTACTTCTACAACACACAGAAACGCATGTACGATAAGTACATTCAGCAAATGGTATGAGGTATGCACCACTAACATCGAATCATTTAACCGACGTTCTTCCCCGCGCGACGCCTTCGATCTCTTCGTTCACCCTAATTTATCGTCTAGTCTAGTCAGTCTAGACTCCTTCTTCTCTCTCGCCCGTCTCTGAGACCTCACAAGTAGTCATACCCATTCCTCCTCGACCAATCCACCCCGTTCTTCAGCTGTTCGAGCGTCAGGAAGATGAGGATCGTCGTCGGCTGGAGACGCGTCCACGCGGGGAGCCAGCCCTTGAACATGAACATCGGGCCCTCATTCTTCATCGAGCTCCGGATAACGGCGAGCGTCGAGCTCGAGCCGGGCCCGGAGGCGTTCATGATGCGCGACTTGAGGACGTCGGCGGGCGAGCAGACGGTGGTGGCCACGGTTCCCTTAATATTCGCTAAGGTTTAGAAACGTTCTTGAAGGCAAAGAAGAAGAAAGGCGCACCGCTGCGAAGCTCGCTGTGAAATGGCACGCGATATTATCGTCAAAATACTTCGTCTTCAGCAGTTCCGCCTTGAAGAAGTCGTATGAGGCGAGTTGGGAGGCGTTCATGAGGACCGCACGGAAGACATTAGGCGTGACGCCCCGCGAGAGGGACGAGATTCCTTCCTCGCGCACCATCTATGAATTGTATGAATGTTAGCATATTTCTCGATCTCGAGGTGAGGAGACTGCGATGAAAGTAACATAAAGTTCGGCCCGCCATCCCGCCATCAGGCACCGATCACGCCTATCCCGACGGCGCGCCGGCTATCTTATCTACCCCGCACTCGCCCCTATTTCACCCGCTCGTTCCTCGACTCCGCATCTGCTTCCGCTGACAGCACTGGGAAACATCGTCTGTCGCAAGGACACAAGAGACGAGAGCTGAGAGCATCTCACTTGAGACATACACAAGGAGAAGGCGCGGATCATCCTTGGAAGCCAGCGCGGTGCTCCGAGACAATGTTCAGCGGGTGAAACGGAGCAAAGGCAGTCGAGAGGAGACAAGGAAAGGAGAACAAAAGGAACAGGGAAGAGAAAGTAGAAAAGAAGAAAGAGAGAGAAGCAAGACGTGTACGCACCCGGAACAGTGCATCGAAACAGTGCTTATAGTTGAACCGCTTCTCGGGAGGTTTCGCAAAGTCTCCCTGGAGGCGCACCATGACGATCTCGCCCGGGTTGCCGACGAGGCCTGCGATACCTCCAGCTGTTTATTCCGTTATTCCGTTCACGTATGGTGTATATGTTAATGTTGCAGAGTGTCGAGGGGCGAGGAGAGTCGGGCAAGACGCGTCAGGGGAGAACAACGTAAATTCCAGGGTAAATTCCAGAGTAATTCGATAAGGACGGCAGTGGAACGTTTGATGTCGGAGGTAGAGCAAAATAAATAGAAAGATAGTTAGCGCTCATATCCCCAGCAAGATATCGTACGACCCCAAAAAATACGAACGCACCCATACTCCCCGCCGCCGCCAACTTCCATGCAGGTGCATCCTTGCCCGCACCGAGGATCTTCTTGCTCTCGTCGTACGCCCAAAAGCGGCACATCGAGTACGACATCTGGCGCAACCACGTCCCGGAGATGCCATCGAAGAGTCCACGAACGCCTGGTTGATTCCCACCATCAGTTGCATTCAGGAAGGAAAGGAGAAGATAGGAGATGCACCAGCCGTCAGCACCGTCTTCTTGATGCTCTCAATCATGCGCTTGTCCCCCGAGGCTTGCAGGCGGACCTTCGTGAGATCCAATGGACTACACCAGACCCTTCCTCAGCACCCTCCTCATACAACAGAGAGAACAGAGGAGAACGCACTGTGTGATGGAAGCCGCGATGGTCGCTGCGACTCCGCCCAGCCAGAACGGGTACGGCTTGGGCTTCTTCGTGGGCAGCGGTGCGCCGGCTGCGGTCGCTACAGGGTTGGAAACCACTGGGATTGAAGAGGGCTTCGACGAAGATGACATTTTGTGTCAAGTGGTGGGAGCGAGAGCAGGTGGTGGGGCTGTCGGAGCACCGAAGGTCGAAGGTAGAGGAGAAGAGGAGAAGAGTGTGGGATGCGATGGGACTCGGGTAGGTCAGGGTGTACCTTGCAGTTACTGCAAGGGTCTTCAGGTTCTCGAGAGCGCCTAACGGAAAGGAAATGGATCAGAAATCGACTGTAGGCATAGACAACAGGGATGGGAGCGGGACGGAGTGGGGGTGGGTCTTATGAGCAATGGAGCTGCGATCAGTGGATAGAACCGGACGCCAGGGTCGCGTGCGGGGTAAGATAGGGGCTCATTAGGCTCACCGTTCGCTATGCTCTGCTCGAGCTCAGGTCTCCTCGTCTTCAACACGAAAGCAAAGAGAAAGAGAACGTGGACGCGATTCGGGTGAGACCGGTCCTAGTGCGGTGTTGGGGAGCGATTGTGGCAGCACCTGAACAGAATAAGGACCCTAGAATAAACCCCAGGTCTCGTGGTCGTCTGAAATGGGGAAAACACGCACGAATTCGAAGCACGGGGGTCCCTACGACGGTTCCCGAACAGCTAAGCGACGCTGGGCGATGCGGTGGGAATGGGCTGGTGACGATAGGGTGACGTGAGGTGATGCGGGGAGAAGGACACGGTGCTGAGAACCTTCGTGTCGTGTGCGTGTTTTTGTGCGGGAAACCGTGACGGCTTTCCTTTCCTCTTCTCTTCCTTCTCAAGGTAACTCGGGAGCTGAGGCTTGAGCTGTATGAACCCGGATCGTGACGTCGATTGTCGGAAGGGAGGGTGATTGCGGAGGGCATTAGCCTTAACCTTCCCCGCGATATAGATCTTTCATGAGTACGTACGTGTCGTATGTCAATCTGCTGGCCAGATATAACACGCTAACGTTGCTGGAAATCCGGGGTATTCTTAGAATATGAAAACGAACGGCCGGGAAAGGTGAAGGGGATCAATGTTCCGATGTGGGCACGGGAACTCTGGAGACGCACGTACGGGAACCTCCAAATGGCCGCGTCGAGGGAAGTAAAAGAGGAAGAGGTTGGGAATGTCGTGCGCGTGAGGGAGCGAGCGATAAATAAAGACCGCCTGTGTAAACCTTGGGCCGAAGACACTGCCGACCAACGATTTCGCGAGCATATTCTCGAACGCGGCAGGGCTCTGTGCACACCAAGCGCTATTCCCGTGCCAACAATTGGCTGTCGAATATTGCATCAGGCTAGTAGGCGTCTGAAGATAGTGGGTTTGGTGATACCGGCTCATACTTGAGGCAGCGCTTCCGTGCGCTACGATGGGGAGACGCGGGAACATACCCGACACACTAGATAATTGTTTACAATGTTTGCAATCGTGCTACAAGTGTTTTTATCTATGGCGGACGGTGGCCTAATGAAAAAATGTAAATGGTAGGTTGAAAGTGGTATTCCATACTATGATCAGCGGTCGCAGGTATTTTAAGTTGTCGAGCGCGTGGTTCGCTTCCTGGCCCTCTTCAGGTTCTTCCTTGCTTCTCCAAAGACGGGAGCTACCGCGGATGGTCATTATAACGGAATTAGAACTCGTACATATCCAGTACATACCTCCAGCGCCTCCCTCCCATTCGTCATTTAGACGCCGACGCCCGATCGCAACAACTCTGCCCCGCCGAGCGATAAATCCGAATTTCCAACCACGAGCGGCATATTTCCCCACACTTTCTTGGCAGTCCTGCTCTGGGCTTTAATATACCAGGCACGCAATTGGCTCATCGTAAGCGGCGACGAGGAGAGCATTTGGGCATCATGCGTCTTGCTTCTTGAAGACGCTGCGGAATAAGGCACCTTTGAACCTCGCGGCTGCCAGGAAGAATCCGAGAATAGAGGGCGTCCCGAGTCTTCCCGATAGAAGACAATCGCGGTGTGGACCGCAGGAAAGGAAGTCGAGAAAGCTGCTGGTAGTATTGACATGGACAGGACAGACAGCAGCCGTCGCCGCCAATACCCCATCTAGCTGGCGCGTCTCATCGATGATAGGACGGTTCGAAAATAGGCCGCAGGTTTTTAGACTCTAGAGGGGATTTAGTGATAGCACGTCCGAAGACCGCGTAGGCGTTGGCCTGGTTGTCCAAGCTGCATGCTGGGAGATGGTGAGAGGACGGATGTGAGTTATCCTCCTGCATAATATTTCTACCACTCACATTCCTTCGCAGGACGGCCTAATGAAATCTTCGATCGACATCCTTCACCATCGCAGAGTAGCAGGCTTTCCCTTTCTCCTGAACATTGAAGAGCGCCAAATATATAGGCGCTGACGGGACAGTCTAGGCTAACGAAAAGAACATATCTAAACAAGTACTAAAGCGTATAGATTCGTAGAAATCAGTCTTCATCAGGAAAATGTGGTGTTGTGGCGCACCATCAATCACATTTAGTGCCAGCCGCTACGCGTCACGTTGCATTCATTCGAGTCCACTTCCAACTCTATTTTCCTGACATGATTATCCCAATGACTTTGGCAGGATGTATACCTCTCCAGTTAAAAGCGCAAGATATCAAGACTTACTTGGCTCTCGCAACGACTGCAATCCGGTCGCCCTTCTCCAAGGCGCCAATGAATCCATCTCCGGAGCCAGCACCCGTCATGTCATCGTTGCCAACCCTTCCCGGAGTTCTACCAGATGCCACGTCTTCATTGTCTTCCTTGAAGCGAACTTCATGCGACACGAAGACTTCGGAAGCCCGGACCTTCCGCTGGATGTCCCAGGTGTCCTCCCCCAACCCGGCGCTGGCATGTGGATTACGCACGGTAGTGACACTAGATTTGTCCTCGCGCCCACGGCGGCTTTTTGCTAAGGCCTCTTTGACGAAGGCATCTGTTTCGGGGGATGAGGCGTTGTGTCGAGGGTCACGAATGATCACAGCTTCGAACCATGTCCATGACGGAAGGTAACGAGCTGACGTTCGTAGAATCGGCGCTCATCGTAGAAGGGAGATTATCTTCGCTTACAAGGGCTATCGCCAAAGGTCGCCCAACCTTGGTCATGGCTCTCCAACTTGAAGCGAACCTCTCGTATCGTGAAGTCGCCAGGGCCCATCAATTCCTCCATTGTCGGCGTCAGAAGAAGGACCTCAGCAGAGTTAAGCTCGTCTTCCTCGCGCGCAGAGACCACCGTGCCCGGGCCATTGCTCGCGACCTTGGGCCAGTAATGCGCATAGTCCAGGATCGTATTCGCTAACTCTGGAGATACATCATGGCTCAAGTTCAGGACCTTCTTCAAGTCCAAGAGGAGCTTCTGTGCTGTAAGGCGGTCTTTCATGGTTGTGAAGCGATCTGACTCTGATCTTTGGGTTATCGTCGACATCGGTTGTGGATGACGGGCTCTCTGCTGGTGGTGGGAAACAGAAGACATAAGGCAGGCACTCCCCAAAACTCACGAAAACCTTAATTGCACCCAATATATACTAGACGTGTTACCTATGAGAAAGTCATGAAAGGAATCCCCGCATTGGCGCCGAAGCAAACATGGAAGAGGAAAGCGAATAAACAGACCAGGCGTACGGTAAATAATGGCTTTTCGTGTATTTCTGACCAAAGAAGAAGAAATACCACTGGCACGGAAGACATGCATTTTCTATGGGTGCAGTGGCACGAGCAGAGACGAGGTGCTGACAGAGAAAGCCCCTATCCAGGTCCTGCGGCTGCGTCATTAATCTCGCAGATCTAATCTTATCTGATGCACCATACACCTTGAAGCGTGCCCGACACCTTCGCGCCTCTCTAATCTTGCTTTCCGCTCTCATTTCTGGGAATCGAAACCCCAGGGCGACGCCGTTCGTCCTCATAAGAAACTACTTTCGACGGCATATCGAGCCTCTCCTCTGACAACTGCTTCCTCTCGCCTGTCCTGAGCTCAAGGACCACAAAATACCTCGCGGGTTCCTCACAGTGACCTCCCACCCATCCTCGCTCCTCCCCGAAGCCGAGTTCCACGACTGCTACGAAGGCGAACACATACCTCTCCGGCTCGACAGGTTACATGAGTTCCTCTCCGGTGCGCGATACCGCGCCATCGACGCCTCCGCCTCCAATACCGTGCACACCGTGCGGCCCAACGCACCCTGAATGGCTCGCCATGTGCGAGGTCGACGACACGGCGACGTTCTCGAAGCCGAAGGAAATTTCACCCACCTGTAGACTGGCTTATAATGTAGCAAGCATCCAGCGCGCGCAGGAAGAAAGGAGATTAGGAAACCCCTAATACAGCCAGATCTTATGATGAATTACAACGACAAGACGCTTGTAAAAAGACAAGAAATATTTGGAGGGCATGAGACACGCTGTTGAGAAGTTAGTCCATGCAGTAAACGAAGTGCGGTGAACCGCAATGGATCGCCTTTGATCGCTTGAACAGCAAAACAGATGGGGGCACCGCGGATCGAACGCGGGACCTTTAGAATCCTTACAAATCGCTTCAGTCTACTGCTCTCCCAACTGAGCTATGCCCCCTTTGAAAGGACAGCGAAAGAACCATCATGTACAAAATGAAGATGTGCCTCACTTGCCTACAGTTTGGCGGTGGATCATGGCCAGCGGACACGTCCCTAACATCCTGCGCCCTCCATCGCAGGTTCAGCGAAGGCATGAGACCTCTGTATAATCGACGTGCTTTCATCCGCTGCTATGAGGTTTCCAAGGAATTCGTTGTTTGATCAGTATAGTTCCGGCGACGTTGAACATGATACAGTTGACGAAGGACTTCTTCCCAATAGCCCTACTTATATGACGAGCCTCAGAGCTCGAGGATCAAGGAATCGAGCAAAGAGTAGCATATGGAAAGCGACGAGATGTACGGTAGTATGCTGAGGATTGTCGGGGCTGGGGAAGCCCCTATCTTCGGCTTCTAATGATCTAATCTTATCTACCAGAAGGTCCGTGGCCGACCCCTCCAATCTTTCCACTTTCATTACCGGGGGTCGAAGGCCGACGACGCTACCTGCCCTCTCATAAGACACCACTGTCGACGAGACATTTGCTTCTTCTCTGACCTGACTCGCAGCTGCTTGCTCTCTCGTTGCCTTGCTGTTCCTGAACTGAACTCGCTCAACGACCACGAGCAAACTAAACGCCCAAAAATCTCAGTCCATAGGTTATCGCTAAATATGCCTCGCGGGTTCCTTACAGTGACTTTCCACCCATCCTCGCTCCTCCCCGAAGTCGAGTTGCGCGAGAAGTACGAAGGCGAACATATCTCCCTACACGAGTTCCTCTCCGGCGCGCGATATCGTACTGTTGATTTCTCAGATTCCATGCCGTACGGCTCAACCCACCCCGAATGGCTCGCGATATACGAGATCAACGACACGGCGACGTTCTCCAAGCCGGCGTACATGTCGTTGAGGGAACAGACGTGATGAAGCATGAGGCGGTGTTGGGGAGGCGGCCTCGCTCTCAGGTTTGCCTTTGGACAGGAGCTGGGCGAAGGATGGACGAGGGAGGAGGTGGAGGTGTTGTTGACTGGGACGGACAGTACTGGTGAGGGAGAAAGAAGGCCGACAGGGATGAAGCCTGTAAATCGCTCGGAGTGGGTTGTTACACATGGCCTCGGTGTCGGGGAGAAGGCTGAGGATGAAGGGGTGAGGAACTGGGCCGAAGACGTGATTACCGGTCTGGGTCAACAGGCTCGTGTGCGTGCTCGAGAGCGGGGAGACGCGTCTCGGACCGCCGTAGGTGCACCCTGAGGGGAAAGGTGTACCGCCTTATCTCGTAGTTTATGGTACGTTCGCCACTCTGTTCTTTCATTCGTTGGATGTTTAGCTCTTCGCGATTGTAGAGTATCTGCAGAATGCATCGACGAAGCAAGCATGCGGACGCTAAAACAGAACATCTCTCACCAGGGGAAAGGTTCGGGACAGTCACAAATAGAGGTGGGAGAGTGGAGGGAGTGGGCGCTGTGCAAGCCTGGCTACCTGTGCATAGCTCACCAGAATAAATGACAGCGTCCTGTGAGCATTATGAACCTTTTTATCATCGAAGGAGGCCATACCTGACGTGTTATAACGACGGAGCAGGGGACAGCCGGGGTCACCTCGCTCGGGACACCACCAGGTCACAGCGAACCCTTGGCCGCTGCCTCTCGCTCGCCGTCACCCCTCAGATGCGCTAGCTCACGCGCACGGTGCTATCATTGGACGCAGCCAGGTCCCAGGTCCCGCACTTTCAACGATGCCAAATGTTGAAGTTTGCGCCTACACCCATCGACCATACCTGGACCCTCGCGTGCTGTACTCGCCAAAATTGAATGTTCGGCGTCGTCGTTTTGTACATTTCTCCCCACGAGAATATAAGTTCTTACACCGGCGTACAATAAGGAAACTTTTATGGTACTACGTCGCACAAGTTATATATCACTCGTTGAAAAGCGTATAAACGATTCGTTCATCTGCCGTATTATAAATGCATAACGCAGTTGCTGAGACAGGGAGAGGGAGGGAATGAGATACTTATACAGAAGACTAAATCCTGACACGATTCTGATAATGCACGCAAGCTGCGGCGAGCAACTAATACTAATCCCTGTGGTGTTAAGAAACAGGAACAGGTACTCTTGGTGTCCCTCCACCACCAGCCTCCAGGTCTGGCCGACGGTCCCGAGACGTAATGGGGACAGTAAAGCTGTGATACATCCTGGAGGATATGGGCCCCTCACCCCACACATACCACATCAAACCCAAGACAAGTGCCGTTGCACATGCGACGACAATGAATATGGTTAGGACAAAAATGACACCTACAGTGTACCTTCCTCCTGTCAGGTTGTACGACAGAGTAGCCACCGCAAATAAAATGATAGACCATAAGAGGCAAGCTTCAGGCAGGCTCAGTATGAGGGCAACACTCTTCTCTCCGCGCTCCAATATGTTGTCCGCATAGTTATCCTTTGAAGGATAGAACAATCAGCTTGAAGGCTACGCTGGGGGTATGATAAGTTGGCATGACGTACTGCAATCTCACTGTCCACGACAGAGTCAGTTGACGCGCCATAGACGCGGTAATATGCCAAGCAGTAAAGTCCGCTTAGGATGCTACCCAAAGAGGGCAGAAATCAAAGTAGCGGCTGCTGTAACGGAACTAATGTTCTCAATGGAAAGGAAGGAGACAGAAGCTCTGTCGGTGTGAATCTGTAAATTAGCACCCAAAGCGCCCAAAAGGATAGAGGATTATTACGCGAGCATGACAGTCGCCTGCCAATAAAATACATTATGCAACGACCCAAGAAGAAAGCATACACGACTTACCAGCAGGTTGAAAGACTTCCAATCATTTATCAATCTTTGAAGATGGCCACGTAGCGCTTCTCCCGTCATGAACAATCTCGCAATTTCCTTGAGGGGGCTCAAATATCGCCAAGGGGTGAAAAGAAGGAGGATACTGCATGCCAAGAAATAGCTGTCGGCGAAAACCTTGCCAGCCGTACTACGAGTATGGCTAGGCGAAGCCTCGAAAAATGACTTGCGATCACTGTCCCAAAAATGTTTTTCGTTGTATAAATGGTCTCAAGGGGCTGTGAGACTTGGGAGAAAATAAATTGATGGAAATGGACCTACACTTGTTCACGAGGACGCCAGCAATGGCGGAAACAAACACGGCGTGAGTGAAGGAGGACACAGGTTCTTGCCCCTTTCTTCTTTCTTGCCCGCCACCCGCCCCCGCCCCCGCCATCGCGTGCTCCTCTGTTTGATTCCTGAACGCGCATCCGCTCCCATTCCCATTTTTGTTCTCCTTTGCTTTTTTAAAATGTCTATCCTCAACTTGAGTCAAAAACCGGGCCAATTCTTGTGACCGTGCCAGAGAAAAAGTCGAACGTGGCGCATCGCTGGGGAACAAAGCAGCTGATGATTTCAGTATTTGAGTTGTTCCAAAATTTCGAGTGAGGGACAGGGACTTACCTTGAGAACACCACTCCAGATAGTCAAGCGCTTCCTGCAAACCACCTTCCACGATCTTCTCAAACCGTTCTGGCCGGTGATGCGTAGGATGTTCTTTAATGTATGCCCAATAATCACGGCTTTCCATGTAAGTCGGGTACATTGTATGTGTCCTTGGCGTACAGTAGCGATGGCGGCTGGGATCAACCAAAGCTTTGTGTTCGTGGTCGATGATCAGGCGCAAAGAAGGTTCATCAGGGTTAGGAAAATAGAACTCGAAGGATCCATTGGCGGATGTCCCAGGGGACCTTCCGATTATGTCTACCTCTTGAGGGTCGATTTTGGAGAGCTGGGTAGAAGATATGTCCCCGCCCTCAACGACGATATCAAAGTGTTCCAAGAAGAGATATGTCCATCCTGAAGGATGTCTAATCGAAATTGAATCCCCCCATAATTGATTTTCCTCATGCGATGGGGAAGTAGACATAGTGATCGTGTATTGGAGTTGGTTGAGATGTCTGTCTGATACAGAGCGTCCCAACAAATGTAGTGTCTGGGTTAGGGGGAAAGGCGACCAACAGATGATTGCCGGGGGCGATCTGATTCTCAGAGGGATCGTTCTCATCACCTGACTCGTATCGGCCCGGCCCGGGTCTTTTCGCATGCCAAGAATGCTTTACGTCGATCTTTCAGAAGAGAAGACCAATCGCCGCTGTTCTCCCACATCATAAAGAGGGTCAGTTCGTAAGTGTTCCGTCATAATCTAACCTGCAGCCACTAGAGACGACCCTTGAAATTCAAACCACCAATTTCAGCAGGCCCTCTCTGCGAAAGATAAGATAAAACAAGGATTACCATCCGCTTGGCACGCCACCCTTGCCAGATTAGGACCGCCCGCCCAGCCGCCTCTCCTTTTCCATTCTTACCTGAAAATGTCTCTTTTCATTTATCCCTTTAGCCCTGTTCTGTACGTAGCTCCTTCCTTGCTGGTCTTAGATATGAAAACCATGCCCTCATACTCGTGCAAAAGAGGGATGTTCTTGCCATGAATTATCTCCGTCAACGGTTCGCTGGAATGACAGTATTATTGATCATCTGGTCTGCTTGCTTTGAGACGCCTTATGGCGCTTGCGTAAATCCTTGAACACGATGTTGGAGTGTGAATCGGTATGAGAAGAGGCGAGGAAGGGAGGCACCTTGTCAAATATTAATAACTATGCTCCGATTCGGATAAGCAATTTCTGCCATTCGCCCAGGGCGAAGTTCGAATGTTGATCATCTAGCTTCCGAAGTTGAATATATAGAGCATCGGACAGATGCAATTGATACGCAACAAACACGATAGCTCAGGAAAGAAAGAAGGAAAGAAGATTGAATTGCCGCAGAGGACCTAACTCGTTGCAGTCACGAGTCGATGCCAAGCAGTGCCTCTTAGTCCGTGTGTTCATAGCGCTGAGGTATGTCACTACAGTTGGGGCAAACACGGCGTAGTTTATTATATTTGTGAGGACCGCTGACAACTGCTCTTCCACCCTTCAGCTCTTCTTCATTCTTCCCCCTCTCGATGCCGGATGGTCCCAAAGGTCAACTCGAAGACATTCGTAGCAAAGACAAGCACCTAAATCTATGGCGCTTATGCCCGCATCAAATGAAGCAATTGAGAGACGATTGTAAAGGATACGAACGAGACATGATGTTCTACAAGAAGGATTACCCCGGGCAAGATGGCAGAGTGGATACCGCAATAATATCGCCTATCAAAGTGAGTCATGGTGCTCCAGAATGGCGACGAAATGATATCCATTATCCTCTTAGATCCAATTGAGAAAGTTGGACGCTGAGGCCAGGCTTTCACCACCTCCGGAACAGCATGAACTTAATAGAAAAGTGGAAAAACTACGCGAGCAATTAAGTAATTGCCGTCATTGCTTTACGACTACTTGATTTATCTGTGAATAGGGCTGGCATTTGAACTTATCAACATCGAAAGAAAGATGCGATTGCAAATGCCACAGCTCACCAGACGTATTTTTCCTTAGTGCGGAAGTGGCAATATCATGAGCACGTAGTGGGCCTTACGGTACAAATAAACGCCTCGGCGATGCGAAGGTCACATCGTTGTCTGGGCATGCCGGCCAACCTGTTGGGCTTCGACGGCTCATACAGTAAATACCCAGGCTGTTCAATATCACATCCCTAGCGTTGATTTGTGAACCGCCCATTACTTTCATCGATTCGATTTCCTTCAATCCGGCTTCCTAAGTACTTAAGGAGATCACTATCCATGCTGGCTGCCAGTCAGAAGGTCACCAGCGTACTGCCGGCAACTTCGCTGAATGCTCAGAAGATCGATCGTCCTCTGCGTTTTAAACCTGTGCATGGGAGCCTAGCTTGATAAGGCTCGCGCAGGGTAAGCCTGGCATTTCACTGGGGCCGCCTGGCGCCAATTTGTATATTCCAATCTCATTTCCCCTCAGCAAGTCGACATCGCATCTGCCTCTGAGTTGAGGCGCTCTATCAGACCCCTACCTCGCTCAACATACGATCACTATGTCGACTTCCCCGGAAATCATCGCAATACCTCTACAAGCATTCTTGCATCCGAGCACATTCCTTCGTACAGTTCAGCCAGGATGCTGGGAAGACCCGATCAGACACCCTTCAGGATGGACGTATCTCTATTGTAACCGCTTCAATGTTGTCTGTGAGGGCGGCGACGTATATTATACCCCTCTCTTCAGAATCTACCCCGGGATACAGGACATAATCGCAAGGCGGCTGGGGATAACGAACAACAGGTCCTTAGAGTTCTATTTTCCTGACTCTCATAACCCGTCCTCGCTTCTAATCATCGACCATGAACACAAAGCTTTGGTTGACCCAAGACGGCGCCATTCCGATGGTTGGGCCACTGGAACAACGTACTCGACTTATCTGCAAAGTCGTGATTATTGGAGGTACATCGAAAGGCATCCTGCACATCACCCTCCAAAGCAATTCCAGAAGATCATCGAAGATGGAGTCCAGGAAGCGCTTGATTATCTGGCGTGGTGTTCTCAAGGTAGGTCCCATACCTCGGGAGTCGGGACTCAACGTTTGAGAATTTTAACGACTCGAACACCAAACTTACCAGCCGCCGTTTTGCCAAGTGATGCGCCACGTTCGACTTTTTCTCAAGCACAGTCAGAGGAATTGGTCAATCTTGTGGCTCGGGTTCGTGCTCGGCCCAATTTCGAAAAGTGGAAGGACGAGGACGAGAATAAGAGCGAGAGCAAAAGCGAGTTCGACAATAGCGACAAAACAGAAAGAGAGGAGTGGGCGAGGGAGAGGGAGAGGAAGGAAGGGGAGAGGGAGAGGGAGAGGGAGAAAAGCGCGAGGGGGAAAGACAGGTGGATAGAGGCAGTGCAGAAGAGTTGTGCGAGAACGAGGGACCCGGAGGGGGAAAGGGAGAGGTGGTGGGCGGTGGAGGTGCCGAGCAGTGAGCCCTCGGACTGGGAAAATTGGCGGACCATCCAGGAAGCGGAGAGGGATATGTGGGAGAAGAGGAAGGAGGAAGTGGAGAGCGAGCTGGAGGAATTGAAGCGGCTGAGGGAGGAGATGGACAGTGAATGGAAACGCGAGGAGCGGGAGAATGGAAAGGAATTGTTGGAGTGGGAGTGGGAGTGGGAGGAACGAGAGAGAAGAAGGGAAAGGAAGGAGGAGGAACGGAAGATCGAGGAACAGGAGACTGAGGAGACGGAAAAGATGAGGCGCAGATCAGAATGGGAGAAGAAGGAGAAAAAGAAGAGAAAGTGGATGGAGGAGTGGCTGGAGGAGCGGAAGAAGGAGCTCGAGAAACACATAGCAAAGGAGCGAGATCCTGTGTGTTCTTTCAGCCATGCCGTGTCCGTTTCCGCCATTGCAGCTGTCCTAGCGAACAAGTGTGGGTTTATTTCCATTTCCATCAAAATATGTTTTCCAGAGTCTGACTACCAACTCTAGATGACTTGTACAACGAAAAACATTTTTGGGACAGTGACCGCAAGACATTTTTCCAAGACCCGGCTAGCCATGATCGTAGCGCGGTCGTCAAGACGTTCGTCGAAAGCTATTTCCTGGCGTGTAGCACCATCCTTCTTTTCACCCCCCGACGATACTTGAGCGCCCTCAAGCAAATTAACAAGCTCTTCGTGACGGGGGACGAATGGCGTAGTCATCTTCAGAGATTGACCAAAGATTGGCAGTCCTTCACCCTGCTGGTACGTAGCGTATGCATTTTCCTAGACGACTAGCCGATTTGACTCTTTATCGCCAGGCGACTATCATGCTCGCGTATTAAGTCTCCTATCCTTGATACACTTCGGGTACTGATTCACATATTCTCATAGGGCTTCTGTCTCGGTCCTGTCCGCTGAGGGCATCGGTTCCACTACGTCAGCGGCAGCTTTGATTTCTACTCTCTGCGCGTTGGGGAGTGTCCTGAGCGGGTTCTACTGTTTGGCGTATTACCGAGCACATGGTCTTACGTCGACTGACGGCGTCAAGGATGCTGCAATTGGTGTACGTCAGACTCATTTATCATTCATTCCCTGGGACGACACTCAGGCAGGTTATCCCATCTTTCATAGGAGCAGTATGTGGACAACATATTCGGGCAGGGAAAGAGCCGCCCTCGCTATGTCGCCATCATATTGAGCCTGCCTGAAGCCTGCCTCCTATGGTCTTTCATCTCGTTCGGTGTTGCCGCCCTGTCATACAATCTAACAGGAGGAAGGTTCACGGTAGGCGTCGTATTCGTAGTCACTGTATTCAGTGTTGTCGCATTGGCGACGGCATTCGTCTTCGGTTTTATGTGGTATGTGTGGGGTGAGGGATCCATAGCGACCAGGATATATTATTTCCTCACCGTCCCTGTAACATCTCGGGACGAGGAACCAGACGTGGAGGCTCGTGGCGAACAGTCGCGGGGTGTCCTTTCCTGGCTTCGTAGAACCGTCTTTCCCAGTCTTCCGTGGTTTAGAGGTACATAATTAGCCGTTCTGATACTAACTACCATTCGATCTATTGCTGGTGGTCGTTGCTCGCTTCTCGCATCGTCAAAATTCTTTTCTCTTTCTTCGTTGTATGTACTCTATGTACTATCCTCGTTCTTCTCGTCTTCGTAGCTTCGTTACGTATCCGTTGTATGGCAGATGATGTAGTGTAAAATAGATCGAGTGTGTAAAAAATCTTTCGCGTAAGTTGATGTTCTCGTAGAGTATACGTTCGTCGCCGACATGAGTATGCAACACAGGCGCTCATTCAGGCCTCCGTCACGTTCTGGATAATTGTTCGGTGTGGTCAAGTGTGAAGGGAATGAGTATCTAGAGAACGTTCGATTTTGGATAGTAGTTCAGAAGCAGACATCCCAAGGTAAACCGCGGAGGTCGAGAAGGTGTCAAGCGTCAATCCAGGCGAGCATCCCACGAGTCGGAGTAGACTCCTATTTATGTTATCACGCTCTTCCCATGTACAGGCGCTAAAGGGAAGTTTGTGAGACCTTCTAGGTCTCTCCGGACGGTAGAATCGATGAATGTTCGCCGTGTCGAATGGCGATAGCTTGTGGAGTAGAAATAGGCGCCCAAGCGTTCTGGGCCGAGTGGCCAAGTACGTCGACGATCGGAGAAGCCTCGTCGAACTCGAGCACCGGTTTCTGGACTTTTCTGATGAAGGAGAGCCTGTGGTATCGTGTCCTACTTCGTATGCTATTTTTGCGTGTGTTCAGACACCCTTGCCTTGCTTTGCTGTTACGGTACTTAGGATTGGAAATGCAATCCCGATCACGGCATCCTCCAATTCGGTTTCCTCTGCTTTTTGGCCACTGAGGAAGGCATTCTTGTTGAGTAAGTACTGTGCACACGCTTTCCTGCATCTGTGGTCGGTATGCGGAATGGGGATTTGGGTTGTTTGAGCCCGGGCCGAATGCTTGAGCAAGCGCCCAGTGCGATTATGTTCAAGTCCGCGTTTGGTCCGCGTTATTTGAGGAACCAGCGAGTCGCGACGTACACGCAGAAATACAGGGGATAGCAATCCACGACGCCGCCTCTCATGTGTAGCGGGTAGGCTTGAAGTCGACATAGACTCCTTTGAAGTTCAAGTCGTATTGTAGGATGCCAGTGAAGTTGCATCCGAGCGACGCGAAGAGCCACTGGTCAACGGGGACCTCGCGTCGAGGTAGATGAGCAGTACACCCCCGTCCTCGCCAGGTTGGAACTCCAGCACCGTCATTCGATGACCAGAGATCTGAGACATCCAGGGGTGAGGCGCGGTTAATGAAATTGAAACCTGACTCATTCCTGCTCATCTCTTCCTCCTCCTTTTGCACTAAATCGTCCTCTCTATGACCGGCTTCTACAAGCAAATCATAGAGATTGTGGAGAAAGAGCGGTACCCATATCTCTGGAGTACGTTCCCCAAGGAAATGGCTTCTGTGCGGAAAGGCTGTAAAAGATACATCTGGAGCGTCGCAGCCTTCGACGAGGCTGGAGGGCAGTATATCCCGGTGGATAGCCAGGAAGTGTGGGCCGTCAATGCGAGTCCCTCTTGTTGGAAATGGGTATGGAGGCGAAGTGATATTCATGATATTGCCAGCAAGCGATGGTGATGCTAGAGAGGGCACGAGAGGATGGAACTTCGACAGTCGAGGAACTGGAGCGGTTGAGGCAGCGACTGGGTAAGCGTTGCTATTATTTGCTGCTACGCGACCTATAGAAAACTGGTGGACAGAGATTATTGTTGCGAAAATCGATATCAAAAAGGAGACCCGATGGCCATGCTTCTGGAGACGAAAAACCCTGGAGAAGCCCCACCGAAACCTGGAGTTTCCGGGGTATTCTGGACGATATTTTGTCATCCCTGATTTGCCGTAGGATGAAAAAAAGTTGACGCCCGAGAGTCCCAATCAGCAACTTTCCCCCTCGTTTTTTGATCTTACATTATCATTGAGCCCTTGAGGAATGTATTCATGCTACGTGCTGGCTTCAGGGCGCACCGAACGACTGCTGGTCCTGCATTTGTTGTGGACACGTTGAGTGGACGTTTGATTTGTTACGCTGTACCACATCGTTTCTTCCTGGCAACTCAAAGCCAAAGCATAAAGCAAGTGCGAATAAATTCGTATTCACGTTACCGGTCAAGCGACGTACGTGGAGAAATACAGGAGATAGGAACAGAAATGCTCCTTCAGCCTCCCTCGTCTGCAGAGATTGACCTCGAAGTCAACGTTATGGTGCTAGTGGAGTCGAAATAGAGACATCAGCGGGCTGTTTGAGTTAAAATTGATAGATTATCGAGAGCTTCGGGCTGTAAGTAACACTCAACGTCAACGGTGACGCCGACACTGGAAGAACCGCCAAAGAGAAGGAGGTATGCAAAGTCCCAGAATCTCGAGTCCCAAAAGGCGAATCTGGCATAAGAGAAGGTCCTATCTTTCAGAGTCGCGAATGGCAACCTCGCGCCAGGTAGACAAGTAACATACTCCACCCGTATGCCTGACGGAACCAAAAGGAGTCCTCGTAGGCTCTCTTCAACCGACCGCCATAGTAAATCAAAGCTGTGCGAGGAAGCTTCGGCTCCGGCGGTGCTGCTGCAGGCTAGAGATCGGGAGACGGCGAATAATTCTGGACAACAGAACAATAGCTGATGCACCGCGTGTCTAGTCCAACCTGACGACGAAAGGTCGACAAGATTCCCATTTATTCAGAGATTAAATACCCTCGAGCTGGAGCCTGTCGACTCGGAGGAACAAATCGTCAATGACGCCTTCATTGATCAAAGCATGGTCGTAAGGAACGTACTCCGCAGCTCCTTTCAACTGCCCCGCTGGCGCTGGCTATTCGGGCCCCCGACTGCGCACCTCTGGCCAATTGGATGTTGGGGAGCTGGTAGTATGGCGCTGCCAATTGTCCGCGCGGTTGGATTGAAGGCGCATTCTCGATAAAGTGCCTGGCAGCTGAAAGGAATTCAATAGGACTTGATACGTAGGCTGAAGGTATGTAATGCTGGTTGTTGTGGTTGTCGAAGAAACGAGATAAGCGTTGTTGGTGGTCGTTGTTCAACGTCGTTATGAAGGTCGGGTTGACAAATAAACGGCCACTTCCTCCTTCCTCCACCTTTGTCGAGTTGCTTTTCTTTCGTCTGTCTTCTATCTCGGAGACAGACTTGCCGCGATTGTGGTTTCAGGGAGCGTTTGGCTGTAATATCATGGTAGGCTACCTCCTGCATTGCAAAAGCCGATACCAACTTCAGACGTTTAGCTTCGTTGTCGGACAAGGAACTAAGTAGACGATCCTACAGGGCAAGCAGGTGTGTTCGCAAACTTGGGATAGGCATGGTTTCGGATTCTGACATTGCATGAAGTCCTTCATTATACGAATGCGATGTTTCAGAACCTTCTCTCACCTCTCCGCTCTCGATTTGAACCACCAAAGTCGCCAACATTACCGAACGATAATGGGAACGCCAACCTCAATCCGCCAAATGAGACGTTAACCTCGCCGCGTTCGCCACTAGCGGGCTGGAGCTTGACTTCACCGCGTCTGTCTGTGTTTGGCGGCAGTGGCGCTGGAAGCGCGCAGACCGGTCTAACAGGGCCTTGGACGGGCGGGTCAGGGGCGGAAGACCTCATGAGCCCAGAGGAGTTTGCACGCGACGTGCTGGTGGAACTTATGCGCGGTGCGCTCGAGGAAATGCGCGTTCGAGCGGCTGGAGCAGTGGTCAAGGACCAGATTGAAGTGAGTAGTGCGCTTGGTGACATGAGTAGGATGTACTAATTCGTCCTAGACACTGTCCGAAATTCACCGCATTATGCAGCAAGACGTCGCAGCCACGCCCTCCAGCCCGACTTCTGCTGCACCACCTCCACTGGAGTTCCAGGCTGACCCGACCAGAACGAAGGCCGTGTTTCGCGAAATGGACGGGTTTCTGTGTCTCATGAACGTGCTCTCAACCCTCAGCGCAGATACCGGAAACAACGCTGCTGAGGCTGCAGAGAATCAAGCAGTGGGCGACGCGGTTATTATCGTCAGCAGGCACGGAGACGAAGCGGAGGCAGAAAAGGATCCCGACCAATTGTTTCGCGATTGCGTCAAATGGGTATTTCTTGTGCTCAGTGAAGCTATGGAGGGCTGCGTGGCGAATGAGGTCTTCTTCAGGGTGCGTAGCTCTGACATGAACCCTTTTCAAGCTCATGAAATTGTTCGCAGACGAAAGTTGGTTATCAGTCCCTGGAACTCGCTCTCAGAAGTCTTATCAACGGCGCCGCGTTGGAGGATTCCGAACGACAGAAGCTACGCTTACATATCCTTTCCCTGCTCCTATCTTTGTCTTTGGGCGAATTCTCTACAACCTTCGCTTCTTACTTTGCCTCCGACGAATTCGAGGCTGTTGATGAGAAAGTGAAGACGATCAAGGAGAAGCAAAGCGACACGCGAATCAAACATGCCGACTCTATTCGTGTTTTGTGGAACCTCGCAGAAGGCGCTGATGAGGACCGGCGGACACGATACGCGCTATACAAGCTCCTCGAGCTACTGTATGCGCTCAGCCATCGAAATGGAGGCGTCCTGTCAAGTCTAGGACTGGTTGACGGGGTCTTCACGAGGTTCGGAGAAGTGAGGCTGGGTCTGAAGGAGGCATTGGACGATCCTGCACGAGAGCAGCTGGAGAGAGAGAAGCACGTCTTGCATCGGTTATTGAGAAGGCTGTTGGAGATGGGTGCGAGCACGAGTGAGGCAAGGCGGATATTCCAGGCTGCAGTTGAGGAACGCGCCGGAAAGGAGAGGCTGGATCCGGAGATACTGGAGGTATTGAGGTTCGGCATGAAGAGTCGTTGGGTCGAGCATTTTTCGCTTGAAGGGCAGGCCTCCCTCGTTCTGTCGGATGAGCAGAGATGGCGGACACTTCCGAAGGATGGCATGTCATTTTTGGTGGGTGGTATACGTTTCAGCTCGTATATGCGCCGTTGACACTTTTGTGTGAAGATGTGGTTTTTCCCGTCGACCATGCCCATGGCGGGGCAGACATACACGCTGTTCGGCGCAAAGTCTTCCGCACCTGGCCCCTCGAAGCCATATCTCCGCCTATCACTCCGTTCAGATGGCAAGTTGGGCGTGTTCAGTAACACGGCGCCAGATGACGAGACAGTATTCGCTGCCTCTCGAGTACGACGCGGGCGATGGTCTCATCTGGCGCTTGTGTGGTACCCGAAGAAAGGAAGCAATCCCAATCTCAGTATGTGCCTCGGCCTCGCTTTTCGTGTGTTGTCCTTTACTTCCATTCCCTAGGACTGTTCCTGGACGGAGCTTTCGTCGAAGGGGCTCATCTTGCGTATCCTCGCGGAGAGTCTGTTTCGTTGTATGGATCCAGCTCAACAAGCGTGCAGTATGCCGTCGGCGACATCTTACATGCCCCAGCCCGAGGCATGAGTTGGAGTGTTGCCTCGGCATATCTCATGGGCCTCCCGCTGCGTATGTGCTCGAACGCAAGACTTCATATGGCGAACTGATCCCTCTTACAGCCGACGACATCCCGCGCCTCATTCATCACCTTGGCCCGCGATACACAGGCTCTTTCCAAGACCCTGCTCTGGTCAGATTCCTGACGTACGAAGCGGCCACTTCGCTGAACATGTACCTTACTTCCGTTTCCTCGATCGCTGGACTGCACTCGAACCCGAGTTCGGCACTATCACCTGTCAAAAGCCCTTCAACACGTCCGGTTAGCATGATCGGCGCTCTCCAAGCAAGCAGTTCTCTACCTGATAATGCCACCAACGGCCAAGGCCCTGGCCCGACTCATACTCTATCTCCGAGACCGACCGGGGTCACGCCGATCCTCAAGACTTTGAGAGAAGGAATGCGTTCAATTGGCCTCCGGGAGGAAAGCGTACTGTTCGGTCTAGCACCTGCAGGATTTGAGTGGGGTTCCTCCGATGCCAACTCCAATGCTTTGGATGACTCTAGCGTGGTTGACGTACGAAGCCCGAAGCTTAGGACTAGCCAGACGAGAGACTCGTGCGAGTCCAACCTTGTAGGCGATGTGTTTGTGGTCAAAGCTGAGAGCCTCGATGTCGCACTATGGAAGATTGGTGGAGCTCGTGTTGCGCTCAGGCTCGTTGAGCTAGCCGAGGTAAGCAAGTCTCCTTTCGTCATCAAGAATGCGCCTTCATTCAATAGTTGTTGTAGACACCACATGAACTATCGCGGACGTTGGGAATTCTGACCGATGGCCTGAAAAATAGCTGGCAGAATTCGGAGGATATGGAACGGATGCGTCAGTGCATTTCCCTTATTCTCCTCGGGATGTGTACTTACTCGTCTTTTACTGCAGGCGGTTACGATATCCTAGCCGCTATCTTGAGACGCAAAGCTCATCTCATTAACCTTACTGCCTTCGAAACTGTATTCGAATTCCTTGGTTTCAACTTCAATGCTCCAGAGTGAGTCAGAACCCTATTCAGCCTTGCAGCCGCAGTATCTTACGAATCACATAGGCATTCGACAATAGTCAACCCCGTCGCTTACCGTGCCATTGCGTTGGACTTCTCGCTTTGGGTTCGTACTGGCTTCCAGACTGCAGCCAAACCTGCCGTCTCGGCCAGTCAGGCCCCTTCGACCCCTCAAGTTCCTCCCACTCTCCAGCCAACACAAATAGCCCGTGCACATCTCGACCAATTTACGACATTGCTCGAAACGAGTCGGTATCGTGCATTTAATTGGCGCGTTGGTCTCGGCGAAGGTAGCGGAGGATCGAAGAAGGAAAAGAGCCCGGTCCCTGCAGCTGGAGGAGGCCTCGTCAGGCGGATTCTCTTTGCTCTCCAAATGGGCTGGTATGGCGCAAGGTCGGTCGTTAATGCAGATGGCGAAGAGAAGCAGGAAGACATGACGAACCAGCTTATCGAGGCGCTGGCTTCGGCCCTTCGTGCACCAGGTGGTTTTGCGAAAGAAGATATAAAGGCTGTCGTTGCATATCTGGCTGCCAACCTCCATGAAAGTGAGCATATCTTCCTTCTATTCAATTCATTGTCACCTTTGCCGACATCTCGTGTCCACCTCCATTCCGCTCATGATCGTATGCTGATTACGATGTAACAGCTGAAGATGCGGTTGAGAGTGGAAGCGCTAGTCGGACAGAAGCTATGCTTGGGGATCGATTGGAGCTTGAACATGGACATTTGGATGGAGCCACTACACCTCTCTCCGCCGTCTCCCAAGTGTCAGTTACATTCTCATTAGAATCTTCCACAGTGCCGACCCCTCGCGAAAAGGCAGAGAAGGTTCTCGCTCTGCTGGTTTCCATCCTATCCTCGCCTGCCCTTGCTCCATCGGCACTTCCCTCTCAGATCTCGACTCAAACCTATTACTCCAAACTTACCTCTGCTCTCCCTGTTACTCGGATATTACTCCTTCTACTGGGCGAACACCCAGCACCTCGTACAGCAGCCCTCATCCTACGTCTCATCGCTGTCAGTACCGCTCGATCTCCATCGTTCAGTCGCAAGTTCGAACTTGTAAGCGGCTGGAGCGTTTTAAAGGTCGTTCTTCCGGACACCAAGGTGTGGACAACTGAAGTCAACGACGCCGCATGGGATGTGCTGCTTGGGCGTGGAGCCAGCTCCAGCATGATGGGGAGTCGAGGAGCAACCCCCGTTAGTGCTACGGGCAGAAGACAGAAAGAGACGGACAAGCAAAAGAGTACAACAGTCTCTTGTCCACATATACTTCCGACCATCGTTTCTGCCTTGCAGACCGGCTTGATCGCTGTTGCTGACAGATGTGCAATATCCGACGAGGATGCAGGTATGTTTTTCATCTTCAGGCTGTTAAAGTCACTTTTTTTTTATATTCATCCCACTGAATTCCCGTCCCGATAGGCGCAGCTTCGCAGTCTTGGGCAACAGAGCAAACAATGGAACGACTCGTTGAAGAACTGTTGACTTTGCACGCGAGTAGTGCAACGTTTAGGCAAATGTTCGAGTTGCAACAAACAACGCAACTGTTTATCGACGCATACAAGGCCATGGTCGCCAAACTCACCAAATTCCTAAACCAAGGTAGAGCCGACTCTGCCAAATACATCAATGGGTGGAATCTGCGGATATTGGAAAAGATGACACATTTTGGCCTGGCACTTGCTTTGGATAATGCTGTTGGCGGTTCGCAGAAGCGTGAGGTAGGTTGGATAATTTCGTTAAACCTATAGTTTTCCGAACTGACGTTGCAACCTAGATTCTGGACAACATCCAATCAGCCGAGTCGATTATAAACCCAGATGCAGCAACTACCGCAATTGACCCAGGTTTGGTCGTCGACAACCGGTCAGTACGTCAACGTATCGCGTCAGCCCGGTTCAGCATGCAAGTTGGCGAACGGACCGTCATCAAGACCTTTACACGTATGGCGGACTGGAGGAAGACGGTGCATTCGGCCGAGAAAAAGAGGTTGCGGAAGACGCTGTTGGACATGTGAGTTCCGTTGCAACGATCGTGTTTTCTTCACTTGCTAATGCTATCTGCAGCCGAGAGCAAAGACGTCAAGTTTCAAGGCTGACGGATTGGTCGACACTGTTGACCTCCGAGAGAGGACTCTGGCGGCGCCATCAACCTCTATTGTGGAGGTTGGACGAAACTGAAGGACCACATCGGATACGGTTCGTGGTGTTCTCGTTGACCGAGAATGGTCTCATTGACGGACCTCTCTTCCAGGAAGAAGCTAGAGCCTCAGGACAATGTTACGCCAAGCTCTCGTGTTGACGGACTCGACGAGATGATGAGGGATGTCCGACCGCCTGAAACGAGCGAATCTGCATCAGTCATCCAGATAGAAGTGCCACCATGGGCAGAATCGTACGAGATATCCGCAACCGAGATGGACGACCAGCAGCAGCTGGCGGAGGACATTGTCGACGATAAGCTGAGGCGTGTCCGGCATGAGCTGGAACCTGGCGATGTTATCGAGGCGGTTGCGACGGTTGCAAGGATAGACGGGGTTGATTCGTCTCGTATGCTTCTTTCACTGCTCGGACGAGGAACGAAGGCTGATGCTCTTCATTTTTAGCTGGCTTGTTGATTTTAGGCCGCACCCATATCTATATGCTTGATGGCTTGGTGGAGAACTCCGAAGGCGAAGTCATCGATGCACATGATGCCCCGAAACGCCTTCTCTTCATTCCTGGCAGCATTGTCGAGCTTGACGGTCCTCAGAAAGCCCAACGTTGGGCTCATAGCCAGATTGCCTCGTCAAGTGATAAGAAGTTCCTCTTCCGAGATGTCGCGTAAGCCTCCTCTGGTTTTCACTGTTTTCTTTCCGGTGCTCATGCCAGTATAGTCTTGAACTGTATTTCAGAGACAGCCGATCCCTTCTAATCGTGTTCATCGACAAGAAGAAACGCTCTGACTTTGAGGCCCGCCTGTCAGCCATCATCGGTCGACCTTCATCTGAAGTTACGCTAGCTGCACCTCAACGGACACCAAGACTAGGAAGGATGGGTTCCAGGATGTTCCTGGGCTTCAGATCTGACGAGCTGTCAACCGCGACGCGCAAGTGGCAAGCTCGAGAGATAAGCAACGTAAGTTCGGAATATCTGCTGTTTGTTTGTAATTTGCTGGATATATGCGTCCAGTTTGCGTACATCAGTATCTTGAACCAGATATCTGGCCGCACGCCTAGCGATGCTACTCAGTATCCCGTCTTCCGTGCGTACTTCTTCCCCCCTCGCTATCGCTAACTAATTTTCGTTTAGCCTGGGTTCTGAGCGACTACACGTCTCAAACCCTCGACCTCAACAACCCTGAATGCTACCGCGAGTACGTAGAAACGAAATTTCCCTGCACTTCCTGACACTTACGCTCTGCTCCAGCCTAACGAAGCCCATGGGCGCACTGACTCCTGCAAGACGACAAGCAGCCGAAACTCGATTCACCAATCTTCAAAGCGTCGGCGAAGAACCCTTCCACTACGGGACGCACTTCAGCTCCTCGATGATCGTGTGCCACTTTCTGATTCGGCTCGCGCCGTTCACGAACATGTTCAAGACGCTGCAGGGAGGGGATTGGGATCTGCCTGATCGACTGTTCAGGTTGGTGCTTGGCATGTGCTGTATTTGCGAAAGAACGCTGGATTGACGTTGGAGGTTATACTCTAGTGACCTGGCGAGAGCGTATGACTCGGCGGCTCGTGATGTCCGGGGAGACGTGCGCGAGCTGATACCGGAGTTCTTCACCTGTCCTGAGTATGTGCCCTTGCCTCTGTCCGTGCACATCCTGAGCTCTCTACCCAGATTCCTCGAGAACTCAGCCAATCACGACTTTGGCGTCTTACAGCAGACCGGAGAGAAGATCCACGACGTCAAGCTGCCTCCATGGGCTCGACAGGACCCGTTGCTCTTCATAGTGCTCAATCGACGCGTAAGCTGGTCGATCTCGTAGACCTTGGCTCTGAGTAACAGTTTTGTAGGCTCTCGAAAGCCCTATCGTCAGCGAACGCCTGCCTGCATGGATCGACCTCATCTGGGGTTGCAATCAACGAGATCCTTCGTCGTTGAATGCCTTCCATCCTCTGTCATATGAGGGCTCCATTGGTTCGTCCTGCCCTAGTCCTCGACAAGCCATATATTGACAGCAAGCGACATTTTAGATCTAGATTCGATCAAGGACGACCTCGAGCGCGAGGCGACAGTGGGGATCATCCATAACTGTATGTTGAACTCGCATACATTTGTCGCGAAACCAAGGTCGATGATGCATCATTTATTCTAGTTGGCCAAACGCCCCGCAAGCTCTTCACTAGCCCCCATCCTGAACGCTACCACGTCGGGTTGCATACCTTGCCTATTGGAACCCTTCATGGCATCGAAGAGGACCCGCACCTGCTCCTTCAGAACAGTAGATGCTTCAAAGGTAAGCCCCCTGTGCGCCACCTTCACCCACACCCATTCAACCAACTCTTCTATTTTATTTTTCCTATTAGACCTCGGCCCAACAACCCCCGTCCGCGAGCTCATCCCCGACTTTATCGGCGACAAAATGATCCCATGCCCCGAGGGCGTCCTCTGCCTACCCCAGACACCACACGAGCAGATCGAGTGGCGCGCGGGCTCGACCGAGCTCCGGGTGACGGTCGACCACAAAGTCGTGCAGGTCGTCGAGAACGCGTTTTGTACGTGTGCGGTGTTCGCGGACGCGAGCTGCCTCGTTACGGGCTCGAGCGACTATACGGTGCGATTGTGGAAGGTTGGTCGGGGTGGTACCGGAGGGAGTGGGGGTGGTGGGGGGCAAGGAGGGGGGCAAGGAGGAGGGAATGGGATGAGGGTCGCGGTGTCGCATATCATGCGCGTGCATACGGATGAGGTGGTGTGTGTTGCGGCGTCGAGGGCGTGGTCACTTGTTGTGAGCGGCTCGAAGGACGGAAGTGCGGCGCTGTGGGACTTGAATCGGGGTGTGTATGTAAGATCGATATGGCATGGCGAGCAGGGTGGAGAGAACGCGGCGGTTAACTTGGTTGCTATCAACGAGAGCACGGTACGTATCTTTTTTTCCTCTCCCTATCTTCATCCAAGACTCAGCTGCGTCGATTGGTTTGTTCCATCAGGGCTACATCGCCACCTGCTCGCGCCTCAAACTCTGCCTGCACACGATCAACGCACGGCCAATCGCGACGCTCGACCTCACCACTACACCCTCCTTCTCCGCGCTTGTGCCGACGATAACATCCATGGCGTTCCACGAGCGCGAGTACTCGCACTTGGGGGTGCTCGCCACGGGAGGGACTGACGGCGCGATCACACTGAGGACGTGGACGGCGGATGGGACGCCCGAGGGCGAGAAAGCGCAGTGGGAGTTCCTCACGATCCGGACGATGAAAGTGAGGATGCTGGGCCATGCGCGTCCGCCGGCTGTTACGGCGCTCAAGTTCCTTGGGTTGGTTTCCTTATTCAGAATTTGAAACCTTCGATGCTGACGACGTCTCTCTTTTCAGTGAAAGCCTGTACCATGGCGAGGAGACGGGCAAGTCGTACATCTGGAGTCTCCCGGATAACTGATCTCTCTTCGATGTCATTCCATCCTCATTCACAGAATTCTTGCATCTTATTTATCCTATCTCTATCACATTGCTGTCATATTCATTTTTCTTTTTCATTTTGCACATCCTATTCTATCCTATCTTTCGTCATGTTGCTTTGTCTCGCTCAATGCTAGATCCCTCTGTACATATTTGCTTATTTGTTCCTAAAAAAAAATGTTCACTTCTACTGGAATTCCATGTGGTTTCTCCAAGGTGGTGTGGTAGATTGGCCTTGACATATGGGCACTTAATTCACAATGCCAACAAATTGCATTTCCGTAGCTACGTTGGCCAACCATGCAGCCACAGCTGTTAACAACGAGTCTCCCTGGGCCGGATCTCCCATCATAGTTGTAGATGAGCTTGATGGACACAACCCAATTTTCATTACAGAGGAAAGACTCGGGGCCAGCATAGCATCCAACGGTGAGGCTGGTAGCACAGCCGTCTTTGATGACGATAAGACAGGGCTCGCCTTTGCCGTTGAGTAAGTCAGGGTTGGCCAGGAGTTCCTCCGTGACGATGCCGTTGATCCTCACCAGACGCCCCTGGCTGGATCCCCCATCCTGAATGTGACTGCCTCACACCACTCGACTTCCACGTCCTTAATCCCATTCTTCCAGAGCAGTTCGAGGATGGCCAGGGAGGCTTCGTGGGCAGTGTCAGCCGAGGTAGAGCCGGGAGAGACCGCAACCCAAATTACAACGGGACCGAGAGTGCTCTCCCCTTCCTGTCCATGGATGCAGGTGGCGAAGCGGGCAGGATCGATGGAGAAGCGAGTCCCCACAGCGCTTTTCACCAGCTCACAAACTTGGAGACCAACAGTGTTCCAAACCTTGTTGAGCGGGGTGCCGTGGACTTGGCGAAGCGACTTGGTGGGCAGGTGGTCCTGTCTGTCAGCTGCGGGCTTGATCCAGGGATACTTATCCGATCCGGTACGGTATAGGAGGTCAGGGTGTTCGCCCTCCTCGGCGATGCCGTTGTAGTAGGTTACTTTCTCGTATTCAGAGACAGCGTGAGCTGAGACAATGGTGGTATTGCTGTCTTGCGAGACGGGGGTGGGCGCGGGGAGATGGGATGCGTCGCCCACTGGCAGCGTTGGGGAGCTGGGTGGGATAGGGCCCCCTCGATCGCTAGCATTGGCCAGGCAATCGAGGGCAAAAGGACTGAGATCTAGATGGTAGGTGGTATAGACGCAGAAAGAAACTGAGACACTCGCTCAAAAGATCCGGGCGTAGCTCCATGGTCTTCTTCACCCGTTGGACGATATCGCGATTGTCTATAAGGGAGATTTTGTAAGTGGTATAGACGAGGAAAACGACAAAGGGACTCCCATGAATCCATGTGAGAGTTGAAACATAAAGCCAGACATTTTGACAGCGGCGTCACAGTTCGGGACTTTCAGACAAAGTCCGGGCAATTATGTACGATGACTAGATAGCGCTCATCGTCGTGTCCTGCGAGCTCGGTCAACCTCGGGGGCACAACCATAAAGTAAGAAAAAAAGACATTATGTAAATCATACAAAAATAAGTGCATGATATGGGGGGCTGGTAAAGCCCTCCGCGACACCGTTCCTACCTGCTGGCCATTCAAAACGGCCCTTGTTAGGTCGCACTTCTTTGGAGCACCGATGTGGTGCTCGTGGCTTCGCATCACGACGATAACAAGACAAGTACAACCGCCGACACGAGACGAACATGGCGTCTACCCGCCGTCTCCCTTCTTAGCCTCTCCCTCTCAGTCGCCCACGCCTTGGTGCATGGCAAACAGGACGGGCGCGACAGCATGGTGGAGACCAGTGCAGACGCCGCACGAACATCGGGGTAACCGGAGCTTGACGGCGCAGACATGACGATGGCAGGGACACCAACAGGGCAGGGAAGCAACATGCCAGCAACGCGAGCGTAACCGGGAGTCAGAATAGCAGCAGAATAACAAGCACAATGCCACTGACTCTGACAGGATAGCACGAAGGTGGAGACCCACATCCCAGTTGAAGGGGAGGGGTGGCCCAACAGGGGTGGGTATGGATTGGGGCTCACAGAATAGCTCACATTTTGGTCTATTTCTTCCAAAGATTATCAGAATAAAAGTACATGAACAGATCATTTCACATGACAGAACCCCCCCAAAAAAACAAAATCCAACAAAAATCTAAAGCAAAAAAATTCGAGACAAATCCATTTGCTAGATTCTCGTACCAAGTCCAAATGACGAGGTAAATGATATCCAGCAAAGAGAAAAGTCCTCGAAGAGAGGAATCCCCCGACGACGCAAGCCAGTAGTGCAGCAGCAAGGTCATCACGTCCAAGGGGTGCAAGCAGAGCCCGAGGAACTGGGGCGGCAAAAATTAGATAACCAATAATGAGGGCGGTGCCCTCATAATAGTGGTTAAACTATTAAGAACAGATACTACACTTGATCTAAGCCAAAAGGCCAGAGTGGTAAGGATTCAAAAACGGTGATCCTTCCCTTATATATGAGCGCCAAATGCGCACGGACCATTGTGCTTGCGCGTGCTTGGGCTTGATCATGTGCTGATGGGAAACTCGTCCTCGGCGCCAATCGGCGCAGATCGTTCTTCTGGCCCGGGATCCCGGGCCAGTATCCCCTAATTTCAAACAAGTGGACCTTCTTCCCAACTTCGATAACGTTAACGGAAAGCAGACCAGCACTTGGAAACATTCGGTCAAGCTCTGGAGCATCAGGAGATGACTTCGAGATAATTTAGATAAGAACACAGAGGTGGTCATTTTTCAGCGGATTTTCAAAAGAGGCAGCATGCAAACTACGAACAGAATAGCGGAGCCAGTCAACTTCTCCGTTAGCGATCTATCTCCCACAAGTACAAGGAAAAGGTGGAGCTCGTCTTGTGGAAGCACACGTTGCATCTGCCTATATCACGGGTTTTGCGTGGCCTAAGGATTTTTTCACGATAAAGGCTAAGAAACAAGAAAGAACAAGAGTTTCCTGCACATAAGGACCATGCATCCGAGTCGAGGGGCTGTGGGGAAAGGTATCCTTCCCTTCCCAATGAATTTGAGGTGGGGGGGATCAGAAAACAATAAATAGGTACAGTACACCAAAGCAAGTCTACAGAAGCCCTTTACTCCTCGCTAAATCCTCAATCTGCCTCGCGACTCCCCATATCCTCCTCCGATTCCACATGCTTAGGCTTCGACTACATTCCCGGCGGTACAAAAACCACGGAATCCTCATGTCCAAATCCTTCCTCGCGATCCCTCCTTTCCCCCACTCTCTCGCCCACCAATCGACCTCCTCCCGCCCATGGCTCTTCTTCTTGAACTCAAACGGCCCAGCGGGGAGAAACCACGGCTCATCCTCGACCAGCCGCCGACGCGCAATCCCGTCGACATGTGGGAGTACCTGTGCGCGGACGCGCTTACACGTCCCAAGGACAGCATAGATTGCATGGATCGGTAGGAACTCGCAGATGTGGAGGATGACGTCTAATGGCGGTCCGCCGGGACACGCGTTGGGGTCGTCGTCCCCGCACGGGTAGTCGGCCAGAGGCGGCGTAGCGAGCGTCTCAGCGATTGGGAAGCGGTCGGGGCGGACGAAGGCCCACAGGTTCCCCCGCCCCCGCCACGCGGCGTCGAGAATCTCGGAGTCCGTCTTGCCTGGCTGCGTGAGCAGGTGGAACCAGAAGGCAAGAGCGTCCTCGTGCTCGTCCATGCTGCAAATTTGGATCCAGCGAGGGGAGTTCCCAGATATGTAGTCGACGGGACCGTACGAAATCCCGTCGAGCTGGCCGTTCGTCTTTCGACCGTCCGAGGGGAATCCGAGCGCGTAGAGCATGTGCGGTTCAACGAGAGGCGCTGCTTGCTTGAGGATGAGGTAGGAGGTGTAGGTGACCAGTAACGCAGTGCCCTTGGGGGTGCTGCGATACTCCACGCCATCCTCATCTTCGTACACACCCGTCGAAGCCATGTGATGAGGAAAGACATCGAACACCTCGGTGATGTTCGAGTCATTCGGGTGCTTCTTCACGGAAAGAACTAATATTCGGGCCCGTATCAGATGGCAATTAGGAGAAATGGGGTAAGAACTTACTGTGAGGGTCGTCATCGTCCGCCTGGGTGTAGGGAATTATTGTCCCGTCATCTGCGGTCCTGTACGGACAGATCGCGACAAAAAATGCGGTAGAGTCTACATCGTCTCCGTCGAGTAGTAACCCATTGACTAGAGTGGAGGAGGCTGACTGGGACACGTTGGATTTGTCAGGCGACTTAGGGTCGTACGTCGGCAGGAGATGGTCAAGTACCTACACAAAGAATACTTAAGCTGCATTCGCGAGCGGGAGAACGAAAAACAGACCGCAGTGGCGGCGTGGAGCGGCGGCACTCCAGAAACCTATCCAAAAAATCAGGGGAAGTTGTTCAGGTTCAGATCCTCGACAAACGAGCCAGAAAAACAACATACAGAGCAAAAACATTCACAGTCTGATATTAAGCAGATGGTACCGCGCATGGCAAGAACGTGGCGAACGTGGCGAGTGTGGCGATCTTTGACTTTTATATAAAGGAACCCTTCGGCTTGGGGATGATAAGATGCGATTGGCCGTCGGCACTGCGGATGCAGAACAGTTGCTAAGCGCATACGGTCGTCAAGCCCCTTTCATCCTGAACCAGCCGCGAATACAACGGAGTTTGTATCGAACCGCTGCAGGAGAGAGAAGTCCTGGCACCAGACGAAAGGCTTGCTTTTATGTTTCTGTTTTCGGCCGAGCATATAGGGTAAGCGGGATTGGATTCCGAGTCGAGTCAGTGTTTATGCCTTTAAGAAGCTAGCATGAAGCGGCAGTTCCCGCGGATAAAGCGCCTTGAAAGCCGTATCCTGCCGTAGAGGTAATCGAACCACTAGCAAAAAAGGAGACGAATAGGGAGCACCAAGAACACAGCTTTTGACTGTGCTTTTCGGAGCCTATCAAATCGACGAGTCATCACGCAGTTTCCAGAAAGCCTTTAAACGGTTCGACAAGAGCAACGCAGGACGTAAACCGCACAGGTTTATTGGGCCAGGTCTGGATGGATCTCCTTAAAGGACACTGAGATTTCCGACACTCCAGGTTCTTGCAGGAGGCAGCGGACTTCTCGTGCCTGGCCGACGGGCTCTTTTTGCCTCCTCGTTTTGCTTCCAATGATTGCCAAGGATCGGCGCTTCTCTGACACGTGGGCGGTGCGCCTCATTCGCGTCGCGTGAGAGCGCTTGAGGACATCTCGAGTCACAAATGTCGAAAACATCCCCTTCTCGAACCACGTCTGTAGTTGTGGAGCAAAAATAGGGTGCTGGTATAGGAACCTGTCCAATGGCTGCGATGTCGCCAGGTTTCGATCTTGTTCCAAACTTGTTAAAAGACACCAGGCAACCGGGTTTTTCGAGTGCAGAAATTGAACAGAAGAGAGGAGCAAGACCCAGGATGTGCATAGCAAGGCAGACAAGATCAAGAGTGTTTAACGAGCGAGCTGATCCAAGAGCCGTTCTGTTGGGTCAAAGGGTCTCGTTTCAAACTGAAGATTGCGCCTTCAAGGCCAAGAGAGCAACTCGCTGACGGGGAATGTCTTCATGAAGTCAGGGTTTCGAGTAAGGAAGCTATTAGCTTCTAGACCGCGGAATCGAAGGTGTATGCTCCGTCAAAGGGACTTTGTCAAAGATATTCTGTTCTCAGAGAACCAACAGAGAACTGCGAAGCAGCAAGTTGACAGCGGACAATCGAGGGCGGCTTGGGAAAAGATAACAGTTGGAGCGACGATAGGCAAGAAAGCACTCATTGTCATGGGCTATGCAGTGTTTTCGAAAGACTGTTTCCGCTTGCGTCCGAACCGCTTCCCCTGCGGTAATCCAGAGGTGTTCAGGGGGGTAAGGGGGCCCCCTCCTCCCCAGATACGAGGCACAGATCCATGAAGACGATGCAGCTGGAGAGCGTAAATGTAAAACCTTGACAGTACTTGGAGGGGACATGAAAAATGGAAGAAGGGCATGATCAACAGACCTGTGGGAAGCTTTCGAGGTTGACAGCTAGGGGCTATTTACGATTCAGGTAGCCAACCAGTGGGCGCGTTTTTCCATTTCCCCGTAGCTTTGGCTTCCTAACGGAAGGTGATAGAGAAACCGTATTTATCTAACATATTCATATACTATAGATATCTCTTCCCGAAGTTCGCTTTCTGATGTGTGTCCTGGACGTCTGACGCTTTCGGGCACGCGTCTGGAAATCCTTTCGACGCGCCTTCTGCCTTCCCTGACCTCCCTGGCCCACATAAAAGTTTTAAGAGTAATACGGGTGACTTAATCCACATTAATATCTCGTCTGATGACCACTTGTACTGTCAAGGAACATATAAACATTAAAGGAAATACAACATACTGCCCTTTGCAGATCGCCAGGCGGCCAGAAGCGTGGAGCGTTAGGCAACAGACCCTTTGCGCTTGACCTCACCTATCCTTAAACCAGTATACGGCGTCGGATACAACTTCTGGTGACATGTTATCAATTTATACGTGATCGGACACTACAATTCACATCCGAGTTTATCTGGTAGCATTACTCGAGAGTCACGCAAGGAGTTCGTCGGCTGCCACGGACGAGCCTCGAAGAGATCAGAGAAAGACCACAAATATCTTAAAATCGAGAGGCACGAATAAGATAAAATCATCCTAAAAGTTTCCCTGAGGGAGCATGCCATGAAAACCTTTCTAGCAGGACGGCTAATCCGAATCCCCAATCAACGGTGATGCTCATGCAGTTGTGGTGTAAGTGCTCGGAGAATCGCCAACTTAAACCTAGACCAATATGGACCAATAGACCAATAGAAGAGCGACCTCGAGACCTAGAAGACTTTGATTCAAGGGACGTTGAAGTTGTCGAACTACCATTCTTCGTCTGGGAGCCTGGAGGAGTTAGGGGTACTTTCCAGAAATGGAAAGTAAACAAGGTTTGTTGACGGCGCGTTTGCGGCGCGACGTTTCTTCTTTACGTTCTTGCTCTTTTCTTGAAAGACTGCCTCTAGGACATATCTCAAGAGGTAAGCTAGCCAAACAAATTCAACCTGTCAACATTTGACAAGCTCTGGATGGTTTGTAGAGCTGAGGAGTCCCTTGGCGCTGTTTGGGCACTGTGCAGCTAAGCCGTGTGAGAGCCTCAGCGGGTCTTCCGGGCGCGACTTTCTTTTTCTTGGATACTTTGCTCCATTTCGAAAGGCGAGCGTGAAAGAATGATCTCGTTCATGACGATCTGACAGTCTCGCAGCGTTCTGGACACGATAATCGACTATATCGCGACTTCGAACTGGGACGCCGGGTGCGGGGTAGCAGGAGACCTCTGGGCAAGAACTTAAGTTCTTGGGCCTACAGAAACGAAGGTACGTGTATCGTGCGCACATTTACTTTATTGACACTGATTCGAATTCAAGTTCTTGATTTGGTTCTTTCCTTCACTCCATCTCCATGGCTTCCAACTCAAAAGGACCGACGGCGCCTTCGCAAACGTCCACAAGACGTTCATCCACGCTCAGTTCATCCATGTCATCTGCCAGCGTTTCCCGCAAGCCACGGGCCGCGTCGACTGCTTCGCTAGCGAGCGGAAGCACGACGGTTCGCAACAGCAACAAGCTCAGCACCAGCACGGGCGGCGCGCCGAATTATCGCTCGCCCAACGCGACACCGGTCCCCACACCCTCAGCAAAGCGCATGTCCACGTCCATACCTTCTCTAGCTAGCAACAGGCGCATATCAGCACCTGTACAAGGATTTCCGCGATTGGACCCAGAAAACTCGACACCCCAGTCGCCAGCGATGGTCCTGACACGTCGTGTGGGCGACGGCCCTGCCAAACCTGTTGGATTGCCCTCCGTGGCCGGATCGTTGAGGACACCCCGCACTACATCACTGTTCAATGGATCAGCCTCCCAGCTCGCCAAAACCTCATCCCAAGATGAAAGCAACGGATCACCCGCCCGCCCTGGCCCTAGAACGCGAATTACGTCTATGACCAGCACCCCACCTCGGCCAATAGCACCCCCATCAACCACCAGCGCACGTACAAAAATGTCCAAGACGCCTTCTTCCACCTCGCTTCTCTCTGCTTCAAGCTCCATCAGCCTGAGCTTAACGTCACCCAGCCCCCAGGCCAAAGGCAAGCCAAAGCCCATCAACACTGCTATCACGCCGCCCAAGTTCGCGCTGAGCAATAAGACGAACATGGCGGAACACTCGACGCCTTCGAAGCAGGCTGGAACCACACCCAAAGGCACTCCGAAGTCGACGTCGAAGAAGGGTCAGAAGACACCTGCGAAGGGAGCTTCTGGTGTGGAGGATTTGTGGAGTTCGCCCAACAATTCGTTGGGCAAGTCGTACGACGACACCATGAAGATGCATGGCAAGGTTCTCAGCAACGGAACGGGAACCGCCGTCGCGACTGACGATGGGAATGCGTTTTGGGACGGGGACGACATGTCTCTGGAGATGGTCACAGATTTAGATGATGGCGATGTCGACGAAGAAGTATGTTTTTTTCTTTTCTTTTCTGATTATTGCCGTGCTCAACCCTGTGTAGATGGACACAGCTCTCCAAGGCATACTCCAAATGCACACTAGAAAAATTCTGCACTACAAAAGGTTGCTTGAGCGCGCCCATGCATCGACTGCTGCCCAACTTCACGCTCTCCAAGCTCAAGTACGCGTGCTACGCGAGTCTGCACCTACCAACAATTCTGCGAGCTATCAGAACCTGTCCTTACTTAGCGGAGACCCGGACAGTCTGTGCATCTGTGGTGGAAAGAAGCGCAAAGGATATTGGAGCGGATATCGTGACGATGAGGAGTTCGATGATGCTGGTGATCTGATCAAGGCGCTCAAGGGCGATGGGTCAGGGCAGTTTAGTGAGGTCGAGGTCAGGAAGGCATTGAGAGGGCTTGGACGAGAAGAGAGGATGCGATTGTAAGTTGCCATCTCTTAATTCAGTGGCTGATCATTTACGCTTATCTCTTTCTAGAATTGCAATCATCCTTGATTGTAAGTCTTCTGCTCTTGCTTCTGTTGTTACAGGAGGACTGATTAGTGCATAGCATGCTTGCCTGGCGATATTCGCCTCCAGATCCTCCTGCTAGAGAAATATGCCCGGTCAACCTTCGACGTACTCGGCAGCCTTTCTCCTGATCTCGCTTTCCGAATCTTGAGACTGCTGTCTGTCCGCGAGCTCCTTGCCGTCGAGCCAGTCTCGCGAAAATGGCAGCAATTCGTGCACCATCCCGCCCTCTGGCAGTACCACTGCCTACGCATCACTGAACACGACCCTACGCCCGTCCAACCACCTGCAAAACCCGAGGGCTGGTATCCCCTTTATCGCTCCCTGCACCACCGCGAGTCGAACTTCCGGAACGCCCTTCCGCAGAGCATCCGCTTCCTCAACGGGCACACCAATTTCTGCACGACGCTGCTGCTACGCGGGAAGCGTCTCATCAGCGGGAGCTATGACGAAACGATCCGGTTCTGGGACATCGAGACGGGCGAGATGAAGAAGTGCCTCCAAGTAAAGAAGCCAGTCAGCTGTGTCGACTTTTTGGCGGAGGAAGGTGCGTTTTTTAGGCGTTGTTGGTGCTTGTGCTTCTGAATGCAAATTCGCTGACATTGGATCCGTAGAGGTGTTCGTTGTCGGGTTCCATGACGTCGGGTATGTGCTGCCTCCAATCCGCAGTTTAAGTGAAGCTGACGCGTATCTCAACCCTATACAGTCGCGTACACCTTTTCTCTTCAGTTACTTTCACACCCCTGCAACAACTCGCTGGGCATCTGAATGGTATCCGCGCCGTTGCTCTCTCGTCAAAGTGCCTTGTTTCAGCGGGTGCCGACAAAGCTCTTGTATGCTGGGACTGGCGTACTGGCACAAAAATCGTCCGTTTCGGGCAACAGACAACAGTCAACATTGGTGTGCAACTCATTGCTGGTGATGGAGGCGGAGGAGGGGCAGAAGAGGGTGAGAGGGTGGTCAGCGTGACTATCGATGGTATTGTGCGGGTGTTCTCTATCAGTGAGTTGAGCTCAGTCCGTAGTTGCTTCGTAACGACTGATTGATGTGCCCTGCTTTTCTTTCAGAGAGGAGAGAGATGGTTTCGCAATTCAAGCTGGCAGAGCTCGGTGCTGGGGACCCCGTGTTGAACGCCAAGTTAATCAACGTTGGAACAGCACCAAACAATATGCTTCAGTGCGTCCTGACTTGCTAAACTTCACATGGACAAACATACTCATCTCCTCGACAGATGGTTCGCAGCTAAAGGTACACAAATGACTGTATGTCACTGACATTTTGCGAAGTTCAGACGGCTAATTTTCCTCTTTCGCTAGTGTGCTACGAAATCCGTCATTCTTCATCTCCAATGGCAAGAAGGCGAGGAGGCACCCATCGCAGCAGCCTCTCTGACCGCCAGTTCGCCAGTCGCCCTGACCTCCAGCCAAGGCCCACCACGCACCCGTTTGGGCTCTACCTTCAATCGCTCCTTGACCTCCTCGAACATCTCGACTCCCGGTCGCCGTTCTTCCCTCATGTCGTCTACTAGCAGTATGGCCCAGAAATCGCTGTTGGGTGTCAGTGGTGGACCGAAAAGCCCCTTGAGCCCATCCTCTCGAAATAGCACACCCTCTGGAGCGTTCCCATTACGGTTTGGAAGGGCGACAATCTTGACTGCCCCGCCAAAGCTGGTTGGAATCGTGGAGACGCCTGATATTGCGGTTGGCGCTGTGGATCCTAGGAAGAGGCGGGTTGTTACTGCTACGAGGTTCAGCTCGAGGGCTGGTGCTGATCGACGAGTACGTTTTATCATGTCATCCTTCTTCGTGAGTTCTTACGAAAGCTTGCCCGGCAGATCTTCGTGTCCACACACCAAGACAAGGAGAAGCCTATCCCACAAGCCAGCGAAGGTGACGAAGAAGACGACCTCAACTTCATCACTCAACACCTACCGCCTCTACCCACGGTCGACATCGACACCGATATTGCCACCATGACGGGTGCTTGGGGTGCTCTCGCCGACGTCAGTGGCCCCTCAACGGCTGGTATCAAGGGACTCCTTGGCCAGCTCCCGCCCAAATTCGCTGGCCTCGCCACCCCAGAGAAGAACCCAATGTCGATGCAGCTCAGCCACGAGGAGGTCGTGGTTGGATGTGCTGATGGCACGATCTAGTGAGTCTCTTACGTCTTTATTTTTCTCAAGCGAACAGTGTACTGATGGTGATGAATCAGTGTTATGAATTTCGTTGGATATGATTACAAGCTAGAGAAGAAGCCCTCCTTGATTTCAGAGGAAGTTCTTGAAGACGATGACGACGATTATGACAGTGACGACTAGATTACCATATAGATAATACTGCTATCCCTCGAACGTTTGAGCAGCCTACGCCCTATGGACACTGCTAATCCTCCCGCATGAATCTACTTTCCTTCTCTGTGTGGACCGTTTCTTCTTCCCGACTCGCATGGCCAGCTGGAGTTCTGGATTTTGGATATGCTTTCGATCTGTGCGTTTTTGTCCTTCTCGTTCTTGTGTATATCTACTGTCACTACTCCCAAAATATATCTCGGTTGAGTGACCTCCTGACTCAGATACACACATACATAGGTCGCATGATGACAAGACGAAGAAAAATACACGTCTTATCACTTCTCTGAGCTCTTTCCGTTGGCTATTGGGATTTGTGGTGATAACATGCTCAATAGATATGTAGCTTAAGTTCGCGTTTCATCCAGAATGATATTTCCCTGATATTGACGCGTCGCGGCGCGTTCATCAATCACGTGTGGATTGATGGCTATAAAAGAGACCGCTTCCCACCACAGCTTTCTCTCCAACTACGACGAGCTGGTCTCGTCTGGACGTCCCCGCCGACAGACATACCGCCAAATTTCCTCACGTATACCTGTAACGACGGAACAACGGGCAGGCCCTGTAAACCAAGCTTTAACACCCGCCCCGGAAACCTTTTTTGAAGTCAAAGCACCCCGCTTGTACTTATCGCGACATAAAACCCAGATCTTGACCAGTTGAAACGACAGAAAAATGCCAGCACCACGGACTATATCCTCCCCGACGCCTTCTGATACCTTGACGCTTCCTGACCGGACGCCAATGAAGAGATACACGGTGTACATCGGATGCGTACCTGCACAGACCGTTGTTCTCTCAACGGTGATGTCTCTCCACATTTTCGCGGTGTTTTTCATTGCGATGGGGTGGATCGTGGAGGCAAAAATTGGTGCGTTTATGATGACCGCTCATGGATTAATGAGCCAAGACTGATTTCTGGTGCACAGATAAACTGTTGACGAACTTCCAACGGTTGGCGATGTTCTTCCATATCCTCGACTATGTCTTCGTTGCCCTAGTCACTATAGTCGGGTATGTTTCCCCCCACTTCCATGTGACTGTTCTACCCTAACGTACACAATTCAGCCTTTACGCATGCATCAAGAACAAGCGAAAGGCCTCACAACTATTCGTCGCCGCTCTCGTTACCCAACTTCTGTTTGGTATCGCTTCAGGAGCCGCCTGCCTCCACATCCTCTTCTCTACTCCCACTTCCGAAGAGCAGATCACAGAATGTGCTGCTCTCAGCGAGAAGGTGCTATGGACCGACCATATTTGCAAGCGGTCGCCCATCCTGAAGGCTCTGCTTATGATTACGTTCCTTCAAGTCTGGCTTCTCCAAACCGGTGGGTTGCCATTTCTTCAAGTTTCTACTTGTATTTTGACCGAAGGCATTTGTTTAGTGGTGGCGTACGCCGCGTCCCGTTTCACTCGGCAACTGCAGGAGGAAGAGCTCGACAGGGCGAACAAGAATCTGGATAGCGATTCTATGTATGGTGCCTAATCCTTCTTCACTGTTCTACGGGTTTCTGGTTTCTGGGTTCATGTAGTGCAGTTATGTTCTTCTATGTGTCTCGACGAATATAAACTGCCTACTGGGTTGTTAAAGCGGAAATAAACTTCACAGATGGGACCGCGGCGGTGCTTACATCGTGTGAAAGGCGTGTCCACATCTTACAATGCAATGAATCGGACTCCGGCGGTTGGCACTTGACGGCTACATCGCACCGCCTTCACATACACTGTTGGCGACGGGATTGCGATTGACCCTCTCCTCGAAATTCCCAACTTGCTTCATCTCTGCCCGCGAACTGATCAACCTAGTAGAACAAGCGAAGCAGGCATCTTTCACCAAACTCAGGAGACCTCTAACCTAGACTCAGATTGCGCCACACAATCGCCTGCGATGGCCAAGGGTCGAAAGGGATTGATCCCGCATACGGATGGCCTCGATGTGCACGTCTTCAATAAATGCGCGACGTGCATGGGTCATGTAAAGAACGTCCTCTGCGACCACTACTGCCGAGAACCCCACATTGCGCAACTCCGGTACTGCAAGGGCTGCAGGACGAAAGCATATTGCGTGAGTACTCGGATCTTGGACGCTAATGAACCTCTGATCATAGACGCGACTACCCCTTCTTTCTGCTCCATGATTCCTAGTCGTACGAATGTCAGAAGAAGAACTGGGGAATCCATAGAGACAACTGCATGGGGCACGTCAGCAGGATTTCCGACCCCGATTTCAGGCCGTACAAAAGGTTCGTCACCGACTTCAAGAGCTTCTGCAACCGCGGTGGTCTGCACTTTGTCCGCGCCGCGATTAGCCTGCTCAGGCTGGACAAGGAGTACGCGGACTGCGAAATTCTGGGTGAGCGCCTTTCCTTTACACCTCGTCTTTGACGCCGGGGAGCTTGATTGTTTTCACTTCACAGCTAAGAAAGCGCTCATTGTTGAGGTCAAGCTCATATCCGTGGTGAAGGATTCTCAGCGGACGTATATCCGGCGGCTCGACACGGTCAAGGGTGTCCCGCGCGAGCAGCTTAGGGAACTCGCGACCGGCCGAGAGAAGAACGAGCCGGTCGTACTCTATATCATACTCAGAGAGAATGGGGGCCGCCTCCCACCCCCGTACAACAGCATCGTGATGAGCTTCCACATCACGGAATGGAGAGATCGCAAGTATGATAAAGATTGGAAGAGAACGCTCATGTTTGCGATCGCAAAATTGAACGAGCCTCCTTCCGCAGCAGAGAAAGTGAAGAATGAGCGGGACGGTCCTCAATAATCGACGCACAGGTTGCTTGTCTCGTAGGAACGAAGGGAAGTGCGTCGAGTTTATATTCTTAGTACATAATATTAGATCTGTAGCAAGCTTCGATTTCTTGAAAATGTACAAGATATTTGCCTTGCTTCGCTTCGGCCATAAACAAAATCCGCCACTGAGCAGAATCTCAGAAGAATAATTTCGGATGAAACTTGAATTCCTGTAGGATCACGGCGCAAAAATGAACGAAACTCAAGGACTTGACTTGGAGACTGGCGGCTTGAGAATATGCGGAACCTAGCCCTGTGTCATGCGATCAAAAGTTGACATTTTGGAAGGGGTGGAATCTCAAGAGACTAAAGTCTGGGGCTAATGGAACTCGGAAAGGCAAGCCTGTGGCTCATGTGAAAGAGCAGAGTTGACACGATAGACACGCGCAGTGCAGCCGAGCAAGCGCTTATGTGAAAGGAGAAAAAAACAGGGGATGAGAAATGAAGATGAACGCATGTGGAGGGAGAGAAAGGGAATAGAGGAGCAGGGAAGTAGAGGATCAAAAGTTACAACGGTGTGTAGGGTACAGTATTAAATAATTGTCCGTCATGCAATACTCTAGAAAATAAGGACACATAGACTAACGGAATAGGAGGGGAAGAGAAAAAATTAAGAAGCATTGAGGGGAATCGAGGATAGGACATTGCCTGATGACCCAGGGGTAGAACAATAAAGTGTCTGAGGGAGGAGAGACGAAACGGGAAAACGGGCACGAGCAGACGTACAAACAGACGTACACGAAGTCGAGGGATCTGCTTCATTATAGAGGTATCTTAGTGTATGTACGTTTGTCTGTTCGTTATATAATTTCTATACGTCTGTAGCAGTGTCCATCCCTCTCCTGACTTCAACTTCATTCCTGACTTGGTACAGAACTACTTAGGTAGGTAGAAACTCAGAGGTGAAGGCCGACGACAGGGGCTCAAGCTTCCAAAAATGGAAGCGGCATCTACCGAACTTTAATCTCCGAACCTTGGGTCTGTGACTTCACCCTTTCATCCTCTTCCACACAGCAACGTTGTAATCCACGGTCTATTGTTTTCTAGGACTTTTAACGCTGGCTTCGCACTTGAAAGAGCTTTCGAACTGCCTCCGAACAACTGATCTTGGGTCGAACGCTATACTGGAGGACCGTAGTCGACCCGCACACAAATCATGTCAACACGACGTTGCGAGCAGTGCGAGAACTGCTTCAGACACGTAGAGAGCATCTACTGCAGCAAAGCCGTGAAAAACTGCAACGGATTGCATTCACCACAACTCCTGACCTGTGCGCGGTGTAAAGAAGTCCGCTATTGCGTAGGTGAGCGTACATACCATCTGGGAATTAGGCTCACTATGCTGTGGAGTCAAGAACATGCCAACGACTGCAGTGGAAGGAACACAAAAGCGCATGTGACACGCAAGTGATGATAATGTGGACACTGAAAGTGCTGTCGCCGCGGATAGAACGGACGTTCAAGGCGTTTGCCAAGTTCTGCAAGAATATCAGCGGCTATCTCGAGACGCCCGCCATCAGCGCTCTGGAACTGTACAAGGGCAAGCATCGAGTTGGTCAGTGGATGGTTGACGGAGGTGTGTGCGTGGCGCCACAGCTGACCTCTGCGCAGAAACCCATGTCTTCTTCATCAAAATCCGGGCTAAGGAGACAATATTCTGGCAGAACAAAAAGGGAACGAAGGGATGTATCACTTTCAAAGTCGAGTCGGCGGAGGGCGTCACGATGAAAGAGATGCACGATTTTCTCGATTACCGTTCGGGCCCACTGTCTACGCCCGAAGTGACGGACCGCACGCTGGCCCACCGCCCGGGCCTCCTGCGCATCTTCGTGCACGACGTCAGCGGGATCATCCCAGCGCCCATCGACGGCTACACGCTCCCGACGGACATTGCCAACTGGCCGTCCAACTACCACAAGCGGTACGACCCGGACTGGCTCGAGCACTTCCTTGAGAGCATCGGGCAGCGGCTGGACAGACCGACCAAGTCTGGGTTGGACGGCTCGGAGTTTGAGCTGGAGCCCGAGGGCGAGGAGCAGCCCCCATTTACGATACCTCCCGCCCGACCCTCGAGCCCGACGGAGTTTGACGATCGGCCACCCAATCCTGAGGCGGCGCTGAAGGAGTTGGAGCTCCCCTCGAGACCGACAAGTCCATGTTAAAAACCAACACCGAAGAACGACCATGACGACATCAATTGTATTTTTTGCTTGTACTAGTGCGACCATTCCTTCCGCCCATCTTAGACGCTTCAACAAGACAACCTACAATCCATCTTTTTACCATGTACTTGTATGTTTTCTGCCCCTTCGTTCCACCACCTCACGAGCGACTATTGTAGATCCCATTGTTCATACCATCCGACCCATTGTTTAATCTGATACCATCTTGATAGCTGCACGTTACTAATACCGTTACTCAACGTCTCCCGCAATTCTCCGTTCGAAGAGTATAACACCTCTGCCGTGAGGCCACCTTGACGATATTTGGGTTCTGCCAACATGGTCCGCTCGTTTGGTAACTTCCCTATAAATATCGTCCATTCGGTTGGTGGGCAAGGATAGATGAGCACCTTGTAGGTGACCGAACTACCGATCATCCCGTTCGCTGACCCCTAGATGCCTTCGAGGTGTGAAGAAATGCTTTTCTTTTCCATGATATGAAAGGTTGAAGATGCGACTCCCGGAGAAATATATAAGCCACACTTATCGTTTCATCTCATGCCAGAGGCATGCAATACTACTCAACGCCCTGATTTTCGGCGGTAAATCGGGAAGTCGGTCACATCTTGGGTCGGCAAAAGAGCTCCCCACCTAAGCCAAAAGCGGCACGCGACGCCGCCCACTGTCGGCTAAGTTTGTGGGTCCAGAAAACAATCAAAAAGAATAAACAACAAGGAGAGAAGCCGTGATCCAATCATTCATACCTCAGATTCATAAAAGGATCTTACATTTTGATGGTCTCGTCCGTCAGTAAAAACAATGGACGCGGATCAGAAACTGCTGCAGAGTCTATGGGTAGTAAATAACAGAATGGAACTAAGTATAAAACAAGTATCTAGGGTAAGTATAAAGTCTCTTGAGCACAGGTCCTGTGAGCGACAGACGTAAGGTCAGAGAGTTCCAGGTAGGCTGGGTAGGTAGGCTGTAAGAGGCTACAATGACTAGGCGTCCTAGAAAGAGCGATCCCAGGAAGTCCGCATAGAATGAGCCGTCTGTTAGACGAGGACGAGGTTCTGTCCACGAGCAATTAGATCGAAAGTGGTATAATCTCATGGCATAGAAAGTAGACTTACGACTTTGACGAAGTGGGAAGGCAGCCCGGAGGTCTTCCTGGTCTGGACGAGGGTATCCCAATCGGATGCGTAATACAAAGTGGTGTCTTGTGCGCCTGTACAGCTTTATCAGTGGAAAATTCAGCACCCATCAACTTCACGACTTACTCTGACCGGGACTGTTGACCCATTTCGCTGAGACACGATATATGAGCCGAAAGCACTCTGGAGAGGAGTAGACACAAACCTTTAAGCTGCGCGCCGCCTTCAACTGACCAGATGGTGGACTCGGAGTATTTGTAGCTGGGCTGTGGTAGAGGGTAAGGGGGACAGTAGGAGGGCGAGGCATGGTTGTGCACGTACAGACATGGAGTTGCCGACGTTGCTTGGCCCCGCTCCCAAAGAGGCTGGTAGAGGATGAGCGTTTGGTTTCGGAAAAAGAGGGGAGACTGTACTGACTCGCTTTGGTGCTCGTCAAGGAGTTGTACCAACCACTTCCTGAAGCGTACCCGGTGCTGGGGATTGTTTAGCATGGTGCGAAAGGTGTCGTTGAAGTGGACGACTCACGTCAGGGAGTTGGTGTTTTCCCTAGCGAATCCAAGGTATGGATACGCTCCAGAGGGACCCTATCGGAAGCAAGGGTAAGAACATTGCATTGAAGTATAATAAAAATCTCGAACGCACGTTGGTCATGGTAAGACTCGTGAGTCCGCTTGTAGTGCCAACGGTAATCTTCAGATGCTGGTTCGAGTTATCGCTCGTTGTCCCGTCGAACCTAATATAATCGGCGTCAAAGAGGTAATGTATTGCATAAATAAAACCGCTCACCTGTTGCTGCTGGTGTATGACCTCGCGACGTACATCTTCTTGCTACCTGGCCATTGACCGCCGTCGGCTTTGTTGATGCGAATACGGTAGGTCGTCCTGGCGGAGGGAAAATAAAATGTTGAATAAAGGTCAAATTCCCGTCAAATATAAACATACTGAGGAGCACCAGATGGGTAGGTACGGGCCTCTTCGATTCGACGCGTCAGAACAATATCTCAGTCTCAAGGAAAGATCGCGACGAACCAATGACGCGAGTAGCATCGAACATGCGCTTCGGCTTGGATGGACCCAACCCAGCAGCCATACGCGCGGCGTTGGTACGCAGCTCTAACTCGGGGGTAGTAGGCTCGCGTTTCTGGAGGGCATGGGCGCTGCTGAACTGGGGACGGGCGGCGACACCGCTGAAAAGAATGGCAGCGGCGACGAAGAAAAGAGCGTGTAGGCGGTTGAGGATCATAGTGTATCAAGGCGACCGTTCGGAGTGGGGGATGTGAGGGTGTCGAGGAGAGGAGAGGGGGAAGGACGTGGAAGTCGTTAGGGAAAGAACAACAGGGAGCACGTTGAATTTTTTGGTTGACTTTGTGCCCTTTATCTGAATGCCCGGCGTCAGGTCCAGGTACGGTCAAATAACAGGGTTATAACCGTGGTCGGGACCATCCGCAGACCATGGCGCCTATAGGCCCACAGACGCGCGAGAACAAAACCGCAGCCAATTCAGATCCAAAGACGACAAGATTCCCTTCAGATGGGATTTGGTCATCTTCCCTAGATTCTGTCGAGCAAAGACCTCAACTTCAGCCATAACGAAGAGAGGTATGTATGGCCCCCTAAGAGAACACATATTTTCTTTCGACGAACTGGGATCAAATGGAGTTAAAACTCTGGGCGCGATGATCAGACTTGGCGCATTTACCATAAGAATGGGAAATTACGCCGCTCGCGGGTCCCGTCCAGCCGCAAAACCGGACTGATCATCATTTCTTGCCGCAATCTGACCGCGCACAAGGGACTGGCCAAAAGAGAAGGTAATGTCGGAAGGCAAGTGACGACAAGGTATGTAAGCACTTACGTACTACCGACTTTGTGCAGGAAGCGCCCAAGCTAGCTCTTGGGAGGTGGAGCTTGAGCTCAGATCTGTGTAGGTTCCTGGTTAATTATTGTCCGTGAAGACGGGGTGTTGAAAGCCAATCGGAAAAGAGTTCGTGAGAATATTTTCCCAAACCCGGACGTCTGTGATCGGACTGGAGGCCTGCCCTTCCAGGAGTTCCGCCATTGCACCGAGCAGCGACGACGCGTGTCCATGCAGTATGGAGTCGCGAGTTGTCAACAATCCTGTCTTTCGATGACGATGTTAATCGACTTGTTGGTGGCGCGAACGATAAAAATATCGCGCCATAAGGTTCGTCACCCTTCTGGTTCCAGAGTTACCACACTCACTTGCGCTTCTTCGAAGTAGGATTACTCACCCAAGTTGAACTCTCCCCACACCATATTCATCGCCACTACCAGCTTGCGAGGATGCCTTGGGACTTGATCACCCTGAACGATGGTATGTGCCAGACCAATTCGCGCATCGGAATCTCTAAGTTAATGTGCTTGACACCAGGTAACAGCATTCCCGGCATTGGGTGAGGACCGTCCAAGTCGAAGGGTTGTAACAGGGAAACTGAGGTCTTTTGTGTAGGTTTGGGACGTGGAAGATTCCAATAGGCGCCACGACGGCCGACCAGGTCGACCAGGCGATCTCTGTTGGGTTCAGCCATATCGGTGAGTAACTTGAAGCCCTTGCTCGCAGCTTGCTCGCGTAGCGAGGACGAACTTGCTCACGGCGACCACGCAGATACCGCCCAAGCCTACAGGAACGAAGCTGACGCGGGGAAGGCGATCCACGAGAGCGGGCTCGCGCGCAAGGACATCTTCATCACCACCAAGTACAGCGGCCTCGACGGGCTGGACATCGAGACGTCTATCAAGAACAGTCTCAGCAACGTACGTTCCACCCAGACTATATGAAGCTTCAAAGGCACTCACGGCATTCTTGTGCTACTCTAGTTGGGAGTGCAGTACATCGACTTGTATCTTATCCACCACCCCCGGCTCGCTGTTCCCGACATACCGACCGCATGGGCTGAACTGGAGGGGCTGAAGAACGCAGGGCTTGTGAAGAGCATTGGGATCAGTAACTTCGGGATAAAGGAAACGCAGATCCTCCTTGCGTCTGCGAAGATCAAGCCTGCAGTCAACCAGGTCAGTGTCTTCCTCTTCCTTTCCCTCCTTTCAACCATCAAGAATCGAACGCTCTTCAGATCCTCCTGCACCCCTACGTCTACGCCCAACAAGCACCCCTCCTCGAGTTCAGCCGCGTCAACGGCATTGTCATCGAGGCCTACAGTGCCCTCACGCCCTTGACAAGCCGCCGAGGCGGCCCAGTCGACGATCCTGTCAAGTCTGTAGCGAAGCGCCTCAAAGCGACTGAAGATCAAGTCCTCCTCGCTTGGACCAAAGCCAAGGGCGCCGTCATCCTCACGTACGTCAAACTCGCCACTGGGATGTTCCTCGAGATTTTTATTGTCTTGCTAATTGGTGAACAGAACGAGCTCGAAGAAGTCGAGGCTTGAAGGGTACCTTGCTGCGGGCGACCTTGGTGCGTTGATTGTATGGCTTTTCAGGAAGGATCGCGACTCATTTGCTCTCGTGTATGCAGTCCTCAAAGACGAAGAGATCCTGGCAATCGACAAGGCAGGTGCGAAAGGTGCCCAAATCGTCACTGCACAGAAGGTTGTTCGACGAGCTGCAATCGTCCTGTTCGCTGGCGCTGTTGGGCTGGGCCTCTGCTCCTACTTGGGTATCGACGTCTTGTGAATGCTATGTAAGCAAGTGTAAGATAGTAAGTACGTTTGAGAGAAACTGTACAGTACTCGGTCTACATTGGGTCCCAGAGGAGGTCGTTGAGGGCTACATCCAGTTCTTTTGCTAGCAGGAGAGTTGTCTCGTACGACACTGCACACTTGAACATTGGAGGCCCGTCCAATCGGTCTGGAGGCGATGTTCGATGGAGGAGGCCCATCGAAGTCAATTCTATAACCTGCAACAGAATGAACAACCATGACGATCTAAAGAAAACGCGAAGACGCACATTCGAATACACCCCGACCCTCCCAATCTCCATATCCGTGTACTCTCCAGGAATCTTGAACTCCTTCGCAAGACCTCCCATCCTGGTATCAACGTCATTCTCCTCCAACAGCCCTCCCAAAATCGCGACCATCCTGTCCAGAGCAAATGCTGTTGGACCCAGCAGCCGTTGGGGGATCTTGGAAGGCGCGCCGGACTTCGTCTTCCCTGAGGTTTTCGCTGTCGCGCGTCGCCTCCGCTTCTTCTCGTCCAGCCCACGGCCGAACATCCGTATATCAGACTTTGGTGGATTCGTCGAGGCAAGGAAAGATGCGACGAGGATGAATTTCGACATTCGGGGCAGGGCACGGATGTTCGAGGAGTCAGGTTTAGAGGTTGAGGTCGTGCTGGCGGTGGAGGTGCGAGGTAGCGAAAGCAGGTTGGGCGGAGGCTCGTTCGCCTTGGCCCAATCCGTCGCGTTGGTCAGGCGAGGTAGGAGGGCTTCGAGTGCGCTGGTGAACGTTGGATTGAAGTACCGGATGAGGCGCATGCGGACCTCCTCTGAGGGTGGTGTGAACTCCAGCCCGTTCTCGTCCATCTGCTCGTCGAGTTGTTGCTTATACGCGTCGATAATGGGTTTGACGAACCCCGGCCAACGCGCTGCTGCGATGTATTGCAGCTCTTGGGGATCGTGTGTGAATGGAAAGCAGATGTCGCAGAGCGTTGTGATGAAGTGGGTGTAGAGAGAGGCGAGAGCGGGGTGGTAGGGGTTGTTGAGGATGTCTTCGGATACGGAAAGGGAGGAGAAGTTGGATATGAGGCTCTTCGCGACGTCTGAGGTCGAAGTTAGATTGGAGAGACGGCAAGATGGAAAAACTTACTATCTTTCGATATCCCTTGAATATCCATGAAGTAAGGATCAGGCGACGCGCCTAATGGTGGCCGAATATGCTCCCATCCGACCTGCGACACAAAAATAACGGTCAGATCAACCCTTGCCTATCGAAAGTTCGTCAGTTGGGCCGAAAACGCGTTTCGGGCACGTACCATCTCAGTAAGACGCGTCAGTGGCACGATCATGTCTGGAAGATTTTCCTTCAGCCTCTCTGCCCTTTCGACCACGACCACGAATCGCACATCGTCGTAGGATCCCTCTCTCTGCTTTCCCTTCCCTTTGTCCGTTGCCCCGATTCCATGCTGCTGGCACAGATGTTGGTGGGCAGCACGCAGACCATGGAGAAAGGTGTCCAGATTCTCGTTCCATCTCAGCTCGTTCTCCGGACTCCAGTTCGTGCATCCATCCTCCCACTTGGGCTCCCAGCCTACCAGCGTGTTGATGACGGTCTCGAAGAAAAGACGCGCCGTGAAGCAGGAGATGGCGTCTACACGAACGTAGTGGACTTTGAAGGTGTTTTGCGGAGGTGTGGCTTGGGATACGTCTCGCAGAACCGTGTCGATAACGTTGAAGGTTGTCCTGATGGATTCTATGTCCTGGACGTAGATGAATGAGGGCGGATATGTCGACAGGAGTGTGCTCAGGTCGTCGCAGAACTGCTCGTATCCCGGAACAGGAAGCATAGTCGTTTGAAGACGTGAAGCAAGGAAAACCGGTCTGTCCTGAGCGTAGAGTGAGAAATTTAAAACCGCCGAAACGCGTTCGTCCTCCATGATCACGTGTTGCGCTTGAGGTACCCGTAACCCTTGCCTTGGCACCCCTGAACGTTCAACTCTTCCAAACTCGTCTCAAAATGTCACATTTTGGACTCGACCTGAACCTATTTCTCTCCAGACTACGAAAATCTCTACGTCTGGGCGGCATACTTCCGGGAACTTGACATTGCACAGCCGTGGTACCCGGTCCCGTATCAAGATATTGATAGACTCATAGCGCCGCAACGCCTCTCCTTCGAGCAACCATCTGACACCTCTGCACCGGCTTTTCACCCACTTTCAAGGTGGCTGAGGGGACCTGCTTACCCTAGCTTCCCCTCATGTCGACACTGAACACCTTCCGCATCATCGACAGCGACGAAGAGGCATCGTTACACCCACGAGCAATATGGAACCACTGGAAGAAGAGGGTACTGTGGGACCATAGGACGTACTACGGTGAGTTAAAAGACATCTCGTATGTTGGGACATGGCTCTCGAGTGCTAAACAGGGGAACCGCCCAGGCGTCTTGGAGTTCATCGGCGTTTTCGTCGCGATTACAGCGCTGAACGTCGACTGGCGACTCGCACTCGTTGGATTTCTACTGTTGGTCGCTATTGCACCTCTGTGCGTTATCCCTTCCCAAAAAATCTTTCAACTACCTGAAGCTGAAGGATCGTCCTTCCTGCAACCCAGACATTGGTACAGCAACCAACGAGACTCAACACACATCCTAACACGGACGAGCTCCCACTTCTTCGTCCTCATCACACTCACCATCGTGATTACCGGTACGACGTCTTATTTTTGGTGGAGACAACCTGTTCTGAAAACGAACACCGATTCCTGAAGCAATTCAGCTTTACCTAGCGTTCAACGCCATCATCGTCTGTGAAGATAGATGGTGCATGGATGATGAGAGGTCTCGCGCATTCGCCGTTACCCTCGCGTTATTGGCGTCAATACATTTCCGTGAGTCCTCCCTGCCTCCTGCCTGCTCCTCCTGCTCCTCCTCCTGAACTGAATCGCCCCATTCCACCACAACAGTCCTCGCTGCCCTCGTCGTGCTGTACCGAACTGCCCGGCACCCTCCCAAAGACCCCCTCCTCGCCGAACTCCCATCCCCCGTCGACGTTGATGAAGAAGCTGGCCGACGTCCATGGATCGAATCTAACGTAGCTGATGGCATTGAGGATGACTCGCCTGAACCCCTCGATGGACAAGTCAGGCTAACCTGAAAGGGCTCCCGAGGAGATACGAGGCTATTTCTGCTTTACTTTCTTGCTATGGGAAAATTATTTATTTTACTTGTACCACTTGCTGACCTGTTTGGACATTCTCGTTAATTTCACCAGTGGACGTGTCGCGCAACGCTGATGGCTGATGGAATTATCTCTCTGGGATGTCGAAAAGTGCGACGAGTAAGGCAATGATTTTACTCTCTAGGTGTTTACATAGCGGTGTCTATTGGAAGGACGAGTACTGCTCACTGACTTGGGCAAGGGCCCGACGCGTCGACGCTTCTCTTGGCAATACGCGTCTCCGATCACTCACTTAGGGGCTCGCCGTCAATCACCGTCGCTTAGCCCTCCACAGCATCATGGTTCACAACTCTCATCTTTTCTACATTCCACGTACATCCACATATATGACACGTATTCCACATCTTGCTACTCAGGCTCTCTAGGTTTTCTAAAACCGACGTGTTCCAGGATTTTAGAGTGTAACATTTGGCTGGGAGGAATTAACTGACCTCAGGCTCCTGGTCGCCCAGGACTTTTCGTAGGTCCATCGTTTTGTCTCCTCTTCACTTGACTGATCGCTGAGTGCTATCTCCACCAATCAAGGTTTAGGCTCTCGGTGCACAATCATTGCAGACAGCCAGCCCCCGCATTTTTACACTCATGCCAACGCTGACCTTTCGTATCGTCGAGAGTGACGAAGCAGCTTCGCTCAGCCCACACGCGATATGGAACCACTTCAGAAAGAGGATCCTTTGGGACCATAGGCCTTACTATGGTTGGCCTTTAACTCACCTTCTTTAGTCGAGTTGATGGTTCTGAACTATCGAGTTGCACAGGCATCTTGGAATTTATCTTCCTCCTCCTCTTCGTTACTGGGTTACACTCCAACCTACGGCTGACGCTAATTGGGTTGTTTCCGATAGTCGCTCTTGCCCCACTGTACGTCTTGCCTCTCCTGATTCACACTGTTCTCTGGCAGAGTAATTGATTACAATATCAGACACTGGTACAGCAACCAACGCGATTCCACCCACTTCATGACGCGTACCCGGTCTCATCTCGCGGTCTTGATCCCGCTAACATGTCTTATACCTGGTATTCACTATTCTCTCAATGAATTCTCCCATCCAGCAAGCTGACTTGACGCGTCTGTCGAACAGCAATCCAAATCTACCTCCTCTTCTATCCCGTCTTCTGTGCCGATCCCGACTGGTGTCCGTATGATGATGAGGAATTGTGGGTGTTCACCACAATACTGCTATGGCTCACCCTCCCTATATGTGAGTTTCTATACCCGGACGTTTGTTTTTCTTTCGTGATTTCTGACCTCGATTTCACCGACAGTGGTCTTCACTCTCTTCGTGCTTTATCGCACTTCACACAACCCTAGAAAGGAGCCGACGCTAAAGGAGCTCCCGTCGCCCATCAACGTCGGTGAGAATGACGGACGACGGACGTGGATTGACGCCAATGTGGCTGATGGTCTGGAAGACGATTCGCCAGAGGAAGAAGGGAAGGTTAGGTTGGCGTGAAACTTGTCATATTAGTAAACCTCATTTTATTATGTCCACTTCAATCTCAATATACCATTCGCATGACCTGTAAGTGATTATCGATCGCTCCCTGGACCACGTCCAAACGATATTCCTTGAACCAACCTTGAACATATATTAATATTGTTTCATGCGAGGGCTCCGCGCGCTCGCCTCACAACATCGCCCGATGGAGGCTGTGCACCAGTAACCTCCGCTGATCCGTAGCCTCCGGCTCTGTGTCGGAGCTTCAATCGGCACTGATCTGCCGAAATTTCGATCTACGATCTAAAATGTACCTCCTTCAACTAACCATCGTGAAAACCATCTCTTGTGGCTTCCGAAAGCCTTAAAAATCGCTAATTCGCTTTAAAAGTCTCCTCTGAAGACCTCAAAACATGAAATATCTCCTCAGGACTATTCTCGTTCGTGCGCCGTTCCGGTAGGAGTTCAATCAATTTGATGGTTGTGATCCCCAAGAGGTTTAAAGTGCATCGGATTCGTTGTAGACGTTGTCGTTTACACCGACAAGGCTGGTCCTTTTCCCCCCTCCGACCCTTTGGCTGCGCCATTCCCGACGACCTCCTCCGTTGACGGAGTCAAATCCAACCCACAAAACCCAAATATTCAAGTTCCCTCACTCACGACGTTGACGAGCGGAGCGAAGAAGTCCACGAAATCTGTAGCACAAGTATGGATTCTGCGACGCCGTTCACCAGCAGCACCATCGGCGGGCCCGGTGTGCGGCCTCGTTCGAAGTTGAAGAAGACGTTGGATATGTTTGCTAAGCAGTGGCCTTACATTGGTGCGTATCGTTTCAATTGCGAACGTGATTCGAGATGGCTAGAGTGTGTCGACGTGTTGGCAGGTTTCTGTATTCTATTGGCCGTGTTGAATATCCTGCTAGGCATCCTCATGCTGTCGTACTTGAAGCCCAAGGAAGAACGTAGGTGGTCTTCCGGTCATCCTCGTGTCTGCCCCGACCAACTGGTACCTTTCGTAGCCCTCATCTTCGGGATCATGTGTTTGAGCGTTGTTCTCTCTCTCGGCCATTTCGCGGCGCTCTGCTATCTCATTCAACGAGCCAAGAACGAATCGAGCGATCCCACTATGATCGACGTCTTGTACACTATCGGGGTGGTTGCTCTATTTGCCAGTAAGCCTACTCGTTTCAGTCACACCTTTACTCTCCTTAATCCATGATCTCTTTGCAGTCTCTGGCGCTGCTCTCACCGTAGAATTGCCCAATAAATGTTACAACACTCAGCAAGAAGACTACAGACTCATCGGCCAAGCAATCTGTGACGGCATCACCGCCATGGCCGCCTCTTCCTGGCTGGCAGTTTTGACGAGTGAGAAACATATCCTGTCGTCCGTTTTGTTTGACGTTTCGATTGACCGCGATGTCTGTCAGTGATCATTGCCTCCATCCTCACCTTCGTTGCTGCTCGTCGGGCGATCGAGCTGGCCAAGCTCCCACCTCCGGTCTTCCCGGAGGGTGCTCAAGCACCTGTGATGCGCTGGCTGGACAGGAACGACCCCTTCCTATCGATCAGAGAACGCCAGCAGGATTACGCCTAGACATCGTCAACTCACAACGTATCCAAATAGGCCAATTATACCGCCCAACTATGTCCAGCGCCTCTCTTCACGACCAACCACCCGGAGCAGAACCTTGAAGGGTGTCAAGTAACGAAACTAATGAATATTTGGATTATACTTATGAGAAACGAATATAGACGAATTAATCCGCATTTCTTGCTGTGCGCAGCGAGTATCAAGCTCGTTTCATGATCATAAGAGTGTGTGGGTACGTGGCTTCATCCAACGACATTCCCCGTCCCAGACCACACTACAAGGCGATTCTCCATCCTCCCAGCACCGCGAATCCTATCACTGCCGACGTCCAGGACCACCTTCCAACGTCCCTTCTGGATCCACTCGTCCCATTTGCAGTTGCAGTCGGAGGTGGTGGACCTGTTGGAATCGGACCTGTAGCAGTAAATCGTCCAACCAACGTTCCAGGGAACGTCGAGACCTGAGTAACCGTCGTCGTCGGTGCGCTTGTTGGTCCACTCGTCAATCGAACAACCTCGACGCATTCGCTGCCCTCTCTCCCTTCCGCAGGCAACGTGCAGTTGAGCTCGACAAGGTTGAATCGCCCAGACCCATCTGGGACTTGTCTGTACGCCCAGGACGCGTGCTGGACAAAGATAGCTTCAAAAACGAACACAGATCGACTAAGTGTTAGCGCAGGGTCATGAGCTTGAAGAGGGATTTACCAGTTTCCTCGCCAATCCAGGTGCTGGTCGTCAAGGTGGGCGGCGTCCCAGTGGAGAATGTCGACTCACCGATGTAGACGCGCTGGAGCTGTTCGTACGTCGTGCCGCCCTCTGAGCCGACGCCTATCGCTGTGACGGCGGGCACTTGGTCGATGATGCCAGCGCCTGGTTGGTCCTGTCCCAGCTCGCCGATCCGGTAGAGTGTGAGTGTATTGGCGACAGCCAGGGTGGCGAGGAGGAAAACTGCACTGAGATGCTTGGTTGACCTGAGCGTGTGCATGATCTGAATTCTCGGGCGTCCCGGGAGCTGGACCACTGATGTCGACCGTACTTATATATATTTGATTTACAGGTTTATTCAAGCTCGAATCATGCTTCGCAGAAATATCTAATCGCGATTCAGACCTCTGACAGCGCCAAGACTTGGATTCACCGTATGGCCCATATGTCCTTGCTGACGAGCATACGCTTCTAATAGGTTTATTTAGCGTATTGACCATCGAGAACGAAATCATCCACCTGCACAGTTGGGCTCCAATGTGGTCCCATCGGTGCGTGTTCCTCGTTTCTTCCTCGGTCTCGTGCATCAAATATAATCATCATGCCATAGATCTAGACGTCCAGGCAGGTGCAGACTTGGCAAGCAGGACTCAATGTAAGTAACGAAATCCGTAAATATCCTGGTCTGCTTATGAGAAACGAATACACTCTAGATGACTTTATGTGCATTCCCTGCGGCGTGTACAGCGAGCTCACTTCACTCTTGACAATTGGGCACACATTAAAGAGTACGATATCCATTGTCCTCCTGCATGCTATAAGGCCACCGTCCATCCTCCTAGCACCGCAAATCCTATCAAACCCCAAGTGCAGGGCCAGCTTCGACCCCTTCCGGTTCCATTCATGCGGAGTGGGGGTGGCGGGCCTGTTGGAATCGGACCCGTTGCGGTTAACCGCCCGACCAACGTTCCAGGGAACGTCGAGACCTCAGTAATCGTCGTGGTTGGCGTGGTACCTGGCACTGCACCCGTGTACCCTTCGCTGTCGGAGGAATTGGATTGAGTGCCCCATGGACGACATCCGTCATATTTATACTCGATTTGCGGGTCTATTTCAGTCTGAAATGTGATCCGGAATGGATCCGAGAGCCTTCGGGATATGCGTCCAAGAAGTACTGACAGCGGCGAGGCGTGGTTCCTTAGTATGGCCGTATATGGCTCACGCATTGACTTATCGAGAAACACGATGAGAGATCATTTTTAGGGTCGGTGCCTCGTACATACCGCAACAGCGGAACTGATTCGCCCAGAGTCCACCTGTACACTCGCATTCATATGGATCTGCCCCATTATTTCTTCCTCCACGCCGTTTAAATGTGCTAATACCATAGGCACTTAGCCAGGCGCGGACTAGGAAACCAGGAAATAATACTCATTTGCATGGTCAACGTTCAACCCGAATCCCTCGAACGGCCGACAGGAAGGGGTAGTGAAGGAGAAGCAATGAATCTGAATTTGAATGGAGATATCGAGAGGAGAGGATATGGATCATACAAGGCCGTATACCGCTACTATAATTCCAAGCCCAAGTTTTATGAAACCTCCAAGACCGACCGTTCCACCTCCGCTTGTCTGGATAAGAATGGGACCAGTCGCTGTAAATCGAGGCAGTGCCGTTCCGGGATACGTTGAAGTAGAGGCAAGTGTCGTGGTTCCGTTCTCTACTGTCCGGTCAATGTGGACACATTCACTCCTTGTGCCGTCGCCGGGTAACGTGCAGTTCGTTTCGTAGCCATTGAACTTCTGGGATTCATCTGCATAGCTTATATACACCCAAGACGCGTGTTCAACGAACACCTCTGAGCAAAGAATCAATATAATTCTGGAGAATTTGAAGAAAAAAAGCTCGGGCTTACCTGTTATAGTCGCGGTGTAGGTACTCAAAGATGTAACGGGCGGGGTTCCAGCCGTAATCACTTGAGTATTACCACCGATTGCCTCGACCTGAACATATGTCGTGCCGCCGCTTTCCGCCACTCCAAGTGCTGTCACGTTTTCCACAGACAATACGGTAGACAGCCGGGTCTGGTCTGCCGGTTCCACTCGATACAAGGTCAACGGGTTCGCCGCTATGAAAGCGCCGGCTAGAGAGCAATTCATAAAAAAAATAAGCGTCAGGGATTTGAGCTTTGATAGATTCATACCGTATATGAGAATCCAGATAACATGCATGTTCTCGAGTGTGGTCTCTGGGGGGGCGACTGGGGTGAATTTGCTCCCCGCGCCACGTTAAATACACAATTTCTATTTTTAGAACTGATGGCTGCCCACTCAATCAAGTCGAGCCTTTTACTGATCTGTCCTCATTTACTCAAGATTCGTTACTCAAGTTGAAGATTCATTCCTAGCTTGTGTTCGTCAATTTGGGATGCCCTTGAGAGAGATAGCGTATATGTGGGACTAGACCAGAATGCCATCAAAGCAAGTCCACTGAGCACAAAAAGTGGATTGGCCTACTACAGATACCATGTGTATATGGAAGTCCGTAAGCGATGAACCGTGGATGAGTCGTTTCGGCATGGACAACTCGGGACATGGGTTTATCAAGGGGCTTTTGAATACATGACGTGGCCACTCTTCGAGAAGCTCTCAAGTATCTTCTGACCTCCGGTCGAAGAGGCCACCCAGTCCATGAAGGCCCTGCAGATGCCTTCGTGATCCAATGCTTTCGTGCCGTAAAGGACGTGACCAGGGTTCAAGAGTAGGTCCGCTGCATTGTCTGATCCTAATTTAAAGATCCTCAGTCGAGCTCGTATTGAATTTGGAGCCGATAGCCAAGTGCCCTGGTCGATGAGAGTGTACTCGGAGAGGAAAGACGCAGCTTGAAGGGCCTCTTGAGGAAACCTTGGATATTGGTGATACCACTTTGAATAGTCGTACGCCCATGGCACCTGGTAAAAGTGGAAAAGGACAATGGGGATACGTCAGGATAAGATGAAGAAGAGAAGAAATGACATGACGTACTTGTCCGATCGTCGCGAAGATTTGGCTCTCCTTGATGTTCGTCGCACTCTTATCGAATCTAGAAAGGAAGCGAGTTGCGAGGCGTTCATTAAGATCCGGGGGTGTCTAAATAACTAAGTCAGGAGAGGCCTTCACTAAAGGAGACCATCACACTTACGAGCGCATCTGCGTCACCTGCAGCGACAATCTTATTGAACATGGTCAAGATGTCGTCTTCATCGTCCAACTTTGCCGGATTTGCCAATGGTCCCACTAGCATAAAATGATCCTGAAAGATTGGGTTAAATACGAACGGTACACCTAGAGAGCTAGAAACCAACCCGCAAGGCGTACACCCGATCAAGGGCGTATCCAGAAACAATGGCTTGCTTCTCAGCCGCTGCATTATAAGTGAGAGCAACGTCAACGATGCCAGCAGCCAACATGGAAAGGGATTCAGTCGTGTCGCCCAAGTACCACGCAACCTAGATGAAAGAGTTAATGCAAACATCAGGCATACTTCAAAGGTGCTCGCCTCAAAGGGTTGAGAGCCTTCCTTGACCATATCTTGAATGAAAGCGTCAGCCCAAGCGCGAAGCAAGCCCGTCTGCCCAGCTCCACCGTTCGCGATACGCAAACATACACCGCGTAGCTTCGATTCAGGAAACCCTCCATCGTATGTGGCGCGCGGTTTGGCGTTCTGTGAGTGAGTACTTGAAGGTGACAGAAGCTCTGGCTTGGGAACAAACTCGTGACGGAGGGATTCTGAGGAGTTCTTGGCGTCAAAAGCGAGGTCACTGTCGATGGTCGAGTACTGGAGGCCAGGCTTTTCCGAGAGAAGAACCGAGCACTGTTCTTTTGCAAGAAAGAGATGCGAGAGCAATTTTAGAAGGAACATTGCTCGCGACGACGAACAAAGGATGCGCTCAGAGAAGCGCAGGCTGCATTATATTGAGGAGCTTGAAGACCATGTGTAGGGCATGAACACACTAGACAGCCGGCAAATACGTCAAGAGTCATCGGATACAGTGGAGAAACCAATACCGTCTCCCGTTCTACCACTGGAAGTAGCCCTGCTGCAATTATAATTGCTGCGATATTGAATTTAAACGCAGCCGTAAGAAGTACTTTAAACACCGGACCGGCGTATTTTAGGACGCACCAAGCCCAGACAAGGTATCTTCACCCTGACACGCCCTTGACGATAGCAATTCTTGCGGCTCCACGAGGAGGATTAGGCCGTCGGACCTGAGCCTGGTGGGGTAATGAGCCTATCGCATTCGGTAATGGAGACTGTTCCTTGACATTCGACCTCCCAAAACCCCAGCATGCTTTTGACAGGCGCAAGTAAAAAATAGGACGGGGAAAACGCGGTCAAAGAATATTCTATGCAGCTGCCTTTTCACAGTGATACTACGAGGTGCACAGGGACGATCCCCAGATCCGCGCAGTCCTCACTGAGTATCGATCAGTTAAAGCATGCGGAGAGACATGAGAAACCTTACTTCGAAGAATCTTGCCTCCCAAGACGCGCAACATGAACACCAAAGCACTTGAGGAGTGTGGTTCCTTGACAGTAGGGCCATCAATAAGGAAGAATATCGGAGACGAGAAATGGCGTGTCGAACTAGATCCACGAAAGATGATTAAGGGTAAGAAACGTTGACAGACTGACATCAACCAAGAGCTGAGGCTCGTCCTCCGATGTGTACGACGTCGTCCCCTCGGAGATCGATACCGAAAGACTCGCGGAGCGCCCGGACCCTCTCCAGTTCAGTGCCTAAGGTTTTAATAATCTCCGTTTCACCACCGATATGTTTCTTGACTTCCTTTCCAACCATGACTAGCCGGTACATTTCTTCCCCTGATCTGATGCTGGTGTCTGACATGCCACGGTCTGCATGATCCTCCTCGAGGACAAACGTCTTGGTACAGACGATGTTATTCCAGAAAAGGCCTCGCGGTACCGGCATCATGGACACCGCGAACGAGGCAGCCTGAAAGTCCTTCAAATGAAACTCGTCTTCCGTAAACGAGTATAGGACCCTCCACGCCACATCGCGATCGTCTTTCTTCTGGTGCAACACCTCGAGGTTCCATTTGATCTCGGTTGGTACCCCAGAGGATGCAGAAGTTTCTGACAAAGGCACAGTTAGGCTTTTCCTCCACAATTTCAGAACGGCGAGAATGAAAGAACGCACCGATGCTCGCACTGATGTTCGAATTGGGGGTTGGTTTTCGTGTGAGGCGATGGTTTTCGAAAGAATTCAGACCGAAAATAACGTTATCTTCTTCGTTGGAAAGTAACATGGGTCGCATGAGCCCTGACCCGAACCCGACGTCAACAATGTAGGTTCGATTGCTACCGGCTTCAGGTTGGACGAAGATAATGTGATGGGAGAGAGTGCTATACTCCAAAGGTCCACCCGGAGACCCTTCATTCACTCTTGCGGCACCACTGTACGCCCTATCAAGAACCCACAACCATGAGTCGGAGAACCTTTGCGTTAAATGCGGAGGTTCTAGTTACCTGAACCCCAACGCACGTAGCATACCGAACAGAAGACTGTTCATCCCAAAGCAGTACGATCCACCCGTCTTTTCTGTGATCATTCGTTTAAATATGCCTTCTGGGGTCACATCCATGAGATGACCAGGAGTGCTGGGAGAAAGTAGGTTCGAATTCGATACGACTTCAGCCATAGCGATTTGCACTCACTAATGCATAACAGTATTTTCCCAAGGGAATGTAAGGAGGAAGTGCTTCACGATGAGCGTCAAGCTTCTGAGAGATGTGGAGGCTGAACCGGACGCGATATCGTTTTCATTGATTCCAAGATCGAGACCCATGCAGGCCAAAAATTGCGCTGCCTGTGTTGACGTGTAGTAGGAAGGGACTTTCTTGATCCATGCACCATCCTGCAAGATACCACGTCGAATCTCTGCCGGCATAGTGAAGGGGTAGCAATTGAAAGCATTGCCGATGAACATCGTGATTAAATACTCAGAGACGGTGGCCAAGCCGTGGTCGGGAAAGAAAGAGGCACGTGTCTTTGCTGATCAATCATAGTCGATGATGATGAAGTGAAACTGGGTTAAGAATAACTGACGTGGATAGAAAAAGAGTGGATTATGGGAAGATGTACGGGAAGGTTCTTGAAAAGAGATCATGCGTTCGCTTGCTGATTGTGTTTTCTTTTCTTCTTTTTCGAAGAGGTACCAGCAAGAGGGGCTGCAACTTGGGAAGGTTCACTGTCTTGCCGTGGTCGTTTCTGAGCTGGATTGTTTAATTCGGAATTCTGACTCGTTTCCGCTGCCGTGGAATGGGAGGCAACCCAGTCTTCAGGAAATACGACCTTGGGTTCCGATAAGACAGCACGGTATGTTTTACGCGTTTCTAGGATATTATGAGTAACTATACGCGAACAAGTCATGCCTAATGAGCAAATCACATACGTGCACGCGCGACAAGGGACTTCGGGCTTTTGGTGGATGCGTCGTGTGCGGCATCTTGAGCGAGTCCCGAGATGGCGATCCTGCAAGACGGAGTCAACAAGGCGCTCAGGACTGGCGGTTATTTACTCACAAATTCGCAACGTCCCGCGGTGGACGTATGTCCGCTTCCACTACGACGCCTCCGCTGATAATCAGCCCTTTTCCTTTCGTCACCCTAACCAACTCTCGCATGGCAGCCCACCAGTTCCGTTTGGCACTCGGCCCACTTTCTGCAGCGTTTGCGTCGACAAGAGTCGCATCCTGCTCTCCCCCTAGCGCCCCAACGTAGTTGATCTCGAAGACACACCCGTTCTTTATCGCGGTTCTAACGAGGGTGTGTTTCAAGTGATAAGGGAGTCGAGGCAACGTCAATGGAAGTGATATAACATGTGCGGTCAGCTGAGAAGGAAGGCTGTGTGTCAAACATGCTAGTGAGAAGGTTGTTTGCGTGGTTGGGACCAAGGCGAGCAGGTCATAAGAATTGAAAAGAGGGACGTTTGCGTTAATCTAAAAACTGTGTTCAGCGGGGTTTTCGGCCAAGTGGCAGGGCACGCACGAGTCCAAAGCCCTTCTCGCTGTCTTGATCAAGAACGATATTCAACCTTTTGAGGTACAACACCCCTGCGCGAGGTCGTAATCGAGCGAAAAGTGAATCGAGGACGTTAACATGAGTTTTGGGATCAACACGCTTTGGCACCGTTTGCGAGAACGCGATGACAGTATATCCTACTTCGATCTTTTCAGTCAAATTCTACAAAAAGATGGAACGACTGACAATGTACCAGCAGATCCACTCGGCTCTCCATCGAGTTCATTTCAACAGTACTGAACGCCTCTTGCTGCGAGTGCTTGCCTTTTTTGCTTGACTGCTTCTGAACAGGGACATTGAGTTCGAAGAACATTGTTCTGAATGCGCCAAAATCAATGGATGCGTGGCCTGACAGAAGATCAACAGTCGAGTTTCCTTGCTTGCAAGGGTTCTGGGAGGGGCAAAATTCGTGAGAAACGGATGCACCAGCATTCCGACATCTCAACAGTGTGACACATGTGACTCAAAATTCAAAGATAATCTTATCCTTATCTGAATCACCTCTCCAGAGTATCCGATCTATTGAGAAACGAGAAATGAGAAATGATGGCCAATCAGCATCCGGCATGTCCGACGACAGTTGTTCAATCTCCGCCAGGAAGCTTAATTTTGATTAGGAAGTCGGAATTCTGGAATCATTTGTCAGCCCGCCCCGCCTTTGTTTGTTATTTGGCCACCTAGGCGGGAGCAGCCAAGTTCTAAAGACCACCGCCCCGAAATCTCTGAGTCCAGGCATCGCCATTGCCAAAATAATATTTCACACAAGTATAGATGCACGCCGATGCCATGGCGAAACTAGAAATTATATTATTGAGCAGTAAAAAAGATACAAATCAATAGAACATGTCGACACAAAATGAAAGACTACAAAGCAACCTGGAGTGCGCGTGTGCTCTGCGACCAGCGAGGCTCACTCGAATCCTTTTCAGGTGCAGGGTCCGCCTCCAAATTGACGCCCTCCTCCTCCACTGTCTCCGTCGTCCACAGCTGGGCATCACGAGTCGTTGAGAAGCACGAGGTGGCGAGAGTTGACGAGGTGAGGATGATACAGCCGTTTGAGGAGGATGACGCCACAGTGGTAAAGGTGACAGCACGAAGGCAGGAGCGAGAGCAACACGAGGGCGATGGGCAGGGCAGTGAGATCGCAACAACGGCAAGGGAGAGATAGGCCGGAGGACAACACAACAGCGAGCAGAGCGGGGTGAGCGGGGCTGTAGGACGAGGACAGTGTAGAAACAAGCAAGAGCGGGGAGCGCCAAGAGACCCACTTTCCGCACGCCCAACACCGTAGCCCCATCTAAAGCCTGCCCGAGCCCACATCCCGCCAAGACCCCTCGCCTGGTTTCACGTTGCTCGTACACCCCCTCATCTATTTAACAACATGTGCGACAGCAACGAGGGTGCATGAAGAGCGGCGGAGGTGGCGAGACGATGGTTACGACCAGGCGACGCCCACGGTGGCCATCGCGGGTCGATTGGCGACGAGGTTAGGACAGCGAGGGAGACACAGGAAGACGGTAACACAATGGCGAGGGACGGGCGAGGACGGGCGGGGACGGGCGAGGGCAATACGAGACGCACGATGAGCTGGAGCCAGGGTACGAGGGTTGGCAAGGGCAAGGAAGGAGAGTGATCGCGCATGAAGCAGGCGGGGAGACTTTGCGATGAACAAACAAGGGCGGGATTATTTTTGGAACTTGCCTCGGCAAAATTAAACTTCATGGCGGAGTTTCAAAACTGATCCGACGACACGGGTGACGGCTGTCCTAATACAGGAACCAGTTGACCGACTTCCCACACCTACCCACAACTCCGTCGTCATCGTCCGTGACAAAAAAATCGCTGGGGAAAGAAATGATAATATTTTTAACAGGTTTAAAAGACAGATCTGCGCCGGTTAAGTCCACCATTTTGCAATGGTGTTCCTACAGTGTGGTGACCGTATGGACAAGGGCAACAAAAATACCAAAACACCGTAACGGGTGGCTCTGAGATGCGAGAGTGAGCTCCGTAGTTATGTGGCTCTAACTAGGGGCACGCGTAACCGGAAATGGGTGACTAATGCGGGCGCTAGGGGTGGGAACAGGTTCGAGATGACAGCGGGATCGAAAGACGACGCAGCGGCGCTTCTAAACGATGGTTGAAACGAGGACAATGGGTGAGAGATAAGGACGATAAGAGACGAGACGACGAAAGACGAGATGACGAGAGACGGCGCATCTGTGAGGTCAAAAAATGGGACTCACGCCATCACCTAGTAAAAATTAGTGTTAGGTAGTTTGTACTTTAAATATACATCCATCCACCATTTAATAGTTGTAAATTTCTACCTATACCTTCCCCGAGACCACCATTCATCTTCGCATTTGTTCCCGGTGCCCAGAAGCAAAATTGTGACAATTCTTTCATCTTTCTGCACAGACCTCATGGCTCAGACCCATTGTAGATTTGTACACTACGCTCTCGGTTGCGATCACGTTCGCGCTCGCGGTAGTCAAATTGACTTATGAAGCGCCTAGTAGATTAATTTGCTCATAAATGTGGTGAGGAACGACAAGAAGGATGTCGTTCCTCAGGTGCCACAGCTTTATTAGGGAAGGAGAATGCCCGTTATGGGAGCGGGGTGGCGGGAAGTCATTAGTCAGCGAGTGCGCGGGCATCTGCTGACTAATAGTTTCGTCTAAAAAGGGCACGCGAATTGATCGCGTGGCGCTTCATAAGCTAATGCACGTGGATCTGCAACTAGCCAACCATGTGGTTTACCTGATGGCGGCAATCACCGCCATCAATTCTCATTTCTCATTTCTCAATCCCTGTGGCTCGGATGCCCTCCACCTCTCTGCCACTCCGACTCGTTCAACCTCACGCTCTCTTGTATCATATCCCAATCATGCCGCTTCTAAAATATGCAAATCCTTCAGCAATATGATTATGTCCCCCCCAAGTCATTAGTAAAACTGCATATCAGATTCCGCGAAGTTTTCGGCAGTTTTCCGATCCTCTTTTGCCATCTATCTCTCGGTCTGCCCGAGCCGCTGCCTCAAAATAATGGAGGTACCTGATGCCTGACAGGGTGGCCCGTATCTTAGTGGATGCGGAATCCTGAAAGGTTTCAAGTTCCTCTATCCACGTCAACGTCTGGCTTGATGGAAGCGACTGTAGATCCATTATTAAATAATTGTACTCTACACTCACCATTATGTTGAACTGTTATGCTATAGTAGTCCAACTGCATTAGCCACCTATATTTGTCTCACAATTATCAATATTTTCTTTAACACATCATTGTAAGATTTATTGGCAAGCAAGGCGTGAGCCGCCGCAGGCGGCAATCCACTCTAGTAGTGGAAGATCAAGCTGAAAACCGGCAGGCTTCATGGGAATCCACCCGAATGAGTCACATGCTCTGTCACATGACGGTACGCGAGGTAGATTAGGGGCTATAGTACTTATACTGAAAGTTGCCCATTTTTGAGGTTTGTCAGACGAAGTAACAGATAGAACAAGCTAATTTGGAGGGATGTGCTCTTCATGCAGCTATAAGGAGATAATTTGACCTAAAAGAAACGGGCTTCAAATTTTCATTTCAAACAGTTATCCCTCCATACATTTGACATTGCCAAAAAACCAGTAACAGTTCCAGAGTTTGTCTACAGGTTATCTCACCCAGGAATGGAGCCAAACTTGTGTCTCCAAGCTCTATTATCATAAAATTGGGCGTCTCTGGAGGCATGAGCAACAGTGCCGGCCCGGCCAGCATTAGCGCCCGACATTGAGCGCCGGTGTGACCATTCCATTTAGTTACTGTTTGATTCCGCCATCCCCAGCTCGTACTTTTCGAAAATTCCATTGTATTTTGTTTTCCGCTGTACAAACCACCTAAGAGGATCAACGTAATGTAGCCGCTCTTCTGTTTCCTTTCAATTCCGAATGAACCAAGCACCCTCGTGTGATGATCCAAGAGAAGCCAACAAAAAAAAAGCCATTGTTTAGTCAGACATCCGTCAGAGAGCTTTGGCCTTGGGAGCTGTCGCTTTCTCACACAATGCGACATCTTTTCGGGATATGTCTAGAATATTGTTCACGAGGGACGTCGTGCCGTCATGCTTCGCTTATTTTGATGCTAGGCTCTGAAGTTAGCCATCCTTTCGACGAGAATCTACTGCAACCCGTAGCTTTAGAATAAGGTTGTCCAGGTGCATTTGTTTCGTGGCATGTTTTAACACTTACTGGCTCTCAACAAGCCGCTGCTTGGTCATGGGAGAAGTTCAAACTTGCTTACCTCCTGCTGCTCCCTAAGACATGTGTATGTTCTTTGATTGATTCTCGTTATTCCGAGTCGGAGCTCCCATTATTCTCCTTGGACATCGGCTTTAGACGAGAAATTCTCTGCTCCAGATTAGACGAGACTCACGAGGCTTTCCTTACACCTGCATCGTCCACAACCATGTTCACACATTCGGTCTACTTCGACAGACACCGCGGTATGTAGAAAATTTCGACAACTTCCGCCGTGATGATGGTGAGAGCCAGACCTGACAATCATCACCCAGCTCGGGCCTCTGTCGGTCAGAAGTGCACGAGTCTGCCATTTTGAAAATCGGAACTGTCCACCTCTCTTCACTTCATCATGGGAATGGCACCGGTTGGCTCAGTTTTGGGGCTTTAAGTTTACCAAGGAGCTTCGATGTCACTTGGCTACCACCGCTTTTCCACTGCTCGCGGAACCTACATGTTCTCCGGAGCCAAACTCACCTTCGTACCTTGACAGTCCGTCTTTCTGGCCTTCTCACCGAAGCTTCTTGTGCCTGTTCTGTACCCGATCCCGGTCAAACTATCCGTATGTTAATCTGATTCCTAGCCTTCCGAGCCCTTGAGAACACACCGTGCCGAGGCGTACAATCACCGAGCGGACATACCCATTGGGAATTGGCACCACTCATTCGGTATGATATTCGCCCTCAGAAAACTTATAAAAGCTGGGTCGAGCTTGCCAAAATCTTCATCGAGCTAGCACCACTACTCGAACTACAGCGAATATCACATCGCCTCACTCTCGACATGGTTTCTTTCACTCGCGTTTTCACCATTGCGTCTCTTGCAGTCGTTGCTTTGGCTGCTCCTGCCCCCGAGCCTAAAGCCCTCGATGCTGTCGAGCTTGTGGAGCGCGCCACTTGCAACACCGCGTACGGCGGTGCCGGTACTACGTACACGTGCCGCCAAGTCAGTTGGGTAAGTGGACTGGTTCCCAGCGCTGACCGATACCTTCTAAACCAATTGAATATAGGTTATATTTTCCTACGTTTGCTACGTCGGTTCTGGCCCGACCTACTGCTGCTCGGGCAATCTGGTTTCCACTTCCGTGAGCCTTTAAGCCTCTGGAAGTTCTCGCTTAGACGACTTACATGGTGGCATATTTTAAACAGGACGGTCCCATGGTCGGCGGGTGCCTCTAAACCGGCCTTTTCGATGGCGGCTCAATGTACAAGCGCCTGTGCTATGGCCAAATGATTGACTTGAATAATTGTAACTTTTATACAAGAATTATGATCGTTTCTTCACGATTGCTGCTTTGAGTTACCCAAATTGATCATTGTCTGCGAACACTATCACCAAACGAAGATCACGCTTGGAGAGGATTAAGCGCCCGGCCCGGAACCTTTGACAATGCGCCGGCCGGGAATGATCACGATTACCGTAGCATTAACTCATGTTCATAGGCTGGGGTTTCAAATACAATACACGTTGTACAGCACGGAATATCTCATAAGCATCTCTTCCCGTCCTTTGCCTCGTGCGCGTTTGAGGCGGATTCTTCATGGTCACCTCAACCGTACCTGCAGTTGCACCTGCCCACAAGCTGACCATTGACGCAAGTGCACGTCGGGTTGCAGTGTAAGTATCCGTTGCAGCCTGCGTCACGGCAGCACGAGATCTGAAGGTTTGCTAAGAGCTGTCCGCATGTTGGGCAGGGGTTGGGGGTCTGTGGGTTGGCTTCCGGATCTGGGATGGGGTTGGCGCCGACGAAGCTGATGACGGCGAGGAGGGCAAGGATGCTACTGGCTTTGAGAAGCATCGTTATTGAAGTAGTCTGGCTTTGATTGACTGTTAATCGTCAATGAGAAGGATGAGCAATCTAAGCGTTCCTTGGGAGACTTGATGCGTACCTCTTGTGGTGGGGGTAGGGAATCCTGGCCTTCGCATCGTGTATGATGCGCATTTTATGACATGGATCTGATAACTCATCTCGGGGCATATTAGGCTAGACCACATCTGAGCTGTGGATATTGCGGTGGATTTTTACGCTCCATCAGCATCGTTCATTCCTGGCTGTGGATTGTATTCATTCTAGATCGCTATTCTGTGGCTCCAGCACTGGTAAGAATCTATGAGTAAGAATCTATGACTATCCCATGACCTATGCTCATGGTTTATGAGGCAGCTGGTGTCGTAATCTAGGTTGTCGCACTTCGAACACGACATTGAATTTCAGTTTGAATTTGACTGGAAGTGTTTGACCGTGTGACATATACGGCCATCCGAAACGCCATTTACATAGCACTTCCTTTCTCTTCGGATTGGATATAAAGGCAGTAAATTGTTTCATTGGAAGATACAATAGGTAGTACTGTCTTTGTCTCTAGAGAACGGCACGTGAGAAGGGGGTTAAAAATCATGAGCGTTGGGGAATCGTCGGAGACAGTGATTGTTGCCTTCTTCTCGGCGAGAGCCTCGGTGTGACGTGCAACTGCCACAATGTCAGTTGGGAAAGTGCGTTTAGCCTCGACGCTGACTATTGTGCGAATAGTACATGATCAACGGCCGTTATCACCTTGTCAAAATTGGACCCATCGCTCTCTCCCGGTATGCCGAGGATTAAGCGCCCGTACCCTGACTGACGCGGCGGCCAAACGCTCTAACGAATTTCCCCTTTGACGTGCTAAGTCGAACATGAATTTAGGATGCTTTCAATCTCTCTACCGTGCCAAATTGATACCATTGCGGTATGGGGTCTGCAGCGCAGACCACAACGCGAAATGAGATTTCAATTGACTATAGACTTATGTAATATCAATGACTGGTGCATTCTTCACAATTGCGTTTTCATATATAATTCACGTCGAACAGAACATGATCACCTCAAACCTCCCAAACTTTGACTCCATACTCGCTCCGCAGCCACTCTTCACGTTCACCTCAACCATACCTGCAGTTGCATGCGGTCTGGAGCTTGCCATTGACACACTTGCACGTTGGGTTGCAGTGTAAGAAGCCATTACAGCCTGCGTCACGGCAGCACGAAATTCGGAGCTGCGCTAAGGTCTGGCCGCATGTCGGGCAGGGGTTGGGCGTTTGGGGCTCGGGGAACGCCAAGGGATTGGCCTCTGGATCGGGAACGGGGTTGGCCGCGACAAGACTGGCGATGGCGAGAAGGGCAAGGATATTAGCTTTGAGATGCATTGCGAGAATGGCTATTTGGTGCTTTTTAACTGTCAACGATGAGAAGGTGAGCGACGTTGAAGTTCGTCGGGAGACTTGACGCGTCCCTCTTGTGGTGGGGGAGGGATTCCTGGTCCTCACATCGTCTTCGATGCGCCACTTATACGCGTGGATCTGATAAGCCATCTCTGGGTGTACTAGGATCGGTCGCGTTTGAGGCCTACATAATTGGTGGATTTGCGCTCCATCACCATGCTCCGTTCCTGGCGCAGTGAATTGTATTCATGAAAGATCGCTATCCAGTGGCAACTTTCAGAGTGCTGGTAAAGATCTATGGGCACCGCATGACCTACGCTCACGTTACGAGGGTTGGTCTCTAGTTCGTATTGTGAACACGATGGTGAATTTCAGTTCGAATTTGACTGGAAGCGTCTAAGGCTTTGATGGCCGGTCCGAACCTCCGGGCAGAAAAAAAATGTTCCCCTACTTTCTCTCCAACGACTTTCAGGGAAGTGGGCCAGAGATACGTAAGAAATTGGATCATTGGCAGTTCGATAACTAGTCTGTCCTTTCAGTTTCTACTCTAGATATTGCAGTAAAGTTAACTAATCTATATTTATTCTAGCGAGGCATGCAGTCTAAGGTGGATATACAATGCGTGCAAGAGTACTAATGCAAAGATGCGATGGCGTAAATGGTTGATGTGTCTAGAGATAAGCGTGTTAAGTAGTTAATAAAAAAAGGTCGTCAAAGATCGTGAGCTTCAGATGATCGTCAGATTGAATATATTGCCACAACGCGCTCAAGCGCTCGAGGAGCCAGGTTGCTTCTCGGCAAGAGCAGCCTCCTCTTCTTTCAGCTTTTCGGCAATTTTCAAATCCTGGACGAGGATCAGTTTGGGAAGAAAAGGAATATGGGAGAGACAGCTTACGATGCAAGGTGCGAACTTGCTGTGCGATCGTATCCGAGGTCCGAATTTGTAGAACAGGAAAGGACAGGGGACAAAAAGGAGAGCAACGAGGCCAATAAGCGTGCACGCCCAATTGACTCCAAGCTATAGGTGGCATATTAGGAACAATCATTTCAAGGCATGATGGAAGGAACGTACGTTTGTGAACATCTGAACCGTGAACAAGGGGAAGGAGGCAGCAACTGCAGAGCGAATGACCGTATTGGCGGCGAACGCGGAAGCGCTGTACATGCTATGAAAGGCATCTCAATATACGGATTTCTATCAGACCAGGAGAAACATGAAACTCACAGATATGTATCAACGAGGTAGCTCTGCGGAGTGGACGATTCAAAAAAGGACCATATGTATGAGGAAGCACGGGACGTACCAAGAACGACATGAAGATGAGACTGATTCCGGTGCCGACCAAGATGGTGCTGATGCCCGGGACGTACCACGGGATGCTGGGGTACTGGCCCGTCCACCCGAGCCAGAAGATACCAATGACTAGGACGGGGCTGCCAATCATCGCGCCATAGAGGCGGTCTTCTGCGGGCGGGAACCCCTTCCACTTCTTGATGAGCTCGGGGTAGTGTGCGGTTGTCCAAACGTTGATGAGGGAGCCAATGGTTGTGCCAATGCCAACGCCAATGAACATGAGGCCATCTTCAGCAATCGTGAAACCACGCTTTTCGACAAAGATGATGGGGAAGGCTTGGAAGACTGCAAGATCCGTCAGCTCTAGCGCATTTCCAGTAAAGTGAGGATACTAACGAGCATAGAGGAGGCCATAGACGACGGAAAGGTAAATAGTGACAAGAACGAGAATGGGTTCTAGTGCAAGCATCTTGAACGGGCGGAACAAGGTGCGGTTGATGACACCCTTCATTGACCAATCCTGCTTCTCGTGCTCAGCGTACATGTTCTTGCTTTCGACGGGATTTTCCTTCCTCATTTTCTTGACTTTCTTGAGGAGGATGACGGGTGCGTATGTCTCCGGAATGAGTGGAATAACGATGAGGGTACAGGCACCAGCAAACATCATCATCACCCAGAAGACCCATCGCCACGAAGCAGGGCTGTCGACAATGCTACGAAGAGGCGATCAGCGCCACGTCTCACGGGGAACGCAAGATACCTACTAGCCAGCCACGATGGGACCCATAACAGGTCCAAGAAATACGCTAGCCGTGAAGAGACTGGTTGCGGGACCGCGACCAACGGCTGGCCAGATATCCGCGATGACACCTAAATGAATCCGACGTAAGAATAAGTTTTCAGTCGTGATAAGCGCGAGACGTACCACCGCAGTTCGTCAAAGGGGCGACGGCAAAGAAGCCGGAAAGGAAACGCGTCACAAGGAGGGTTTCAATGTTGTGTGCAAGGGCTTGTCCCAAGTGAAAAAGAGTGTACATAATCATCGTAAAGATGAAGATAGGTCTCCTTCCGATAAGTTCACTACCAGGGCCCCAAAATAGCGGCTATGATTATCGTCAGATTATGTCGCGTATCGACAACAGAGACAAACGCACCCCGAATACATATCCCAATAAGAAAACGGTCGTTATCAGATATGACACCTCTCTACTTGTATCGAATTCTCTCATTATCCGGAAAGAGGCCGAGGAGGGAGCGGACGAGGCGAATGTGCTGTGAAGGATCAGCATCGCAGCGAGGAAGAACAGAACGGACAAGAACGTACACATTAACCGTCATGATAATACACACAGCTGTAATCAGCCACTTGTATCGAATGGACCAATTCTGAGGATTCGTAGGATCGTCGGGACCGTCCCAGGTCACCATGTTCGCGTCGAGTGTTGGTGCTGGCGGGAAGGTGTTGGTACCCGTCTTCGGAGAGGGCTCATGAATGTCGTCGCCGCCATAGTGTTCGAAGTCCTCTTCTTCTCGGGATGCAACTTGCTCGATGGATGTTGAGCTTGTTGAAGCAATCGCGTTCGTCGGGAAAGGGGCATCTGCATTCAGGCCGAGGTCGGAAGGTTCAAGGATAGTAAACGACGAGCGAGTCGAATGTACAGGGGGAGACGAAGTCCCAGGGAACCGGTGGGATTGAGACATGGTGCACGGACGGTAAGGGCGAGCAGTCTGATTCCAAACGGCGCTGTTGTGCTATATAAGCTCCCAGCATCAGAGGAGAGGCTGATAATTTTACACGGCAGGTCCGTCGGCCGGCTAATGTTATCGCGTCCTGACGCGATGAATCATGCTGTCCGAGTCGGCTTTTTCCACTTTCAACAACTATCTCCACGAACAACCACCATGCCATGGTGGTTAGCCGAGTCCTGGCCGAGCCCGAGTCTGTCAGACTACGGAAAGTCGTCCGCGGTCATGGCCATAATCTGTCATAACGTAGCTTGAGAAAGTCGCAGTACCTGGAGTGGCCGACAGCAAAGCCGTTTTCTTCGTAAAACGAAGAGAGTCTAGCGAAGGGGAAGACTCTCATGACAGCTCCCTCCCGTCCCCGGAAGACCTTTTTCCCAGTCCCAAAAAGATACCGCGCGCGTCGCTCGCCTTCCTGAAATGGGAAGAAAATCAGTCAAGCCGGCTTAGTAGCGGAACCAGATCCAACCGATGCGTTAGTGACGTCATTTCGTCGAGTACTGAACAGTAGTAAGTAGTGCTGTCCGAAATCGCACGCGAAGGTGGACACCATTGGACGCCGTGAAACTATTGCTCATCTTTCAAATCGCTTGCTCAGTCAGCAGCAGTCGCAGTCAAACATCCACGTCTCGAACTAAAGAAGGCGTACCTCGGAGTTCCGGTAATGAGAATGCCGGTGCACAATAGTCGGTGACGGCATCCTGTAGCACGATGCCGCAAACCGCCACGGCGTCGCAACTGTGAATCCATCTGAATTGTGCGATTACCGATCTATGAAGTGATAAGCTACAGTCGACGTTAACGGAGCTTGACCTACCCTTCAGCGACCTGTAAAAAACCTCAAGATAAGGAGGTCAAAAAACCACTGCAGGGGACTATCTGTAGCCCCTGTAAACCATTACCATATGAGCAGTTGATCGATGTCGATTCAGGCTCTTCATGCTTGCAGTGGCCCGAATTTGTCGACCAGAAAATACGCCACTGATCAGTCAGCTAAAAATAGGTTTCATAGGCTGAGCAAGGCCGAGCACCGCAGAGCAATAAAATCCATAAAATAGACCATAGAAGACGTGTAGAAAGCAAAAGAGAGCATAACGATAGCACACCTATGTCCCGAACCAACCGATACGACCGTCCTACCTCCGCCGGTACTTCCCTCCCTCTCTGAGCGCCTCCCTCGCAACCTCGTCCTTCTTCCGCAGGTGCATTTCCTTCGCCTTTTCGTTGATATCGCCAACCTCCTGAGTGTTCGGGAAGCCAATCTCCCAGTACCCAGGTGGCGTGTTCGCGCGGGCCCACGTGTGTCGGTGCCGTGAGATCGCCTTCTTGTGCGAGTTGATCTCCGCGTCGCGTCTCGACCTGCTATGCTCAGGGGAGTGGGAGTGCCGCGGACACGGTTTAGCCGGCGTCGTAGGCGGAGACCGCCACAGAGGCTGCTGCAGCCGGTTCGGTAAAGGTCCGACTGATTTGTAGTACTGTATGTGTTTCAGTAACTGCACGAGTTTGTTTGGAGGAAAGTTTACCTCGCGACAACATTCACAGTCGTCGGCGTCCATCTTCCGCCGTTCGTCCTTGTTGCGAACTACGGTGTCGTACTGGTAGTCCTTTCCACCGTTATGCGTAGGGTTAACCTTGTACAGCGCGTTGATCGTTGTCCCAGCCCTATACCGCGTAAGTTGAGGAGTTTCTGAAGTGACGAGACGGCAAACGCACCCTTCGGCACTTTTACCATATCGCCCATGTCCTTTGAAGGCAGCGTAGTCGCCTTGTTGTTTCTGAGCCGTGGTTGACGGCGTCGACACGTCGTTGTCGCGCTCTTTGCCCTTCCGTGTCGCAAACGGGTAGTCAGTCAGTGAGGTCCTCGAGCTGCAACTAGACGTGTCGATATCGCTGACAGCCAGACGACGCATCTTGGAGGGTCGGTCATCGTCTTGTTCTGATTCTCTCTGGCGCAGCCTTTCTGAGCGGTAGAGCGTTGGCGTTGGTCGGCTTTCTTTAGCGAATGAGGGGCGAGCATGTAAACTGGTCCTGAGTGAGAGCGAATCGACGTTGGTTCGTTTCACTGAGAGCGGAGCTGCTGGCACCTTGAATACTGCTGGCTTCCCGGAACGTGGGTTGGTAGAAGGAACGTAGACAGCTGCAAGAAAGTTTCGGTTTATTTATGCGTCGTAGGACGGGCAGGAGCATACCTTGGGAATCATCTTCTGTGTCGGACGAACTTGGCAGATGTTGCAAGGAACGACGGAACGAGCTGCCACCGATCGGGCTAGGTGTTGATCTAACACTCGAATGAGCAAGGATATTGTCCGCTGAAAGCGCCACTTACGAGGGTTCTGCGTCGACCTGAACAGTATCTGGAATGGGCTTGAAGGAGAGAGGGACGCGAGTCGAAGTGGGCGTAGTTGTCCTCGACGGCGAAAGGAAAACTGTCGGTGACGAGGATGGAGCAGCGATGTTGGTAACTGACTTGAGGAGGGTATCGCGGAGGAGTGTGGGAGGTGTCGCGTTGGGTGTAGTACTGTCTAATAAAGCTGCCTTCCTCTTCTGTGGGGGCGGAACGGGCGTTCCCTCGTTCTCTTTGTCATCGGATTCCATCTCTGTACGGCCAATGGGCGGTGGGCGTCGTGGTGTGTTCGTATCTGTGGATAGATTAAGTTAATCGCCAACACCTGGAGAACGCATTGCGCACCTTCCTGCTCGTCGGGCTCTCCAGGAAAGCGAGCGACATCAGGGCCTAATTCAATCATCATCTCCCTCTTGCGCATAAGGCTAGCATTGTCGCGTCTCTTCTTCTCCTCGACGGTGATTCCAGGCTCATTCCGCTGCTTCCGACGGTCTTCGTCCTCCGCGAAGAGCCACCGACTGAAGTCCCGCCACTTCTTGAAGTCAGCCTTGTACCGCTCTGCAGCACGTTCTTTCACGGCTTTGATCTCGTCGTACCGAGCTTCAGAAAGCCTGTGCTACGTCAGTCCGTATATGCGGTGAAGTGGTGGCACGAGACCCACTCCTTCTCAGATCTGACGCGCTCCAGCTCGATCTTCAGCCTGAGAACCTCGTCTTCAGTTTCCTTGACTCTTGCCTGCAGGGCCCTGTTCTCATCCTCCAGCGTGAGCAATTGCAGCTCCAGAGGATCCAGCTTCTTCCTCTGCCTCGCCAGCTGCGTCTCAAGCACTTGTATGCGCTCAAAGCACTCTCGATACGAGACATCGTAGTCGCCAGAGTCGATTGCCACTTGGGCTTCGTAGATGTCCTGAAAGCCAAGAGACTGTGCGATTCGTTCCGTACGGTGAATGGCGTCGAAGAGCTGCTTTGTCGTCCCATCATGGGCGAATTTTATTCGTTGGATCTTCCGCTCGAGTTCGGCCTTCTCCTTCTCGTATTTGTCGATGATGACTTGGTCCCGTTCCTTGAGAACAGAACTAGAATAGGTGACATGACTTCCAGCGGCCGACATAGCGAAACTGAGAGGCACGAGGCCGTCGGCGTCGTTGTCGACGGTGAGGGTCGTCTAAGATCCCTTCTTGAACCGTTGGACAATTGTGTGAGGACAAATACCAAGAGAGGGTGGAGGGGCAAGCTGAGTTGGGTTCAATTTCATGGGCGCGTAGAGTTACGGTCACGTGCGCGATGTGACACCAATGCTCTTTCACCGAATTCCAGTCCTTGATTGAACTTGCGTTGAACCACGACATCCCTTTGTCATTTCTCATAATATTGCCCTTTCATGTCTGCAAAAGAGTTTTATCATAAACTCATTCCGCCAAATCTCCCGTATCTCCCTCCGGAATTGTGGCAAACGATTCTTCGAGAAGCTACGTTTGTGCTGTCCATTTTCGACCCAGAGTTGATGCAGTCTTCGGAGTTGTCGACGAACAGTAGAGACTGCTTCAAGGCGTACAAGCACTCCCTGGTGAGCTATTTTATTCTCGCTTATTTATTCTGATATTCATCCGGAAGGTCACATAGAAAACTCGAAACAATCTCGTACGAGTATGCAAAGCATGGTATACCCTTGGATTACCATACCTTTATGAATACGTCCTGCTGGGAAGGGCACGCTGCCTTATTCCTCTACTTTGCGCCTTGCGACAATCCGATTCGAGTGGAGAAATCCGTGCTGCTGGATGGTGGGTCCGCCGGCTCGACGTAAATCTCAGAGATGAGAGCGGCGAATCCCTGGACGCCTTCGACACTGTGGCCGACATCCTTCTATTCCTCCCCAATCTCGAGATTCTTACCTTCTACATCACCGGACACGCATTCGAATCCTTGAGAGACAAGCACTGGGGCGGTGTTCTCGACGCTTCTCGTACATGCGCAAAATCTCTCAAATTCCTCCACTGGTACAACCACAATCAATGCCTGCCAAGGGAGGCAGAATTGACACGCTTTATCCAAGCGCATCCGGCACTAGAGTCCCTCAGTGCGCCAGTCTACACGAAACGTGACGCCAACATGTCGCTCAACGCTGTGAAGAATCTGTATGTCTATCCCTACGAGCCGCACAGCAGCGCAAGCCTGGGGTTATGCGAGCTCGATCTTCAATCTGTTCGGCATGCGACTTACAGATGCTTTGACCGCGACCCGCAGCCATTTCGCCGTGTTAACAAGCTCTTCTTCCAGAAAATAGGCCCACAACTGACGAGTTTGCGGCTGATTTGGAGTGCAGACTACAATTTTGCTACTCAAGGCACAACTCTCGCTCAGTGTCTCCGCGACACCCGCGACGAGATCCTTCACCATTGCAATTCCTTGGAGCGTTTCGACTTACACACTCACCAATATCATATTAAGCAACTCCATTTCCTTGCATTCCCGTCCACAGTCAAAGTATTTGGTATTCGCCTCGACCCCGTCCAGACATCGAAACAAAAGTTTCACTTACTTGTCGACAAAATTCGAGCCCTTCTCGAAGAATATCGCCACGTCAAAGTCCTCCAGTTTCTTGACAGAGGGAATGTACGATGCCTACGACAGAATCCAACAGTGTTGGCTGATTGTGTACGAGCAATGAAGGACCTGGGAGTGCAGGTTCAGGATGATGAAGGCCAGTCCCTTCAGTAAGGATGCCTAATCCATTTCTCACTTAGCTTCCTGGGCCCGTATTTTTGTTCCATATGTGCCACCATCTCGTCCCAATCTCTGCTTTATTGCTTTTGTAGTAATAACGATCTGCTGCAAGACTAACCAATCTTGTTTCCAGCACAACACCAATGGCGGTTCGAGTTTAGGGGCGCTCCTTATTGGGCTAGCGGTCCGGGGTAAGCTGAACTGAATCTCTCAAGCTGTCAGTGTCATTCCCTCTTTCGTCTCAACCCGTCCCACAAGAACTTGAAGAAGGTCAGAAAGTGAAAGGACGCTTTTTCATCAACTACAACGACTATATCTGTCAGCGCGGCTTTCTGCAGAACTTTATAGGGGCTTTCAAGCTTCTCATTGAAGGCACGCGGCGGGAGCGGAGGCAATATCTCGGAATTCGCTTCGGGGTCGTCTGAGTGATCCATGCCTGATCCATGCTCTCAGTCATCCCGTAACCCTGAGTTGTTCGCTTCTGTCTTAAACCACCACATTCAGGGCATCGACGTCCCTCGTTTCCTCTTCCCCACTCACTGTCCTGGGGCAGCGACTCCGGTCCTCCTCCCAGCACTTTCCCAAAGCCATTTCCGGTCCCGACTTGATTCAAGCTCCATGAAACCATGACCATAGCGAACTACGTCCACTCGACGGCTTTGGCGGAGTTGTCGAGTGAAAGTGCGAGTACCGTGTTCGGAGGAAATTTTGTTTCACTGCTGGGGGCAGCTGCCATTCAGAACTATTCTGCTCGTACGTCACGATTCCTTTTCCGCAACGGGTGGACGGGTGCTGATGTCGAGTTCGTCACGTAGTTTCTGCGTTCATCTTGCTCGTGTGGGACTACGTGGATACTCTAACGGATGAAGTGCACTATATCTGGGGGTATGTCCTTAAAATCCCTCTCGAATTTCTCATGACTGACGCGCCACCAGCCAGCGTTTGACGCCAGTAAAGTTCGCCTTTCTGTTCGCCCGGTACTACGGCCTCGCATCGCAGTTGTGAGTTTGTACAACGGGTGTCAACCAATGCACTCAGCTGAGATGGGTGCACAACTCCTTTTCCAGCACGAACTACGTCCTATTAATGACCCGATTGTCGAGGATGCCCGTCGATCATCAGATGTGCAAGGGATGGTATGGATTTCAGACAGTATCATTCTGGCTGCTCTATACCTCCAGCGACCTAGTCCTGATGATGAGAGGTGCGTCTTCCGATCGGTCTTCCATGCAACGCTGATTCCATGGACAAATCCAGTTTACGCCCTGTACAAGCATTCGCAGAACATTGGAATGTGTCTCCTCTTCCTACATACCATGGAGGGCATTGTCGTCAGCCTCGTTGGTTGGCACACGCTCGAACATATTCAATTCAATGCCGCCTGCGATGCGATTTCCATACCACCTGACGTGATAGCTTTTGCGTGAGTTACACGCAACCACCAACCTTCCTCTCGATCTGACAAACACCGTGTTGTAGAACGGTCGTCATCGTGTCGCAGTGCGTGGTTTGGGTGCTGACTTACTACAAACGCAACGTTGGCCATGGACAGAGCGTGCCTGTTGTGGATGTCGTCATTCGGGATGGGCGATTGGCTTGGTTCGTTGTTTGTGGTATGTCACCCGAGAAGTTCCTAGTGACGTACGGATCGACTGACGCCTACTCGAGTTATTATTGCTGCGACTGTTCTTCCTTCTTTCTGCCGCCAGGTTGTGAAACCCCATCTCTTATTTTCGTGAGTAAAGACCCTCAGCAAATATCCTCTCTGTTAACAACATGAATCCATAGATGGCCTATTACTGTGTTGTCAGTAGGGGTGAGATATCTTCGGTTGTCACAATGAACCACATCCTTCTAACTGCTTTCCTCTAGACATGCCGCTTGGTTCTGAATATTCAAAAAGTGCCAGGCATACAGCCTGGACCGCCCGCGTGTCGTCGACGACTCGCTTCTTCAGTCGCTTCAAGTGGTGCAACTTTCAGTAGCATTGCCCCGAGCCTGGCCAGCCGCTCGGGCTCCCATTTCTCCTCCGAGCCCAATCCATTCGCTTTTGATTGGCACAATACCCCTGCCTACGCCCGCTCCGCCTCTTCCATCGCTAAATCAGAAAACGCCAACGCCAATTCCATACCAAGTTCCCCCAGCATCCCCTCCCTTCACTTTGATGGAAGGTCATCGATATCGCGGACCAAGCACCCGACTGAGCTATGCCGGTTAGAGCATATCGACAGCAGGGTCAGCAGCTGCCAGAGCTCGGCGAAAGCTAGGAGCTGGCATAGCAGCTGTGACATCGAAATTGGCAGCGAGTGCACAAACACAAGTATGGACTCTGCCGAGCTGAGAGAGTACTGGAACGAACTTCTGTAATATTACTCTTATAATTGCGACGAGTTTTCCATAGATTCGCTGATTGGGCTTTATTCGTACAATGGAGCTCTAAATTAGTGTAAGTGTACAATAGTCTTAATCCTGCTGTCTGGTTAGATAGTACCCATACCATACACGCACTTGATTCCCGCAACCCAGTAGAATGAGCCCGACTAACGGCTGGTAATTTCCTCAGAAGGTTCGTCGTAGTTGTTACGAGGTCCTTGGTTGGCTACCGAAGGTGTGGGTCCAAAAGCCCCTTTCGTGTCGTAGTTTGCGAGCAGGTGGCAGAGGTGTTGCCAACCGCAACTCACCACAGAATTGTCTTCTCATTCGAGTCCATGTGGGACGTGTGCTCAGCCTTGCCCCTCACTGCGCGGTTGAAGTCAAGATGCCCCCATCTGCTCGTTCACCAAGGTCCAGCTGAAGGATGGCCGGATCGTCGGAGGTGTCGATGAAACTCGTAAAAACGATATCTGTGCCAGTTGTTCGAGAGTCCCACTGACCATCGCGGGAGATCGCCACCTTCTGCATGTTGAGGATGAGTCGGCACGTCTGGAAGCTGCGTGAGCACCTGATCGTTGAACGTTGGAGATGGTGTAAAAACCTACTGCAATTGAGATGAGAGTAATAGGCCAGCTGGAGTTCCTTTAGTGAATACCCAAGGAAGAAACGAACGGGGCCCGTACATGAACACGATGTGGGGTTTCGAAACATCAGAAAAGATCGAATAGGGCACTGTTGCCGAGAAAATGGCTACAAGGTCACACATGATCAAGGCTTCTCCACAGCAAGACCTAAAAAAGCAGAACGCACACACAACGAGAACAAATATCCAGGCACCGTCTCTTACGACCAGATCGACGACGCGCGACTGCCCAAATGCGATCTTCCTTTTCGCCACAGTCATCATCGTCAAAATGGACTGAGAAATAATAACGGAGGACCTGATACTCTGAATGAATTGCGAGGCTAGCAACAAAGCACAACTCACATGAAGTACACGACCTCTCGGGGTGTTTTGAGAACGTCGCATGCCGGACAGAAAGGAACTACGTCGATTGTGCGAGATGTGCAGGTGGTAACTAGTGCTCCTTGGACAAACAGAAGAAACGCTACGAATATCCCAATTTTGACATCGCGGTTCCAAAGGACGTATACTGAAAGAAACGGGGTTGAGATGCAATGCTGACGAAAGTGACCTGAACACTCGCCTCGAAGCATAACTATTACGTCGATCGCTACTAGTAGGAGACAGGAACAAACGGCCAGAAAGAGAAACCACCCTTTGCACGCTGGTCGTGAAACAGGAAGATGGGATAAAGGCCCAAAGACGAGCCATGTATTGACCCTTCAGCAAAGAACGGTCAATTGTTGGCATTCCATAGCCATTAAGGCAGAATTGCTTACCCTTGCGTTGCAAGGGCAAAGTATCGTGCGAAGAAATAAAGAAACTTGACGCGATTAAACGAGCCTCTAGAGAAGATAGATCAGTCAAATAACCCCCAGTGGCCTTAAAATGGTAGGGACATGCCTCTAAATATGTCGAAATTCACTTGAAAACGTTGCTACCAATTCCTAGACAAGCCATATCAGAGCTACCACTGAAAAAAGGCTTCTGAGTGCCAACTACGTTGGAAACGAAGGCAATTTCGAACACGCACGAGATGACACATTCCGCACGAAAATATCTTCGTGAAGCACAGTTTCTGTGAAAGTCGGCGCTGAACCCTTTGGAGACATGCACGGAGGCGTTCCCTGTTCCGGAGCTCGCACGATTTGCGTTCTGAATTGCAGTGTGCTGATGCAGGCAGTAATAGTGAGTCGAAGAGGCGACAGCGCAGATGGTAGTGGAAGCTAAGGCACGTTTCTTCACTTTCAGTTCAGTTTTCTGCCTCTTGATGAACCTGACCGCTTGGCGCCCCAATCCCCCATGAATGTTCCTAAAAAGCTGATCTCCAATATGTTCCGTTGGAGGCTGTAAACATATTGATAGTATATGAGTATCGCCAGGTATAATGTAGTTCGGAGCAGCACTCACTGAGCCGCCTTTCGAAGTCACTCGGGCCCATCGACTCAAACATAGTAGTACGGAGGTACGAGTCCCGTACGACCTTCTCTTTATTGCTGTTTTCAAAAAGGTTGGCTGTGACGGGGCGCTGAGATAAGCGAGTCCCGGCACACGAGAGCCTCAAAGACAGGGTAAGACGATGTATTCAAGACTGACTACTCTACGATCTACCTACGTCCTTATATACTGTATTTGTTATCTTATCAGTTATCTGGTGTAGATACTTATGTAATCCTAATCCGTTCCATACGCCCTCCAGGAATTGTGAAACAATTTCTAAGCTAGAGGAAGGAAGAAATTACCGAAGTCCTTGTTGTGTGACTTTCCTTTCCTTTTTCCCTTCCCATCGTTGTGGTGGTTCCTGGCGTTGTTCGAGGCCGAGTTAAGAATGATGTCATTGACCTGAGTCACGCGCTTTGGTCCTCCGAAAGACCGACGGACCTTGAGTGCTTCCTCGAGATACTTGTCGTTAGGAAAATCAACTCGAATAGGAAACAATGCAGCTGATGGGGGTGACACGACCTGACCGTTGATGTCGACAACCGTGAGGCGATTTGGTTGGACAGGGTTGCGATGGAGGAGGCGG